GTGTGCAGTGATGAGCGACGCATAGATCGCGCGATTCGACGCAGCCGACCTATCGCGGGGAAGCAGTTGGGCGGCGCGGCGGCGGCGGCGGCGAGTGGGGTGGTCTTCGTCGCGGTCTCATTGGCCATGGGCCGCGCGAGCACAGCGCTGACGAGCAGAGCCGCAGTAGCAGAGTAGAAGAGACGACGATGCATCGGAGGCCTTAGCGATCTGCAGGCCTCTGCTGGCTTATAACCACCCGTGTCCGCGAGCCGGAATCGCCACCTTCAGGCCCCGCAGCGGACGAAAGCAGGCTCTTCACATCCCTACGAGTGCGCCGACTTTGCCGGCAAATGACCTCGCTTGAAATGGAGAAAACCATGCAATGCAACTCATGGCCATTATTAGCTCTGCTGCTGTGCGGCCCGATGAATCAAGCATTTATAATTAGAGCGCGCATCTGTTGCTGCAGGACCACCCAAACGAGGTACATTGTCTCCGCCGCCAGCCAGTGCAGCACACACATGGTCCGCCGCAGAACGAGAGCCAGGCCCCATTCATCAGAGAGAGCGTGTGATTAGAGAGCGATCAAGGCCAAGCAAGTACAATCCGGTCAGGCTACCACTGACTGCTTGTCACATGAGCTACCTACATAGATAGAATGACCGAGTCCGCCGAATCCTTCCAAGCCCATCCATCAGTCCACGCACGCTCACGTCTTCGGGACGCCGCCTTCTTCGACCAGAGTCGAGTTGCTTCTGCCTCTTGAGGAGCCACTGCCCGAGGGAATGCTCAACTTGGGAATACGGTCAGATATCTGATTCACGATCACGCGCGGATTCAGAGTGAGGTTCCGCTCCTCGATGATCGCCTTCGCGATGATCACTGGGTTGTCAGGCGATTTCGTGTAGTCGTCCGTGTCCTGGTGCGGATTGAGCGTCCAGTACTTGTAGCTTGAGTACAGTTCAGAGGGGCTCCTCCTAATCGCCAGACAGAATCATAAACATACTGCTTGCACGCTGCGTAGAAAGCGCTCCCAAGCACCGAGCCCATGAACGGTCCGACCCAATACTTGAACAGATCAGCCTCATCGGGACAGGCGATCAGTAAGCGCCACTACCACCACTTACTATCCAGTGGTCCGACGAGGAGAACCCGGAGATAACAGCAGGCCCGAAGGAGCGAGCGGTGTTCATAGAGGCCCCCGTGTAATTAACAGCGAACCTGCCGGATCATCAATAGAGACACGGGTAGCCCGACCGGACGCATCATCAGCATACAAGTGGCATGAATACAAGGTCAGCCCAATCCCGACCTGCACCCGCAGCTTCAAGGAACGAACAAGCGACGGAACGCCTAGGGTGACTCACAGGGGCAAACGCGGTGGCCTGGTGCTTCTCAGCAGCGAGCATCAGGACCGCGATCACCAGGGCGCAGGTGATGAACATTTCGATGATCAGGCCTTGGGTGCGACTCGTTTCGGGGTTGAGCACGGTGCTAGAGTGATTGAGGGTGTTTGCAGGGGTTTGAGAGGGACGCAGAGACTGACTTGACGGTGAGCGGGCCCGTGAGTCCTCGCAGGATGGCTGCCGCGGCGATGGAGCCAACGAACTGGGCGATGCAGTACAAGAAGCCGCGGAACAGAGGTAGGATGCCAAGCATGACTAGAGATGCGGTGATACACGGATTAAAGAGACTTCCAGTGATACTGCACAGGGCAAGACGAGGATGAGACGAGCATTCAGTCGCGCGAGGAGCAAGGGGGGACATGGGAGGGCGCGACAGACAGAAGAGGCATTACCGAAAGAACATCCACGCACAGACCACCAGCGAGAAGCCCATGCACGTCGACACGTACATCACTTGCTGCACATCCGACACGCCGTGCGGGCTTGCGAGTGTTTCACGCGTCGAAGCTTGAATCCCGCCCAGTCCCAGAAGCAGAAACAGCGTAGTGCCGACGAGTTCGAGGAGAGCGGCGAGGAGGTCATTGCGGAGGTTCTCTTGACTGAAGCGAGCCATGTGCCGGGTGGGGAGTAGTGATGTGTGTATAGCGAAGGAGGCTGCAGAGGGCGGGAGCGCTGATGGTGTTGTTTGGATGATGAGATCAATCTCGGAGTGTTCCGCGTCCGCTTCGACAAATCTCGAGCTGCTGCAGATGCCTCCACTGGTCACTTCCCAGCGCGACATACGATGGACAAAACCAAGCTCCTGGATCTCACGCTTCCGGTCTTCATAAGAATGCCATGCAGAGCGGAATCTGAAGGGTTCTGATATCTCGTGCGTCCCTTCGCCTACGGGATAATGGAAATAGTGACCAACCTGAGTGATTTTGCTGGTCAAAACGTTCCACCTGTGATGATAGAATGATATGTCATGAATGCGGCGATAGCCGCACGGCGCAGTCGAAAGCCGTTCAAACTTCCAGGGTGACCGTTTTGGAACGCGCATGTTCTTGGTTCAACTTCTGATTCCATGACGCATTCTGATTCAGACTTGTATCCAAGACTGCAGACTCCGGAACAATCGTTGACTGGAATGTCAGCCTAATCTCCCGTCTTGGCAGATCCGGAAGGATGCTTGGTCCCGGAACACAACCGCACTCACTCAACTTCCGCGTTCCAAATCTGGGTATCCGTTCCGGTGCTTTCATGGTGCGAGCGATCCGAGACCTAAATGCAGCTGCGATCGTCTATGGCGTCACCCACAGGACTGGGACGTCAATGCGCTGCGATAGAGCGAATCGCAGACGTATCGCCAAGTCTCCTGCCACGGAACATCCGCCAGTCTCCATAGATAGCGGCGATAAGCCTTGCTACTGCCGGGTGCCCATACGAGGGTATTGAATGACTCCTGCAGAATTGGGCTGGAACGTGGACCAGGTGGGATGGGACTTGCATTCAATCGACATGTCCAGCGCAGAGCAGAAGACCACATTTTCTGCGCGGCTTCTGCTTCTGAAGATCCGGGCGAAGCGAAGACCACCCCAACTGAGCGCTCGATTCGCCGAATATACCAAATTTCGACTGGCCGATATTCTCGTGCACGGCGAAATTTCGGGGCCCAGGTCCCGCTGTGCTTGGCTGCGCATTTGTATAGGCTGCTCCATGTGCAGTTCTGTCAGAGCCGGGCTGGGGTATCCGGAAACGCATGCTCTGCACGACTCTGGCACCTCCCAGGTCGAAAATCACGCAGCAAACATGTTCTGCATCTACGATCCCACGTCCGCCGATTCATCTTGTCCAGGCAAAGAATACTGATTGCGCGATATGAGAGCGCGTCTAGGTCCCATGAAATCACGACATCGACAGCACGGAAGAGATGTAGCCATTTCGGAGGAGTGGTTTCGATCAGCTCGGGTTACAGCAAAACACGCGACATGTCAGATGATGGGCGCTGTTTGGGTTGGGGAGCAGGCTGATAAGATAAGATCATTGGATCAGACTCGGGTTTTGCCCGCCCACACGTGTCAATCAGGTCACGCGTATGATCTGTTCTGTCACTCTCTTCCCGCGATGATGGGCGCTCCCCCCGGTTTCTTGCAGCGCCGTTCGCTTCATCAAACGACTAGCTACTTATTCGTCTCCTCTGCATTTTTCCCATCGGCATCTCTATCACGCGACCCTGAAGCTCGGGTCCCATTAATTTGCTGACAAGGGAAGTCCTCGACGCACTTACTCTCCGGAAAACCAAAACGAAACGCAAGCGAAGACTAACCAGGGGGGTCTTCGCATGATTACTGCTGAATTTGACTCCCCACTGCCGATATACTTATCTGGATCGTCGAGCTGCTTTGAGAAGTGGCGCGAGAGTTACTCTATTTGTGAGTCGCTGGATGCTCGCAGCCTATCTCTTTTCAGAACACACATGGCCGCTGAATTCCCTTAGATTCGTTCTTCGCAAACTCTATGCAGGTGACGTTCCTAGAACGGATGGCTTCATTCTTCGCGAGTCAGGACGTCTTAATTTGCGATGTTTACGGTCTGAATAAGCGTCAACAGCAGGTGCAGTACACGGAGGCAGCCCGCACGAATCAAGAACGGAAGCTCTGGCAAGGCGTTGGCTCGATTTACTCAACCCACTCATGAAATCACCGGACGAGTGGTGCCCCGAGGTGATTATCTGGAAGTGAATGGAGCACGAATGCCATAACCCCATGGTGAAAGATCGCAGCATTATGGCAGTTCAAGGTACATACACGCCTGTCCAGCCGCGCTGACTCGGCCGTCCGTTGACCTGGGTGTGCTTCTCTCACTCCTTTCAATCCGTGCCAGTCTTCTTCGAGATGTTCTTTCCCCACAATACCACCCGGAGATGCTTCCCACGTTTCCACACGCAAGGCCCGATCCCTAGCCGACTGATTGATTCAGCGCTGGTCCGTCCGCATTGCTTTCGCCCACTTGCTTTTGGCCCTGCCCTCGGAGGAGCGTGTTCCCTCGAAAGTTGGGATTCCGGTTTTCAAAGTTTGTCTCGAATTTCAGCATCCGGGGCCATGTTAAGTGAGCGCGAGACCTGACGGAATCGTGTTAAAGTCAGTAGTTTACTGAGAAACCTAATTTTCTAATCGCTAAAAATCCAGATCAAGACGTTACCTAACGTCTCGCAACAAACAGAACATGATTGACTGGTCCTCCGATCTCACCGCGTCGCGCCAAGTCCGCACTCTCGCAGAGTCGTCTACTGCGAGGACTCCAGAGATCAGATCGCCAGGGAAGGCACGCGCGAGAATGGGGGGGCGAACTCCTTTACCTCGTCCCTCAAGTTCTGTGATTAATGGTGCGCATTTCAATCGGTATGACTCTTGCGAGCTAGTTTCAGAATGTGTCATTAGATCCCCCTCCTTTTGTGGAAGATGCCGGACATGGGACAGTCCTTTTCGGACACGATGTCAATTTGTTGCCGTGGACAGTTGTGGCAACCTGTTGGTGGTGTTACGCGCTCGAAAAAAAACCTCTGGGGCGGCCACGAAGCACAGAGACACACGCGAGGTCCAGGACGATCGTTCGGAAGCTCTGGAGAAGATGCAAGAACTTTTCTTTTGCGCTGCCCTGTGCTCCGACGGTTTGCCTCGGCCTTCTCCGATTATGCTTTGACGTGCGCCTCAGGTCTGGAGTCAATGGATTTAGGAACCATCCAATCGCTGCGCACCAGCCAATCGCTGCTCCCCGGACGAGACCCCGACGCGTGCGGTCGATCCTCACCTCGCGAACAAACCCCATCGAGATGTGCCTCGGACTGCAACTCCCATTCGTCGGTGACCTGTCAATCCGAATCGGCCGGAAAGCTTAGTTTTTATTTCCCTGGTAAAAAATCTATATTCGCTATATTTTAATGACAACGACCAGAAACACAGCAGAGATTATGCGAGCGAGAGGATGAGAAAAAAACAGGGGCTAAAATACAGTGAGAGAGCATCCGGCAATTTCCAAGAAGACGAGCGATCCAGTGTCTGCAATTCTACGACTCTCCGTAATCATCGGTATTTGAATAGTCCTCGGGGCTGCCAGAGCTGGAGGTGTACGCGGAACCAAATGAGCCGAGACTCGACGGAGACGAGAATGTCGCCTGCGGCGACGTCGAGATCGAGAGCGAACTTGAACTTGCGGTGGACCAACTTGAGCCGTAGCCGTGAGACGACATCGGTCGGACATATGTCGCAGGCGAGTAGATCGAGCCCTGCGCGACGGACGGCACAGAATACCCCCTCGACACGTCCTTGCCGCCCTCTGTCGACTCGCCGCTCAGCAGCCACGGCAGCCGACTGCGGCTCTCCGCTCCCCCGCCGTAGCGCGACACGGCTGCATCGGCATCCCTGCGACTCGGGATCTGGAGCGGGGTCGGGTATGGATTCGTTGAGCGCGTGCGGGATCTGTCGACGTAGACATTCGACGTCGGGGAGGGCGGGGACTGGTATGCGTCCCCGTGCCACCGGGCGGAGGAGAGGCTCCACGACGAGTCCGAGTGGCCGCCGCCGCCCATCTCGCGCCGGCTTGCGGAGGAGTAGTGGTGCGACCAGGTGTCCGGGCGCAAAGTCGGGACCGTGGACACCGCCCAGCGATCTGTGCTGCCCACCCGGGGATATGAGGCCGCCGAGACGCTGGGATAGAGCGCGGTTGCACTCCCGAAGGAGTTCTCCACAGGGGAACCGGGGCTGCTCCCGTCAGACCCCCAGGAGCTCGGCGAAACAGAGAGGCTGTACGACTCGTCCTCGACCTTGCACTCGACGACGTCGGGATCCTCCGTCTCGCTGTTCAACTTGGCGTCAGCGGCGGGTCGCGGTTTCGAACCCGGCGACGACACTCACACTAATCGCGAAATTCCGTCGGGGCCCTTCTCCACCTTGGGCGGGACTCGGAAGTTGGTCGCGCGAAAGAGCCGCGGGTCCATTGGGAGGCCCATGATGTCTGGCCGACTGCTCGGTCGCTGGGAAACGCAATGTGAGCCACGGCGCGTGCGATCACTGGCGAGGAAAATCCATCCACCTTCAGTTTGCCGGAGTGCTGGTCGACAGATGTGTAGTAGGAGATGAGATGGAGGTCGGATCCCTCGATGGTGACTGTGATGGTCTAGGAGGTCGCGTGTCAGCGAGCGAGCGGCGGGCGGACAGCGCAGGAGGCGCGCGCACCTTCTTGATGAGGCCGTTGTGCTTGAATGTCCCGTGTTCGTTGGACTGCGCGGTGAGGTCTGTGAGTGCACTGCGATAGCTGAGCGGGCTACGACCCACAGCCAAAGCACGAGACTGCTCGTCGCTGGGGTAGAGCTTCTTGTGGCTTCCCCGGCTGTTGCTCCGCTCGTTGATTTCGCGATACACCTGGAGGCGAATGTTGACAATGGGTGAGAGAGACGCAGGCTGGGGACGCGAACCAGAAAATTCCCGACGATGCGCGACGGAGACCATAAGAGGCCGTCTGGTGCAGTGGTGAGCGGAGAAGCAGAGGGTGAGATGAACGTGTCGGACACACACCTGTCCATCGTTTGATCCCACTCTCCTCGACGCTGAAGACGAAGACCGCGCCGCTCTTGATCATGGTGCGTCGCTCGGCATCGTTGAGACGCCGGGTAATTCTGGGGATGACGCCCTGTCGAGCGGCGTGGATGAGTCGGAGCGCATTCATCGTTGTTTCGACCGCGCCAAAGAATGGCGGGACATCGGTAGGTTGCGACGAGCTCATGGTGGCACGGTTAAGTTTGAGGTTGTCGGACAATCGTTGTTGGGACAGAGTTGCGGGTGTGTACCATTTATGCCGGCCTCAACTCGCAATCTCATGAATCTGATCTTCCTTTCTTTCTCGGACGCAGAACCGTAGAAACGCCGCTTTCACACACTTGACACACACCACTCGATGCACATCGGGCAGCAAAAAGCGCTTCTTCAGCAGATCTCGACTCACTCTCCGTCCAGTGCAATCATCTCCCCCGCTCGGACCCCGGCCCAGCACCTCCCAGCTCCTTCACCAGCGCCCCCAGCGCACACCCGCTGTGCGACTGGCGATCGAAACGCTTCCGTGTCCCCTCCGGATGACTCGGAAGTGTCAAGGCTAAATCCGAGCACGCATGTAATAGTTCTTCATACCCAGATTCTGTGGTCCCTTACTGTCTGCCGGCCTATTGCAAGCGAAATCATGGGCTGCATCTATTCTTGAGATTCTCCTCTCGCGAAGCTGCCAACGGGCGATGACACACAGGCGCAGATCAGCGTCCGTGCTCATGTTGCCCCCGGCCCGTTGCTGCTGCTGCTGCAATCGATCTCGCAGACGTGTCCCATATGTTTAGACTACAGCCTTGTGAGCGTTGCATCATGGACCTGGAACGACGCTGCCAGTCAGACGGCCCGAGCCCCAATTTATTTGAGTGCCTGCACCGCATCACTTGCTCAGCCAGCCGGGCACGTGTGACGTGGGGCTTCCAATCCGAATGCGAGCTGCATGCTGTCAGGCCGTCTTAATCAAGGGCAGTGGGACCCATCACGACCCATGACCCGGTTCGGTTTCCTTATTCGGCAATATGCCCTTTATGTATGTCCCATGCCGAGAGAGTCTCAAAAAGGCGTCTTGAGTCGTGAGCCCAGGGAAGAAGACGACAGCCGCCGTCGGCGTCTCGGCGCAATCTGTCTCACGTCAATGTCAGACGCGCAACGTGCGCGCGTGTGTGATGAGCCCACAACTGGGGAGTCGCGCCGTGCGGCGCGTCCCGTGGACGCTCGCGGCAGCACTGCACGCCTGCAGCACGAGGGCCTGCAGACACGGACGGTATGAATAGAACAGCGATCCAACAGGTGCAGGGCTGCGACGAGATAGGTCGAATCGATCCGGCGACCCTCACCCGCTCTCGGGCGTCTGTTCAATACGAAGCCCTGCGCGGTGCTTGTTGTGCGAGTTGGCCTCGATCCTTCTTAGAGATGAAACTCTGCACGCTTATCTAGTCGGCGCATCAGAGTCGTTTGGCGCAGTTAAGACATCGCTAAATCCGGATTGTATATGTCGTCATACGTCCATCACGCAGTCGGTCCGGCCACAAAATGCATTGGCAACATCGATATGAGACCGGTACCAGTGCCGTGACAGAGACTCTCCATGAAACTCAGCCTCGACGACAACGCGAGGCTCTGGCAATCGCAGGACGTCGTGCTCAGGGGAGAATACGGGGGATGACAACATACCCGAATGGGCTCGTCGGCCGTAAGTGGGCGGCAAACGCATTGTCAACGATGTGCCTGGGTAGCAGGACAACGGGCAAGTCAAAGATTCACAGCCACCACCATAAGAAGCTCGTTAGGCGCAACGTCAAGTTTGTTAGACATCCCAAGGCAAACTCTCCGCAACCGTGAGCACGGTGAAACATGGAAATGGGCCCAATAAGTATGCGCGTGACATTGGATCATGATCAGATAACCACTCCGGGAGCAAGTTGGCTCCGGGAGAGCTTATATGGGTGTCGATCTCTGTGGCGATGAAGACCGCGCTTGAGAACTATTTTCCGCGATCAGATATCGCCGGAAGTATATTATTCCATTCGGTGCGCGGTTCGCAATTGAAAGGCAAAGATATTCAAGGACACTCGGTGGGATCCCAGTCCGTCACAAGTCCTGCAGACGGTGTGTGGGAACATGGCGGCCCGGGAGAATCAGGCGCACCTTCATCGAGAGCATCTAGATCAGCCACCTCTTTCTCATCCAACGCAAAATCGAAAATATTCGTATTTGAAGCGATTCGTGCGCGAGACGATGACTTGGGGATAGCGACATAGCCCTGCGAATTTCCCGTGTCGACGGATAAAAAGACTGGCAAACGGAGCACCCACCTTTTGTAGGCAGTAGCGGAGAAGGATCTGCGCTGGTTCTTTGTGATGTTTCTTGGCCAGCGAGACAATAGAAGGGTGCTTGAATCGTAGACCGCGCACCAGAGGGGCCCAAGCCTAGATGACGGATGAAGAGAGGCGAGATTACGCAGAAGATTGGTGAATACCTCCAACGATATTCCGTGCTCATGACAGAGGTTGACGATCTCAGTGCGTATCATAAAGGGATGCAGGTCGATCTCGTATGACTGATCAGTCGATGCTTGAAAAAAGCGGCCGACAGGGCGCACCTGATTGACTGCCGGTACCGCGAGACCCATCTCCAGAATTTCTTTGATGTGGCGGACGCCAAAGGTGCTGATGCCGATGCTCTTGACCCTGCCTTCTTTTTGCGCATCACAGATGGCCCTCCAGCATTCCTTGCGCGCTGCAGGGCCGCCGAGGGGCCCATGGATCAGGTATAAATCGATGTACTCGAGGCCGCATTCGTCGAGTGAAAATTGTATGGCTTTCAGGGTCGGCTCGTACCCGTCGTTGAGCTTCAGTTTCGTGGTATAGAAGATCGCCGAGCGTGGTGTGCCGGTCGATTCGCAGAAATCGCGGATGGCCTGACCGACCTCACGTTCATTTTCATACCAGGTTGCGGAGTCCTACGAGATTTAAGAGTTCTGAGGGCTCTTCAGCTCGTCGCGACGTACGATGTGACGATACCCAGCCTGGGAGATTAGAACCTGTCGTGGTAAGAAACAAGCCCCGGGGGAAGGGAGCGCAGGCTCGCCTCGAGAGCCCAAGTAACGGCATCGTATGCTTCCCTGCCATCCAGCTCGTATGTTCCTGAGAAATGGGGTTGAGAATCCTTCGCGGGATCAACCTGTCCTCACAAAACGCACCGAAACCCAAGATGAGTATCTCGTTTCCGTCGTTCAACTGGGCAGCGTCAGATTCTCGGGGATCGAGCGGGAGATTTCCGGTGGAGCGACCTTGCGGGTTGACTGGAGAGTTAGGGCCATCGGTAACGATGTGGATGGGAGAGAAATCGTTTCAGGGATCGGGGGCCGGGTGATCCCACGTGACATGCGGTCATACCGCACCCGACGCCCTCCCATGTGGAATATCCTGAGGCTTCCCTCCCTGACTTCGCGCATCCACGTCCGCAGGGTCGCATGCAAGCCGCACCGGCCAAAATCTTTCTCCTGACTCCTGCAATCCAGTGATTCTCGCAGATCCTTGCGCTTAAAAAAAATAAATGCTGTTGCCAGATTGGTTGCGGGCTGGCAGAACTCGGATCCTGCCCCTGCAGCCTCATACAGGGACGATAGAGCCTGATTTTGGCGGATAGGACGTGCAGAGATCTACATTGCCTCTTGTCTGTTCTGCATGCGTCGATCCTTCTCTTCTCGGCCTCGTCAGGTCAGGATCCGCCCTCCAGGGAAATGCACGCACGGTCTGCCTGACACGGCGGCTTCCAGCCGCACGGGCTGGGTCAGTTCCACACACGCGTCCCAATGGTGACAGTGCTCAGAAACGTCTGTGATCGAAGATCAGAAGATGCACAACTGCCCCCTTCACTGGCGACGCTCGACTATTCAGGCCGCGCACCTGCTCGTCCAAAACGTACAAGTCGCTGATCGGGACGTACCGGCTTCCCGTGGCGTCGACCGGGCTGGCTGATTCATCCTTGGCCCCCACACCCTCGGCCAGCAGCACCCATTTCTCCTTGGAATCTCCGCAATAGAACTTCCTGGAATGTGCAGGTGAACCTAGACAAAGGCTCCGGCGGTGTCACCGACATATGATATGATAGCGGTTTCGTCTGCCGACGGTGGGTTTTTTCTTCTTTTCCCTACCACGCCCAGCGCAGATTCGACTCGAACTGTTGGAGGCGGTGATCGCTCATGTTTATCTCAGTATAGGCACCCCCGAAATTGTTATACCCGGAAAAACAACGATGGCTGCTGGTCTTATCAGCTCAGCGGCGCTTGGGCGGAAAACTCGCGATCTACGCAAGCCTTGTGATAGATAACCATTTTTCCAACTCCCACCGTAGTCCAGACTATTCCAGGACAACGTCTCGTATCTACCAGATTCGCAAGCCAGTTCCTTCTTTTGCGTCTGGATCTGGGCTTTCAGCGGCGGCAGAATCCGAGCACAGTGCATTGGTTGACGGTCGAACTTGCAGTACTGTTTATCCCAGAGTTGGATTTTCGGCTTGCACCGTTATTTTCTGCACGCATCCACGCGCATCTTTGAGGGTCTGCCGTTCATCAGATGCCAAAGGGTCCGTTTTCATGTCCGCTGCAACAGCTGTTGCTGTGGCGCCTGCCGAAAGTATTCTCAGGGCACAACAAGTCTCTTCTCCTTCCTCTCTCGATTCGCCGCAATTATGTGTTGGGGTTCAACAAGCATGAGGCCCGGGAATTCGGTGGAAATAAGCTTTTTAAAGTGTCGCATCAGCTGTCCGGTGTCTCGGTTGTAAGCAGAACAACCAGAAACATACATTCCCATGTCCTTTCAGGTTTGGGAAATCGAAGACGACGTAAGTGGGTCGGACTTTGAATTTTTTTTCAATCCTCTCAGGCCTTTCGTCGCGCGTAGATTTGGATCTCATCTATCATCTATCCCTCCAGCCGTGCGAGGAACATCTGCCTGAGCGCCGGGCCGTTCACCCCATTGCATGGGCAAAACCCGAGCCGCGACTTGCCGGTGAATCGCTCTTAGCAATCTGGAGCTTCCCGACGGGAACTTGCCCGCAGGGGAAGGCGCAGGACTTGGCCTGGATGGAAGAAAATGGGAATCGAGGTGTCAATGAGTCATGTGACTCTGCCGCAACTGTTCCGCTGACCAAGCGGTGGCAACACCCTCTAGCTCTCTTCTCGCTCTGATCCTCGATCGGTGTATTTACGTTCGCGTTTTTCTGTCGCCGCGTCTGTCGGGAACTCACGCGTGTGTTCTCGATAGATGGCTTCTTCTGCCCAACCTCTCAAGTTTTCGCCGTCGACTCCTGCCAAAAGCCCTGAATCGGGCGAGCGCGGGCAGACTCCCCCTGCACCCGCTAGCAAACCGAACGCCCCAAAGACGTCAATCGGCCCAGGGGACATATCGAGTCCCCACGAACTGACAGCTTTCGTGAGGAGTGGACGGTTGCTGCCCTGCTTATGTCTCTTACCCCTGCTGCCAGGTGGAGTCGCTTCTTGAGCAGTTGGATACCAAGTTCGATGAGATGTCGAGCCAGATCCTCGAAAGAAGTGCGCGCGCGTTACGGTATTCTGCATCCGAGAATGTTCTCTCACTGTCCTCCTTAGTGTCTCAGATGTCGACGCGCGTCGATGCACTGGAGGCGTCCATTCACGACATCATCAATGGCGAAGTGAGTAATCTCCTCCTGTGCTTCGACACCGGATCTCATGGATCGCGAGTAGTAGTAGAGGAGGTGTGATGAGAGTCTGTATCCATATGTATTATCTGTGCGTGCACCATCCCGCTCCATCCATGCCCTTCATGTGCAGCCCTAGGCCTCACGTAACATTCTGTACACCAATGCCACTTGTCTTCCTCGCTTCAGAAACTGCGGCGTTACAATGCGACTTCTCTCTCGTCTTGGGGCACTTCGTCAGGTCCCGACGAAAACGGCGGGATCAAATTGTTCTCCTGTACCCATTGTCAGACATGCGCCAAGTTTCGGGTATCCGCCTGATGTCTGGTTCAGCGCAGGCCCATCTCCTTTCATGGATACCATCACCAGCCTCCTTCCTCGATTCCGGCGGAGCAGACAGAAGCGCTTTAGTGCCACCAGACCACAGCGTGTCGGACAGCAGGTCATCCAGGGCCAGCCCGTTATCCTTGAGGGAGTTCTCGACATCTCGAAAGAAGCTCGCGATGCGATCGCAGAGGGAAAGGCCCAGAACGGGTGGCATCCATTCGAAATGGGTATCCGACCGGATTCACCCACCGGCTCCAGCGGTTCTTCGAGCGGTTCTTCGAAGGCGCAGCAGCTGCAGCAGGAGCAGCAGGAGCAACAGCAACAGCATTCTGCGGGCCAAGTGCATCGACCGCTGTCGTCTTCTCCTCCATTCGATCCTCCGGAGATGACGAGTCCTTCTCTGTCTGCAAAGACTGTCATGCCCAGAGACCCGGACGGCCGACGTTTCGCCCAGTCAATCACCATTCCTGCTAGGCCCGATGCGGCTCCTCCGCTGCCACTCGCACGCGATTCGCTCATCCACAGCCTCCGTCGGCAGCCCCGATACACCGAGCTGAACAGCCTGTCCCCTATTCGGCGGTGTCGTACCTTTCCGCTGTCTGTCGAAGCCGAGCCCGCTGTCTTGGCTCCTGTGGGGAGGGACGAATGCAGCAGCAGCAGCAGGAACAGTAACAGTGCTATACGAGGTCCCGAGAAGCCCCGAGAAGCGAGCACTACGGGGCCAAACGAGTCGCTGCTACCTAGCTGGGCGGGCTTTGCGTTCCCGATGCCCCCGAAAGCGACCTTCACGAAGCGCTGGACACCGACGATTCCACCTTCGACGTCCCTGCCGGTTGACGGGATGGGACACGTCGAGCCGCTGTCCATCGTCAAGCGGGAGTCCGGCTCAACCAGCAGTTCGCGCGGGACATCCGATAGCTCGCGATCCAGTGCGGTGGTCATCAACGAGCTGCTTTCGTCGCTGGATGACATGTACGCGGAGATACGCTCGGCCGCGTCAGAGGGCCGCGATTCGTTTGTGTCGATCCCGCTCGATTCGCCGCTGGAGTCTCTGCCGGATCTGGATGGGGCTGAGACCTGGGCTGCTACGTATTCGCTGGCAGATGAGCCGGCCGCCTTCGTTTCTCGGGCTGCACCGCCTCGCAGTCCGTCCGCGGAACGACACTCCTGGATCGCGTTGTGTCCCCACTCGTTTGTCCTCGAGCGTGCCAAGACGGTCGAGAGATATCGCCGGCGGGGTGTCGCCTCCAGGTCACTGCCTGATCTCGCATGTTTGGCTTGACGTTGTCATCACTTAGTTCATGTCAGGACAGTAGGTACTCAAACTACTACATATTGCTGCTAAGTATGTACCACGGTCTATGAAATCGATTGTCAATTGACGACATGCGTCTCGGACCGGAGAGCACGACGAGCCTGGACGGGAATCAGCGAGCGTCCTGTGAGAAACCCAGAGAGGCCTGCCGCGACGATCGTTTCTGGACCTGAGAATCTGTCCGCTGGATCAGGATCTGTGGCCCTGTCCGTGCTCTGCTGCCCTGTGGTGATGCCGCTATAAGTAGTCAGATACCGCAACACACTAACACCACAGCACACCGGGCAGTGCCCACGCGGCACCCGACGACGAATCGGTCATTTGGGCTGGGATCTTGAACATGGAAGTCTCCTGGAAGAACACACAGCGTGATCGTGTTCGCGCGCGCAGGATATCGATTGCCAGGGATCGCGCGACGCGTGAGAGCGGCCCCTGCCTTCCCTTCCTCGCCGGCAGCGGCAGCGGCTGCGTCCGTTATCGATAGTCGGCAGCAGCGAGCGATCGTCAACGCGGCCGAGGCCGTGCCTGGCTCTGGGATGGCAGGCCCGAGAAAAGAACAGACAGGCATTCCTCGTTCGAGATGATCTGCGGCCCCGTGGACGGTCGATGTGATTTGCCACACGCCCGGAGCTTGCGGGCGGCCTGCGAGTCGACCCTGGTGGAGAGCACCAAGAATGCTGCGGCACCGGCAGAATGCTACTCCCCTGGTCTGCTGATTATCGACAGGGCACTCGCGGGTGGCCCTCGCAGCTATTTATGTCTGTCCAGAGCCGTTTCGAGTGACAACAGTACCATAGATGGTCGAGAGCAGATGCCAGAAGTTCTCCCACTGCCGAGTCGGTTCGCAGAGAGATCAAAACAGAATTTCTGGGTCGTCTCAGGGAAGATGGGACGGGCTTGACGGTAGGATGTCTCCGAGAGATGAGATCTCAGGGTGCGGGACGACTGCATAAACTGCATCCGCGATCCCAGCGCGTCGGTTTTCAACGTCAGAGACTCGGATAAGAGTGATCGGGCCGTGCGCGGCCGGGCCTGACCGGCCCTGGGGACTGCTGCTAAACAAACAAGGGGCAACATCAGCCGCTGAGTGACGCTGACTGTACATACTTGTGGTGTTGTGTATGATGGCAGTGCGGCGGGCCGTCGACCTCGAGAAGATTGGACCTGGAGTGTATGTCTCCCAGCCTGCAGCACATGCGCAGATTGAAAAATCTCTGGAGCCAGGGTCCGTGCACATATCTGACTGGCACGCGCATTTCTGATTCGTCCAGGGTTATCCTCATCTTCGGCTGGCTGTCTGCGAAATTTGCACACCTGGCCAAGTACACCGACACGTATCGACGGATATATCCCACTGCGACCATCATCCTCGTGCGCAGCGAGTTATCTCTCCTCTGGATGCCCTGGAAGTGGCTAGTGAGTGGACGCTGTGTGTGTTTGGATGTCCGGCTCACGTGCTGTGCCTCGCAGCGGAATCGGCGGTTTATTCCGGTGTCGACGCTTCTGTCTGGGCTCGGCTGCCTAGACGCGCCAAACCAACAACGGATCCTCATCCACTCCTTCTCAAATGGCAAGTGACGTGGCAGTGAAACACGTCGTAGGACTGAAATAATGGTCAGGTGGCGCTTGGAATATGCTTGCCCTCAAGAGGCTACTGGAAGAGCAAAACCACCAGCCCGGCCACGCGCTTTGTAGCGCTTGGATCATCGACTCTGCGCCGGGCGGGGACAGCCTCTACCGGTCCCGCTTGGCGTTTCTGAGCCCCATCAAAGGCGCAGCCGCCCGCTTCCTCGCAAAATGGGCGTTCACGCTCCTCTACTGTCTGCTGCACCTCGTCCACGGGCTCCTCCTGCGCCGGCCGAGCCCCATCCACGTCATGCAGGAGTCTCTGGCGCGCGCCGACGTTCTGCCGTGGATGTCGCGCAGGACGCCCCGGCTGTACCTCTACTCGACGGTGGACGAGATGGTTCCGGCGCGCGATGTCGAGGCGCACGCGGCTGCCAGCGCGGCGGGCGGCCTCAACGTACGGATGCGACGCTTCGAGCGCAGCGCGCATGCTGCGCACGCGCGGGTTTATCCGGCGGAGTACTGGGAGGCGGTACAGACGTGTTGGGCTGGCGTCGTGCGAGAGCTGACTTGAGGATTTATCGATGCTTGAGATGCGAGTCCGTCAATCAGCATTTGCCGTTGAGTCGACCCTTTGTTTCCGAATTAGGAAGGCACTGGTTGAGCCATCGATGACAATGAACGCCTGATGCGCTTTGCTGGTTGACTTGGCAGAAGTATTAAAGCGCTGGCTCCAGGGTTGTTTGACCCACCTAATCGCTCGGTGGCATATCTATTACCTTCCCGTCCTTTTCCAGTGTTCTCATTCGTCTGCCACCGAACATCCAACCTTCATTATCATTACATCGAAGATGCCTGCACATCGCACGACAGCGCATCCGAAGCGTACAGTGCGTAGTGTAATTCAACGTTGTCACAGGGCATTCAAGTCTGCTGCCAGCCTGTTGATAGCAGTTTCCGTGTGCCGACTCCGGTGCCCTCCTTTACCATGGATTGGTCGGCCTTCCCATTCCCTGTCAACCGCGCTGGACGATGGGCTCCAGTGCTCTTCGAGACGCCCACCTCCTTGCTCAAGAGGACGGTCAGCAGCGTCAGCAGCTGCAGCGCCGCCACTACACTGAACTGGGACGCAGAGTCTGGCGAGTCCGACTCGCAATTCGGATTCGTCTTGCGCAAATGCAGCAATCTAGGGGAATATCTCACCAGCGACCCATCCACCTCCACCGCTCAAGATGAGCCAGCGGAGTCGGAGGACGAAGAGGAGGAAAAGTCAGTGATGGACACGGAGGATGACGCGACTGTACGAGGCGACGACACCGTGTCTGAGGACGGCTCGGAGGAAACCGCCGTCGAGGAGTGTCTCCGCGACATATCCCATCCGCCGTCGCGCTCTGCTACGCCCGAGCCCGATGGCTGCACACGGGAAAGCTCAGCAGCGCCTGTGCAGCCCGCCCCGAGCTGGGCCGCCATATTCGATCGAGACCTGACATCCATGCCACGCACCCCAATTGCCGCCCCGGCGACCGCCATGCTTGCGCCCAGCACGCCGCCGCCGCCACCGCATTCCGAGAGACGCGGCAAGCGCTACGCGCCGTACGCTGTGGTCACCCCCAGCAAGCGCCAGCTTCTGCGCCGCGAGGGAGCAGCCAGGGCTGCACAGCTCAAAGCCGCGAAGGAGGCCGAGCGGCGGCAGGCGCTGCGGGATTATCGGGAGGAGCGCCGGTTTTTGGCTGAGCAGCGCGCGGCTGCGAAGAGGCGCGCGGGACCGGCACGCAAAATCGAGGCTCGCGACATTTGGGCGAGCTTTGAGCAGGAATAGAATTATACCAAGTAGGCTTGATTGCACCCACTACAATACCTTCGGCGAAATCTCCTCCAAGTGTTCCTCCTACGATCGAGAAATACACCTTCGAGTTGGGGATAAATTTGTCCGTCCCGTAGTCAACAGATATCTGGCTGTTTTTAAATAACTACCTATGTGCCTAGGACTCAGAAGATTTTTTTAAGACATACGGTTGAACTTTGCAGCCATTTTCATTTCTGCTTATCAAAACTCCCATGATCACATGGTTTCGTCCCCCTGTGGGTTATGCCGACGCGCGATAAGTGAATAAGTCCATGTCACCGTGCCGAGCGTCGGCGACAGTCTGGACGCCGATATAAACCCAGCGGCGCACCCTCCGGCTTACCACCGCCATGCCACGTCGCGCACTTCCGTTGCTGCTGTTGTTATCGGCCCTCGGCCTGAGCGCCGTCTCCCATGCCGCCGAGACGTTCCCCATGGTGAAATGCCACGGGCACGTCCTCGAAGACGCGTCGGTCACGCAGATCCAGCGCTGGTACGACGCGGGCTCGCTGTCCGTGCGGCAGGTCGTGCAATGCTACCTGGACCGCGTCGCGCAGGTGGATCCCTACGTCAAGTGCGTACCCAGCTAGCCAGCTACGCAGGCGCGCCGCAACTGACACCCATGCCTCTCCCACAGCGCGGTGATGGAGCTCAACCCCGACGCGCTCGAGATCGCGGACGTGCTCGACGCGGAACTCAAGGCGGGGAAGAAGCGCGGGCCGATGCACGGGATCGTCGCGCTCGTGAAGGACAACTTCGCGACGAAGGACAAGATGCAGACGACCGCGGGGAGTCTGGCGCTCGTCGGGAGCGTGGTGCCCCGCGATGCCCACGTCGTCAAGCGCATGCGCGAGTCCGGTGCGCGCACCCTCTTCTGTATGCGCGCGGATGATAACTGACCACTCATCCCCACCTCCTTGTAGGTGTGGTGATATTGGGGCACGCGGGGATGAGCGAGTGGGCCGACATGCGCAGCACGTCGTACTCGGAGGGATACAGTGCGCGCGGCGGGCAGGTCCGCAACTCCTACAATCTCACGCAAGAGCCAGGAGGCTCCAGTTCCGGATGTACGTCGTCCTAATCAGTCCCCTCCCATGCCTCTCGCGGTCGCTCACGATGCGCCCCTCCGCTCCAGCCGGACACTCCGTCACGACAAACATGGTGACCGTCGCATACGGCACCGAGACCGACGGATCGGTGATATCCCCCGCCGAGCGCGGCAACATCGTCGGGATCAAGCCCACGGTGGGGCTCACCAGCCGGGCCGGGATCATCCCGGAGAGCGCGCACCAGGACACGGTGGGTGCGTTTGGCCGCACGGTGGAGGACGCGGCGTTGGCGCTCGATGCGGTGTTTGGCTTTGATTGGAGGGACGAGGCCACGCTGGAGCAGCTGGGCAAGACACCCAAGAGTAGGCCGCTTTTCTGCGACTCGCAGGGAGAGGACTGACGGTGACATTGCCCAGGCTATGCGCATTTTGTGTCTGAAAAGTCGAGCCTCAAAGGGATGAAGGTCGGCATTCCCTGGAAGCGGCTCTGGTGAGTGGCGGTCGTCGACCGCGGGCGCTATTTGTTCCAGGCCGACCACGTTTCAGGCAGGGGACAACTACAAGCCACCAAATTCCGGCCCTCTTGGAGGCCGTAGAGATCCTGAAGAAGGTAGCTTGAGTGCATTCCAGACGCCTGTTTGCTGACGTCTTTCAGCACGGCGTTGAAGGTGACTTCCATCCGAATCATAGCGACTTGCCAGCATCCTGACCTATTTGCTCCTCGAGTGTACAACAACACGAACTACAAATACGTCGATGTAGGTCTCAGCTCACTACGCGCATTGTCAAGCCTTACCCAATCTCCCAGGAAATCGTATCACCGGCCGGCTGGAACTGGGCTTTCGGCCCTGCCAACCAGAGTGAGATCACCGTCGTCAATGTCCGTCTCCTCCACTCCTTGCCTCTCTCCACGGCAACGTATTGAATGTCTTTCTGCAGGTCGACTTTTACAACAACATCAAGGCCTACTTGTCTGAGCTGGGCAACACGACCATCCGCTCGCTGGAGGATATCGTCGCCTTCAACGACGCGCAGGCAGCCGAAGGCGGACAACCCGTCAGTCCTCCGTTCCATCCTTTCTCTGTCCCGTGTCTGATGCGTTCCCTGGCCCGGCGCAGAACATCGCAGCGGCCTTCGCATCGGGACAGGACGGACTGCTCGCGTCGCTGGCCACGGGGGGTATCGAGAACTCGACCTACAAGCAGGCTCTGGTACGCGCGCGGAATCTCATGTATAGGTCCCCTATTCTGATGCGCTGTGCGAAGACATGGTGCCGGAAGACCTCGCGCAGAGACGGTATCGACTACGCGCTGCACCCCATCATCGACGGGAAGCAAGTGCATCTCGATGCGCTGCTCATCCCCTCGGACGACAACGGCGCGGGGACGAACATCCCGGCGCAGGCCGGCTACCCCATTGTCACGATCGTAAGCATCTTTCGAAGATCGTGTGCCTCCATGACTCTGACGTCGTTTTTGCTGCAGCCCATCGGTATCGACGAATGGCGTAAGCAGGCGGTGTCTCGTAGTCTCCAAGAATGTGTGAGACTAACGGTTTCTTTTTCACTGCAGATGTGCCGTTCGGCCTCTCGATCGTAGGTACCGCATGGAGCGAGCCGACGCTGATCAAGTTTGCGTCCGCAGCGCAGCACGCGCTAGGCGGCCGACGCGTGAAGCCGACATTCTACGCAGCCAACGCGACGAACATCCCCGTCAACTGGAGCTTCGGAACATATCTCTAAGAACGGCGCGCGCAGGGGTGAGCGAATTGTCCACGAGGTATTTGTTGTTATTAGAGTACAATACAAAAAAGAGAGTGCCGGAGACCAAGAGAGACCAAAAAGCGACAGTTAGTAGGCGTAGTTCCTGAGGCTGTGCAGACTGCCTTTTTTCTTCATCTTCGTGCGGCTGCCGTCGTCCTCGCGTGAGGCCCGCTTGCCCAGCAGTCCTGAGAAGAAGCTTCTGCTGGCCTTGGGAGACGGGCTAGGCATCGGCGGCAGCGGCTTGGCACGGGAGGAAGCGCTGGCTTTGGGACCCGTGTGCGACTCGGAGATGGTGTCCAGCGAAGACACCTGGAGGTACGACTCAGGCTCCCGACTCCAGGTCCGCCTGGGGGACGAGGACGATGAAGATGACGACGAGGAAAACAGAGACGATGCTGGGGTTAACGGCAACGTCTGAGACCGCGAAGGCACCGGCGGACGCCGAGGGAGAGCTGACAGTGGGGTGGCAAGGTCCGATGGAGACACAGTCGAAGCAGTCGATGCCGAGGCGGGTGTCACGACCCAGCCGTCTCCATGCCACGGAGACGGGGATACGCCCCAGGTACTGGGATCCGCCAGCCACGGGTACTGCGCGTCCTGCGTCAGATAGGGCATCGGCTCCGGCGCTTTGGTGCTGATCGGCGCCAGCCGCGACGACGGCGTCGGTGGCCGACGGGGCTGCCAAGCAGGGGTAAATGCGTCCGATTGGACAACGTGTGGACGGAATGTCGGATAGTCTTCGTAGTCCTCGTCCTCGTAACGCTCCTCTTCCTCTTCCTGTTCCTCGTCTTCTTCTGTCAGTGGCGTTTCTGCACGGATCGGGCTGAAGTTGCCACTCGTTGGCGTTGACAACGTCATGAACGACATCCGCGTATCCCCATCCGAGCTCGGCGTCTTCGTCCGTATCCTCAACGACGGCGATCGGGTCGGCTCAGGAGGGGCCTCCTCCGACCGTGTGCGCTTTTCAGGCTTGGGCTCTGGCGTCATCAGCACAGACCGCACCCGGGTCTCCCAGGACCAGCCATCTCGAGGCGACGCCGCCTCAGGGCTGGGAACCTGCAGCTTCATGGGCGACTTGTAACTCCGCGAAGGACGTTCCGGCGTCTCATCCGCAACTGGGCGGTATCTCGGGTTCTGCTGCTCTTGCTTCTGCTCTTGCTTCTGCTTCTCTTTCAGCTCCTGTGGGCGTCCTCGGGTATCCCGCTTGCGGGTGAAGACGGGAACAAGCTTTGCCTCGCCGCCCCTCCGCGCAGCGAGGAAGCGAACCAGATTCGTCTCCCGGCGCAGCTGGGCAGATCCGCCGCTGGGGCCGACCGCCGCGACCGCCGGCCGCGCGATCTGGGCCTGGAGCGCCTCCAGCGCAGCGACCCGCTGCTCGGCCATCCACCGCGACCGGTCCTTCCTCCCCGCGGCCAGCACCACGCCCAGGCCCGCACGCGCATCGGCGAGCAGCGCGGCGACGGACTCGTGCGCGAACTGCGCCACGGCGGCCTGCAGCTCGGCCGGAGAGAGCTCGTGCAGGGCCCCGGACGCCGTGATGCGGAGGAGGTCCGCCTCCGCGGTGGTGTCCCGCCGCAGCCGCCGCTTGTGGCGCTCGAGTGCGCTGCGGGCGTCGGCGTCGGCGGAGGACGAAGACGCGCCGGCGCCACCGGCTTGGAGGTCGAAGAAGGTGTTGTTGGTCCGTGCGGAGAGAGGGAAGCCGAACGTGTGTGCGGTGTTGGGTGTCCTGCTCCTGTGGGCCGACACAGGCACGCGTGAGTTTCGAAATGATACCGAGACAGGAACGAGAGGAGCTCACTCAGGGCGCCACAGATACTCACTCCGCCCACCGCTGAAGGTGAGTCGACTCGGCGTCAAGTGGGCCGGGATGGTCAGCAAGTCGTCGTCGTCGTCGTCTTCGCCATCCTCCTCCTTCTCCTCTTCCTCCGGGGAAACGTCCTGCGGCCACAGCGAATTGGCGGTGGGTATCGAGTGCTGGGTAGCGGGCCATTTGAGGCTCTGGGCCACAGAGACGGTCAGTTCGAGTTTCGAGAGCGTGCGCGCGCGGAGTTGGGAGGTTGACATGTACAGCTGCGCTGAGGCCAGCTCATGAGGAAGAGGAGGTGAGAAAAGGTGGGCAGCGCCTGGCCGACGGGCCGAGGCCGTTCTCACGTCATGTCCGAGCTGTCACCGTCACGACCATCACGAGGGACAGGGTCACGTGTGTAATTTACTTCTTTTGCCAAGAGGCGTTCTATCACACTGAGACCGAGACCCAAATTATGAGGAATGATCTTTTGAGGATAAATGTTGCGGTATGTAGCCGAAGCAGTGCGTTCCTGTGTTAATGAACGAAATTAAATCTCTCCTCCAAGGTTGTAAACCAACTCTATGATGGCGTTCACATGTCCTCCTCCTCCTCCTCATAGTCTTCCTCGCTGTCAGCTGTAGCTTCTTGATACTGCAAAATGAAATCAGCCTCAGAAAATTACGATGGCCGTATGCGGATTGGCGCACTTGCTGATACTCGGCACTGGAATGCAAATAAGTTCGAGCTGGAAAGCACACAGCGGATTAGACAACTCACATGAGATCCTGCGAATTGCTCTCGGCCTCGGAGAACTCCATTTCGTCCATGCCCTCTCCGGTGTACCTGTGGAGTGGGAAGTTCAGTATTGGGAATCTACAGTTTTGAAACGCGACTGACCAATGCAGGAAGGCCCTGCGTTTATACATGGCACTGAACTGAGGACATAAGAAATCAGTTCATGACTGCGGCTAAAAAAAAAGGAGCGTCACCGTCTCATGGGTGCGCTGGAAGAGCTCCTGAATGGAGGTCGAATTCGATAAAGCCACAGCAGCCTGATCACCATCCATCAGCCCGTAAGCTCTTCGCGTTGTAAACCACTCGCCTGCTTCTGTCCGACGGGTGGAACAGACACGAGCGTCACGGAAACGTTGTCAGGAATCCATCTGCGAGGATGTGAAGCACGACCGCTAGATCACTGCCAACAAACAATCTCACTCGACAAACTGACTCGAGCCGCGGGTTTGCAGATCTCGGACAGCCACCTAAGCACTGCGTAAAAAAACATCTGAAGAGTCAGGGTGATGTCACCAACCTCGGCCTGTTGACGAAAACAGTTACTTCATGACCAGTTCTCCGTTCCAACACGCACCTCTCTGGAAGCAATATTTCCCCGGAAAATGGTCGCTGCCGTGAGGTAACGTCTAGCACGAAGGATCAGCCAGTCTCCACAGATGTCTACCCCGCACGGAAGGACAGACCCGAAACGCGGATCACACGCGACGAGCAGATTCCTGCGGTCAAACAATCTGATGTGGTGGTCCCCCCAAGTCAGCTGTTGGAATTCGGTGCACGAATGGGAGAACGACGACATACCCTTGCACGAGCTCGGGAACCGAGAGGCTCTGATACGACTGGCCTCTCGCGTCGTACATCGGAGCGTAGCTGGGCATCAGGAAATGCAAGCGGGGGAAGGGAATCAGGTTCATGCCCAGTTTGCGCAGATCACTGTCGAAGCTGAGCGAGGCTGGCGAATTGTGTTTAGTAAAACGCACGAACCCGTTCAGCTGTCCGGGGAATCGCAAACTCGTGCTGACACCACACATGACTTTAGAGACAATCTGCGCCGCAAGACTATTCGCGACGTGCTCCCAACATGGCAGGTGTGACGCACCCCATTGAGTGTCGTAAAACTGGGACTGGCGATCTTGAGGTTGCGCATGCTGATATCGTATCTAATCATTCGCATGGGTCAGCTAGCGAAAAAGGCGGATATTGAGGAATCGCACAGCGCTTCGTTGTCCAAGCATACCGAGAGATCGGCATTTTCCACCAACTGATGCATGGACAGCATGGCATTGTATGGCTTTCCGAATGTCAGAAACACGCGCAGGTCAATGAACGGGTAGATAAAGTACTTCAACCACGGTCTCGGACACCTGTCAAGGGAAAAAAAGGAATGATCAGGGACATCTTCTTTTTCTCGTGCGACAAGTCATTCACCTTTGGCGCGGGCAAAATGGAAAATGTCGCCATCATTCGATCAGGATATTCCTGGGTTCAAGATCAACATGTGCGATAGAGAATGCGTTGTTGGACACACCTCCCGCATTTTCGAGAGCAGCAGGCACCCCATCCCGGACCCAGTTCCTCCTCCGATACTGTGGATCACCTGGAAGCCTTGGAGAACGTCGCATAGCTCAGCTTGTTTTCGCAACACTTCCTACTCCGCGTGTAAACCACCGCTGCAAGCGAAATTTAGCGATACGAACAAGAATCGGGTCGATGAGCTCCGCTCCTGATCATCCCCAGTGAGTGCGTAAGATCAGAAAGGACCGGGATCGGCGTCTGTACCTTCCGTGTAGACTGATGGGGTATGCGATGAGAATCCGAGATTGATGCTGAGAGGATCCACGCACAGCCCTTGGCCCAGTTGTTCCCTGCCCCCGATTCCGCATGCAGATACGTCTCGGGATTGAACAGCTTCCCCATCGGCCCGCTCCGCACCTATAAGCCGAATCGTCTTGTCACTCGAAACGCGAAGAGCCCTACGCTCCGGAACGCACCCGATCGCACACGCCCGCCTCCAAATCGAGCTGCAGCGAGCGCGGGACGTACTTGGCGGGGCCGGACGACGAGTTGACCTCGGAGAAGTACACGCCGATCTGCAGAATCAGCACACAGGACGCAGCGCGCGATCGGCTCGCCACATGGGGTGAGACGCACCCGCTGGAGCTGCACGGGATCGCGTCCGTGGTAGATCTGCCATCACACGTGAGGGACGGTGGCATGCACAGCGGCACACTCGCCACGCGGCGCGCGCGGTGCGTGGGAGGCGACGTACCCCCGCCTGGTCCAGCCCGTGCTCGGCCAGCACGTCCTGCCAGAAGACCTCCCCGACCTGGTTCCCCGCCTGCAAACACGTCGGCGCGTCAATCCACGCTCGCTGTGTGCCTGGTGCGACGACCTGCCTGTCCGACCTGGGATGGGGGTCCAAGCCGATCAGTGTCCGTGGTGCACGCAGGGAGGCCGGGAGGGGCGTACCTGAAGACTGATGATCTCCCGGGATGCCATTGATAGTGATGACTGGGCTTGAGAGCGACGGTGGTGCGCAAGGTGGTGTCACCAACTTTTGTTCTGTCAATCACTCCGGCGATCAAGGTGTTGCATAATGGAGCCGTCGTCAGCATTTTCATGTTGTATTTTTGGTCATGCAGGATTGAAGCAGCATAAGCTCCCCAGAATCACCTGCATTGCACGATCACGAGACTTGACTACAACCCGGGGAAGATCTGCATTGCATTATAAATATAGGTACATACCTTAAGTTAGTATATAGAAATCTATACATATGTGAAGGACTAGTATCCCGAATCAGAGTCATATCGCGGATCGTAATACTCATGGACAATCTTCAGCCTGTCTCCAGACTTGCGCGCCAACTCGTATGCGCTCAAACACTCCTCCTCCTTCGAAGATCGTAGCGTGACTTTGATGCACAGCGTCCTGCGCTGCTTGAGCAAGGCATACATCTGCGACACCGCAAGCGGGCTGAGGACCGGCTGCCGCTTCCTCCAGCGGTAGATCTTCAGCAGCACGACGCGCAGTCCGGGAAGCAGCCGCGGATTGGCCGCGAGGTTGTTCAGCACGATCAGATCGTCCGTCTTCGTGCTCTCGTCCAGCCGCGCGCGCGTCATCTCGAGCACCCGCAGCCCCGGCAGCATGTGGAACGCGCCGAGCATCTCCGCAAACGGGCCCTCGGCCACCGTCAGCTTCGTCAGCGGCGGCCGCGACACCCGCACGAACCGCGCGAAGCCCTCCGCCCCGAGATCGAAGTGGTCCATGCGCAGGCGCCCCAGGCGCGGCAGCGCGCCGAGGTGCGGCAGGATCGCCGCGGCGCTGCTGAGCGACCCGCGGCCGTCGCAGAAGCGCGCCTGCGCCGTGCGCGTGCTGCTCAGCACGATCTCCTCCAGCTCCTCCATCGGCACGGGCGGTGGGGGGTATTTCGACGGCGGGAACGCGCCCGCGGGGATGTTGACGAGCACGAGCTGGCGCAGCGACTGCGCGTACTCCATCAGCTCGAGCAGCGCGCGCAGGAGGCCCCCGCTGTGCAGCCGGTCGGGTGGGTCCGGGCGCACGATCAGGCGCTCGAGCGCCGGGAAGGGGTTGCCCAGGCACGGGATGTCGTGTGCGTTCTTGCAGACTAGGACCAGCGTCTCGAGGCGCCACCTCTCACGTAATATCAGTCGCGCGCATTCGGGATCTTGCAGACCGTCGAAGAACGCTAGCGCCAGGGTAGCATCGGCGGTTGGGGGTGAGTTGTCGAGCACACGCATACTTAGGTCGAGACGTTGGGAGTTGTTGTGGTCGAGGAATAAGAGGGAGATTGTTTTGTCATGGCTCACTCTGGTTGCTTTCTTCAGAAAGCCACATCGGGATGGGTGCGGCGATCAGCTATTGTAAGCCTAAAAAGGAAACCTATTGTCCGACATTTGTCTACGATATCATGGGTAGCCGAAGAGCAATGGCCGAGGACGATAGTGCACATAGTAAGTCTTGACTGACCCTCACAGTTGCACCCCTGGTGAGCACGCCGCGGGGGCAGATCTACGGGCGATGTTGACTTGGGTCTCAGACGCGGTCACGTGTGTATTCAAATGAATAATCCTAACACGTGATGCAACTGGCTCAACAAGGACTCTCTGATAGAAGACCGGGTCGAGAAATCTCTACTGAGATCGGTAGGTAGTGTCATTAATAGACACGATGCGGACGTTCACCAAAAGTGAATGGTCTGCGCGTCCTTACCGGCAGCCAACCTGATCTGCACGACGTTACTGGAGAGCGACGAAAACTGCCACCCATCAGCTGCTTGCGGATCAAACGGAAGAGAAAACACGCACCCCATCTCCAATAAACTCCTCAGCCGCCGCCAAAACGCTCATATCCACCGCCTGCGACACCGCAAACTGCTCCCTGCTCAGCCGCACATCAAACGAGCTGACCACCTCCCGCCACCCATCCCGCTTGAGCCGCGCCGCCAGCGCGCCCACCCACGCCCGCTCGCCGTCCGTCGCGACGTACACGCGCTCCAGCCCAGGTGCCCGCGTCCGCACGGCGCGCACCTTCGCGACGATCTGCTCGAGCGTCGGCCAGCAGTGCCGCACCCGCGCGTCGCGGCCGCTCTCGCCGGCCCGGACGTCGAGGTGGTCCGGGATGCGCGGCCAGGTGTAGTTCGCCGGGATCGCGCTGCGGAAGCCCGCGCGCGGGCTCGGCCGGGCGGGTGCGGGTTCGCCGAGTGCGTTCCAGGCGTTGTACTGCGCGTTGACGTCTGCGAGGAACTGGCAGTGGCCCTCGTAGTCCCCGCGGCGGACGTGCACTGCGAGGAGGTGCGGGATTGAGGGAGAGGAGGCGGGGTAGGGCGGGTGGAGGATGAAGGGGTTTGCGGACGAGTGGTCCGTGGAGAGGGATGGGGGTGGGGGGACGCTGGAGAGGAGCGCCCAGTTTTCGGAGAGCGCTTGGGTGATGAGCGGGGACCAGGCGAAGTGTTTGAGGATCGGTGAGTCGCCGTAGCCGGTCGGCCAGAGGCTGAGAATCTGCGGTCCGCCGATGTTTCTGAGCCGCGTCAAGTCAGCAAGGAGCCAAATGAGAAACACGAAGACGACTTGCAAGTAATCGAAGACACTCCATTTCGTGAGGCTGACGCACGGGGTGTTGATCCTCCTGAGCTTGTCCACCCAGTAAGCCATGATCTGCTCGGCGTCCGTATGTTCTTCGTGATGCTCAGCTTTGCGCATGTCTTTCACGTTGATGTAATACCGACTCCAGACGGGACACACGATATCCCAGTGCGCTTCCGACACCGAGCGCCGTGTCAGCGGATCGCTCGTGCCATCCGCCGACAGCGGCCCACCCCCAATCGCGCCCGCCAACATCGCTGTGAACGGGATCTCCAGGAACCGGCGGTGGGACTGGCCCTCCCCGTCATCGACAATGTCCGGAAATGGAGGGTGGTCGCGCGGAGTGAACGACGGGAACACGTAGGCGCGGTCCGTTGCGTGCGCCAGGTGCGCGTTTATCAGCCTGGATCGGCGCACGTCAGCTCAAGTGGACCGGAGACTGTGGCAACAACACCTACTGCTCCTGCAAAACATTGTTCCAGCCAGATCCCCACGACGCAGCGCTAAAAAACAGATATCTACATCCAGTCAGTATGGGCGCTTGCTTGCCAGCGGTGAGCAGAGGCTGAACGCACTTGGGTCTCGGACCAGCCTTCGCGCCGAGACGCGCGAGATGGTGTTGCGGCAAGTCCCACTCGTGCCTCCGCGCATCCTCAAACGTGGGATGCCCCAACGCAGCCGCCTCGGGGTGCTGCACGAACGCAAACTCGGCATCGGGCGACGTCCACCCGAGCTTGAATTTCCGCCACCACTCGTGTTTCGCCAGCGGATCAAAGACCCAGATGTACAGCCAGAGCACGAGCGAGGATGCGATGAATAGCGCGAGGAGGGGCCTCAACAGAGACGCCCGTCGTAGAATCATTCGCGAGTGGAGTGAATTTGAAAAAAAAAAAGGTCCGGCGTCCAAGGAGGGGGGTAGGTATACTCGAGTATATCAATTCACGGGAGTGCAAACGGGCAATCAGACCGAAAATTCTCCATCGGCGCGTTCGCCAAGACAAGGTTGGACGACTGGAAGCTGTCGCACGGGGCGGCACATCAGCCGCAGGCGTATCTGCGCAAGCCAAACTTTATGCTACGCAGCTGGACGTAGTATGGTCGCGAGCAAGCCAGGTCGGCTCAGAGAGGCTCAAAAGGCTGCAAAGCCCAGATCAGCGACTGTGGCATACGGTTGCCCACGACCGGAATCACAGGCTCTCTCTCTTGGCTTGGGTTTCAAGATCATTTGCGCCTGATAGGCGTTTCATACATGAGCCGCCTCCAGAGTCGAGACCGCTATTCAAACGGTAAATAAAACGGTCCAGCACGTAAACCAGCACTCACTCAGGGCTTCATGATCTGCATATGTCAGTGGGTGCACCCGGCTGTGTACAAGCGACACCGCCTTCTGATTTGCCGTTTTTGGAATGATAGCTGTGGACTGCGAGTTGTCCTTGTGTGTGTCGCGTTAGTTCTCATCCGCGACAGCTGTCTGGTGGAGCTCCATACACTCGACAGCGCGGATATGTACCAGGGATTTGCCGTGAGATTCCGCCTCGCGCACAACGCGACGGGGCCTTGCCGATTCCGGACCCCTACTCCTCCTCCGCTTTCTCGCCCGATCAGGGGCCACTGTGATGTCAGAGCACATTCAGGTGCATCCAGGCACATAGCATGACTGGAAAGGCGGCTTCGCCTTCACCTGCCATCTCTTTGTATAAGATTCGCGGCTGGGACCGCTGTGATGTAACGCGTCGCCGTTGGGCATGCGCTGGTGTTCGCAGCGCTGCCGGATTGTCTCGAGGGCAGAGGGGACATTCTCGTTGCGATGTTTTGAAACTCCGTACAAGGAAGCCAGCGACTCCTGTGCACGTCCACCATGGTCATCCTCATTCAGTAACACAAGGACTCGTTGCCCAATGGATACAGCAAACGAGACGTTGATTGTGCATGCACACGTCACCAAGAGTGGTCCATCCATTCAGCTCTGCTGGAGCCGCCGTTGACATTCTAGCGCAGATTTGGCGATATCAGCCACAGCAAGTCGAAACGCAGTCGCTCATGAGTCATGAGGAAGCACAAGTGCCGCACGCCAAGCGAGAGAGAAGTCGACAGCAACCATCGCGTCGCCTCCGGGTTCGTTTGAGATCAAGTAGCCTGGCGAGAGCCCAGAGAGCAGGGGCGCAATGCATCAGCGCACGTGGGGATCATCCGGAAAGCCAAGCCGTCTCATGTTTCTCGCCCAGCGCCACACAAAGACAGACACACATCCTGCCGCAGGGAGACTGCGACGCGTCTAGAGGACCTTCATGCGCGCAAAGCTTCACCAAGCTGCCAGGAAATCGGGTGACTTGGTTCCAATCGAGTCGGATAGGCCGGACGGAGATCGGAGTCGGAGGGGGAGGGCACTCAGCAGATGACCGTACACCGGGAAGCGGTGGACCAGAACGTGCGATGTTGTATCTGCATAGACGTCGCGAGGAATTCGAGGGGTGTTGATTGCCATGCCGAGGCGTGCAGAGTCACGGTCGAGTGGGATATATAGAGCATGCACCGTGCAGTGGGCCACTTCTGTCGCAACTGCGCGCTGAACCATTCCAAAGGCCCAAGGTGGTATTGCACAGCATTTGCGTTATTTTGCGTCCTTCATACGGGCCGATCAAGACGAGAGATGAAGTTCCGTCTAAAGCATCTGGCCTGTCAGCCACTGTGGCTAGCACCGAGAGCCATGCTCGTTACAGTCACAAGTAACGTCTCACCATCATCCAAATGACGTCACGTGAACGCACTTTCCCGGGCATGATGATTCTCAGGGCCACCCTCGAGGTTGCGCTTGCAGCCAGAACCCTCCGACTGGATCGGTACACCCAGCAACCCCCAGCGAGGTTCCGAATCAGATAATCTACGGACTACCCTAGCGCCATTGGGTGGGGGTGCTCATTGGGGGGTGTTCATTAATATTTATGAATAGCACGCCTCTTATGGCAGGTCGGTGACCAGCTATCGTAGCCGTCGGTGTGAGGGGCTGGGTTTTTCGCGATTTGGCCATGGGAACAGACATGAGCGGGTGGAAGATGCCGGGTCGATTCGGACGGCTTTACCGTCGGGTGCGCAGCGCAAGCAAGCAAACGAGCGAGTCAGTGACATGCCCGAGCCAGCACCGCCGCAGCGGAACCAATGCCCTCTTTCTTCGGCCCATGCCACGCGTCGTCGAGATATGTGATGTGATTCTCTGTCTTCTCGTGGCCTCATTCGATGCTGAGTGCCGACGGGGGGCCTCTTATCTCGCTCGATAGAAGCGCTTTCGACTCGCTCGATAGAAGCGCCTCCGAATCCGCTCAAAAGGGACACGAATCTCGATAATACATATGTATACAGCATTGACTTTGACTAATTCCCTCCACGCAGAATCTACTGCGAAAGCTGCTTGATCTTGAGGAGAATGGCTAGAAGAAGAAGGAAGGGACACGACGGAAACATTCAGCACTCCGGAGACACCCGACTTGGCAATCGAGGGCTGACCTTGGGGATCGAGGCCCTGGTGTGGGATTTGTTCCCACAGTCCGCCAGACCCTTCGCGGGTGGTGCCCATGTATCCGTATTTGGGCGTCAGCGATCGCTCCAGCAGCCAGGTGCCCATCTTCGATCCAAGACCGGTCTTCTGGTTGAACGACTCCACCACAAGCACGAATCCAGACGATCCGATCTTCCTCAAGGACTACAAGAGGACATCATCATCAGTCAGCGCGATAAGAAAAGGAGGCAGAGAGAGAGATGGAGGAGAATGGGGAACGTACAGCTTCGTCGATGATGTTCAGTGACGGCTTGTTGATCAACCCGACATCGATGCCCGCTCGCCTTGCCCGCAGAACGGCATCGTAAGAGCGGTACAGCATCTCTCCAAAGGTCACAACGTAACCCGCGGTACCCGGGATGATCTCCTCGTCCTTTCCGGGAACGAACTCGTAGTCGTCGCCAAAGAACTTGGTCTTCCCATCCTCCTTCAGGATGTACGGGACTTTGGCACGGGTGGAGAAGACGAATCGCAGACCACGCTCGAAGAAGACACGCTTGACCACGGCGACCATCTGCAGAGGATCGGCAGGGAAGTACAGGAAAGAGTGCGTGTCCGACAGGCCGTTGTCCGCAAAGAACGAGTTGATACCGAAGTGGCATGTGTTATCAGCCTGGAAGGTGTTAGAGAACAGTCGATGTGTCTGACCGATATGGCTCACCATCTAGAAAAGAAAGAGGTGCGTTCCATCAGTGTCTCAATCATATTCCTCTAACTTGCGACGAACCTCGTCAACTGGGATGGGTGAGCATGAAGTAGCAACTATGAATCCACGGCTACGTACCACCAGAGTGGGAGAAGTGGCACAACACATTGCACTCGTTGAGACGCGCCATGGTGATCTCCGACACCAACATCTCCAGGAACGCCGAGAACGTTGAGAACACACCAAACTTGTCCTTGTCGAATCCGAAACCAGCGGCAGCCGAGAAGTTACCGCGCTCCATAATTCCACCCATGACGAACACCTCCGGATGCTTCTGGTGGATGACCTTGAGCCCAGTCGAGCCCTCGAGGTCGCTGTCGATGACCATGACCTTGGCGGCCGCCTCCTCCTTGCTGAGGGTGTCGAGGACCAGGTTCACGGCCTCGCCGAACACGACACGGTTGGCGCCGCGCTCTTTGGTCGATCCGGTGTACAGGATGGGATCGCCCGCAGCTGCCATGCCGGCATAGAGGTCGGAGAAGTCGGGGTAGCCCCGGGAGATCAGGTGCTTCACGGCAGACTTGACGGGGACAACATCGTGGCCGTGCGGTGAGCCCTGGATATCGACGATTCCAGGCGCCATCAGACGCTTGGAGATGACTGCGAGTCGATCATAAGCCTACCAAACGATGAGCGCGATGGCAGGGACTTACTGGCGGCGGGCCCGTCGTGGCTGACGATCGAGCAGACGGCGGCCCAGAGCTCGTCGATGTTCTCGCCATCGACGGTGTGGACCTTGAGACCATGGCCTTGCAGGGTCTGAGCGACGCTGTATCCCTTCATGTACTCCGACGGGTGTCCAGCGATGGTGACATCGTTGTCATCGATGAGGAGCTTGACGTTTAAGCCCTGCGCGACAGCCAAACGGGCGGCCTCGGCGTCGTTACCCTCCTGCTGCGAACCATCGGATCCGAGACAGAACACGGTCTTGCCGCGATTTGCCAGGGCGACACCGTTGACAAGGCCCCTGCGAACGTGCGTCAGAAATCAGAGCCGGGTTGGTTGGGTTGCAGCTGGGGATCAAAAACCCCAGATACCCGGACAGAGAGCTCACCACATATGACCGAGCCGACCAGAGGAGAACTTGACTCCCGGTGTGAGGCCGAGTTCCGGGTGGCCGGGGAGCTTCGAGTTGGCTTCGCGGTAGTGCAGGAGGTGGTCTGCCGGCAGGGAGCCTTCGAGCGTAGCGAGCATGTACTGAGTCGCGACACGGTGGCCTGTGCAAGGAAACGATGCGCATCAGCATACACGCAGGGACAGACGGCGGTGGAAGGACTGAGAGAGAGCGAGAGAGTAGAGAAACACACTCACCAGCCTCATCGAAGACAATGGGGACGTACTTCTCGACGTCCTCATGGAACAGCGAGAGCAGGATGCACACCTCGGGCACGGTGTCGTAAGCCCCGCCCGTGTGCCCGCTCACCCCACGAGCGGCGCCGCTGGCGGTGAAGAACACAATCGCATCACGCAGAAGCTGGATGTTCGCCAGGAGATCCGCTTTCTCCTGCGCAGCGAGCTGGGGCTTGCTCGGGTCGAGCTTGAATCTAGATTGCGGCGATTAGACGAATCTCAGGCGCATGCAATCGAGACTGGGAACACACACTTTTTGAACTTGGTGAGATCTACGGGGAAGGACATGACTGAGGGAGGAGAATATCGGGAACGCCTGTTGCCTTGGGGTACGTTTTTGACTTATCGCTGATCAGATGATGACGTATTTACCGCATCGACTGGTTACCCGGGCCGGCTGCAGCCGCTTTCTCTTGATCACCGACTTGAACCGCTCGCGATCATAGTTGGTGGGTCTTGAGAGCACTATGATCTGCCATGTCCTCAGCGTCGTCAAATTCGTGCTCGGAATGAACGGTCAAGCTCGGAGATGACCTTAAGAAGATGCCCGAATCAGCCCGAGAAATGTAATGTGGGAAATGAGAAGAACTGTACTTACGCAAGGCAAGAGTACTACCGTGCAGGTCGCGTCGTTGAAAAATTATCGATCTGAACTTACTCAAGCGCATGCATTCATGGAACAGAGTCGATTCAGTCATTGTTACATTTCTACCATTCTATACACAGTCCTTCTATAATGATTCCTAACCAATTTTGAATCTACGCAAACACGACGAGTTTGCTCGTCACAGCGTATTGAGCAGGGACGTTTCCCTGCAGGCCGTCAGCATTTGTAATGGAAATCAGATAAGATAAGACACCCACCGGAGGGCAGCCATTGCCAGTTTCGACCACGACGACGTACAACGAGCTCCCCGGAAGCTGCGAAGCAGGCAGCGCAGGGAGGGTCAATGAGGCCGGGGGAGGGGGATTGCCGATCGAAGGCAGACCTGCGTTCGTAGCCGCCCGATCAGTCAAGCCGAGGGAAGGGAGGCGCGCAGGCACCACTGGGAACGCTACCCACCGAAGTTGGCGATCAAGAACCGTCCGTAGTAGTGCTTGGACGACAAAAGACTTCCGTCGGTCGCGTTGATGCTCGCGGTGGTGGGCGCAGAGTCTGTCAGCCAGACGCTGATGGGTGAGTAGCCCGATTGGCACCAGTTGCTGTCCTGGTACGAGAACGGGAACGACGAGCCGGCCGCGACGACCGTGCCCGCGGTGGGGGCGTTGATCACGCCGTGCTTCGAGCTGACCGAACGCGGCAGGACGCTGGCAGAGACGAGGGGAGCCACCAGAGCGAGTGAGATGAAAGATGTGAAACGCATGTTGTCGGAGTGCGATGGTCAGCAACCTCTGAATCTGCCCCGCTTTATACCTGCGAGAGCCCAGCGGCGTCCCAATTGCCATTGGCCGCACTCCCAGGGTACATAGATCCAGTCAGCAAGAAGGCACCCTCCAGGAAAAAAGAAACGCTAATACACTCTACAGGAATCCAGAATCCACGCTGCCGGCAATGCCGCAGCGCTTTGTGCGGTCCAGGGCAGAGAAGCCAGCCCGCAGGCAGGTTGACTGCAGACAGCGAAGGACCTGCCAAGATGCGACTTTCGTCTCCGAAGGCTCCAGCGAGGGCCACATCACGCTTCGAACACAGGTCTGATTCGGAATTGGGGCGGCCAGCCTCAGCCCGTCGGGAAACGAAAGGCCCCATTGACAGATGTGCCTTCCCAGAATGAAATTCAGCCTGTCGCGAGCACACGTTTGATCCTCCAGAAAATCTCGGAGGCTAGAGTATCGAAAAACTTCCAGTGTAGGATTATTCACTTCGGACTTGGGATTAACAACTCAACCGCGAAGTTCGTGGGATGAACAATGAGGGTCACGTGAAATCCAGAACAAACAGTGATGTGGCTGTGCACCACTATTCTTTCATCGGCCCATCCCGAACCTTTGAATCCTGTACATTCAGCACCTCAAACCAGTTTCGAACTTTTCAAATGAATCTCTTACATCGAATTGCCTGCTAACTGGAGATTTGATGGGCGCGTTCAACCTGTGTGTTTTGACGACACTTGAGCTCAGAACAATAGAGACCGCGGCTTTTGTTCTCTAGCCGAGGACGTCCGAAGTCCTCATTGTTCTTTGCTGCCCCCATATAAGACTCGGGCGCGTTCGTGATGAGGACCATCCACTTCTTTAGACTTTCTCTGTGTTTTCCTTCCGTGTCGCTCATTGCTCATGCCATTCTCACGTCTTTTCACGACCCTCATCGCCCTGGCTGGCGCTGACCTCATTCAGTCCGTTTCTGGACATGCCTGTGCGCTCGGATCGCCCTTTCCGTGTCTCCACTGCTCAATTTGGTCTTCATAGCTCTCTGGCACCCCTCCATGTACGGTTTCAACGTCACCCAGCAAACGTTCCCTTACGATAACCGACCTGTGCGTGCATGCCCTTTTCGAGTCGTCTTCTCGAATTGATGGCTCGGTGCGCCTCAGGTCAGCCCACTGACCAACTTCACTTTCGACCAATGGTGGTTCCACGGGCACCTCGCCTTCCCCCCACATCCGACCGACATATTCGAGCTGCCCGCCGGCCAGGCCGCCACGACCGAGATCGCCTGCAACAAGGGTGCCACGACGTTCTTCGCGTCCTCCGAGGGCGGCGACATCCGGCCGACGCCCGACTCGAACGACGTATGCCCCGGCTCGGGCACGGACGAGTTCCACACGAAAGGCTTCGACGACCTGACGGGCTGCGCGCTCGCTATCGCATACACTGCCGACGACAAGACCGTCGCGCCGGAGGACTTCACCGTGTTCAGCGTGAACCAGACGTGCGTGTGGACGCGCTTCACGGACTTCCAGGTGCCCGCGCGAATGCCGCCGTGCCCGCCGGGCGGGTGTCTGTGTGCGTGGCTGTGGATTCATTCGGTGCGTGTGCAGCGTAGCCCCTGAACCCGGTGCATTTTGGCTGACGGCCGACTAGCCTGACAGCGGTGGAGAGCAGAGTGCGTTCGTTCGTCCCTTGCATGCATTAAATTACTGACCCTGGTGCGATAGACTACATGACCGGCTTCAAGTGCAATGTCACAGGATCCACGTCTGAAGTCCCTCTGGCCAAACCCCAAGTCGCGCGCCGCTGTGGTGCTGATTCTATGAACGGCAAATGGCACGCGTCGCCGTCCAATTGCACGTATGGTGCCAAGCAGCCTCTCTACTGGTTCCAAGCCGAGCGAAACAACGTGCGTCCTCTCCATGCCCAGTGTATGTGTCTGCCAGGAACTGACGACTGAGGGTGCAGATGTTCGAGGGAACATATGCCCCTCCATTCTACACCGATCTCTATGGCTTCCGGGACGGCCAGCAAGACGACATCTTCCAGGATTCGTATGCGTTTCTCCCGACTCCGGCACCCAGCGGCCCGCTCCCGATCCTGAACATGTCCGCAGTAGCCCAGCCGGAGCTCGTGCTGCAGCCGTTGTGGAAGAAGAACCTCCAGGCGAGGCGCTCGCACTCGATGCGCAGGCAGTGGATGAGTCGCGTTTCTTTCTAAGTTGAGCTGGTTTCATGTACCACTAATGTAATACACTGTGTAAATGTAGGAGAGATAGCCTACTGTTGTTGTAGCCAATAATACTGTACTTGTATCCTTGACGGAAGGCATCGCGCATTGACAACAAGTGGTTATTCCGATAACGGCAGAATGCAGCCCAAGAAAACAGGGTATACAAGCATTACAAAAATAGATGGATATACACACATCCTCCGCGCCGGCCATAGATAAGCTAAGTGGATACATACAAACATGCTTCACCCACGCCCACCCTTCTTCTTCTGGGAAAGAAAGGAAATGGATTCAGCACCAAGCACGGGGCTGCAGGTAGCATCAGACTCACTGGGTCATATGTACCGTTCTCGATCTGCTTCTTTTTCTCCGTGAGGGCGGCCCATTGCTTGTTCAGCGCATCCTTCATCTCCTTGTGCCTGGCGTACAACTCGACCTCGGACTGCTTCAGCTTCTGCTCCTGCAGCTCCACTTTCTCCCGGAACACCTCCTTCATCGCACTCTCCATCTTGGCGAGCTTAGCATCATGCATCAGCCGCGCTTCCGCCATGCGCTCCGCAGGGCTGGAATCGGAGAGAATACATGAGCTCTCCATGCAAGACCAAAAGAACGACCACGAGAGCCTGAGCATACACCCACCTGACTTCCTGGAACACCGACGGATCCTGCACGACACCAAGCGCCGTAAGCCTCTCCGTGCGCCACGCCTCGTATAGCACATCCGCCGTCCGCTCGCGCAGCTCCTCCAGGTTCGTCCGGATCAGCATGTGGCGCAGCTTCGCAAAGTCGCAGTGCGCGGGGTTATCCACCTCGACGACGCCCCAGGGGTACGCACGCCCGCGCACGACCCGCCCGTCGGGCGTCCGCACGGGCGTCTCGCTGCCCACCAGCGCAAATGGGATCGCGCGCGCGATCTCCTCCGCCTCGCCGATCACCTCGTCCGTGTCGTCGTCGTACATCACCGGCCGGAAGAAATCGATGTCGTGGAACGACAGGTCGGAGATGATCTGCGCCGCCAGGTGAGCAGGGCGTAGATGCGGGTGCAAAACTGGTATGGGATGCATGGGCTTGGGATCGTACGTACCCGTTCCTTGAATTCCTCGACCTCGACCTCGGTCATGGTATCCGCCTTGGCGATAACCGGGATGAGGTTGACACGGTGATGCAGCCGGCGCATGAACTCGATGTCGATTTGCTTCAAGCTAGCCGGCAAGCTATAAGCGGTGGCACAGCAGAAGCGGTCTCCACTCACGAATGCCCCGTCGGCTCGATAAAATAAATGCACGCATGCACCCGCGTGTCCACGATCCTGGTCCGCCGTACCCTCGTTTCCTGCGTCAGGTACGCATCGTAGCGCTGCTCGATCGAGTCCAGAATGGGATCCCAGCTGTGAATACGCGATCTGTGTCAGCTTCACGATCCCAGAACGCCTCCCGACGCACCTCCCACTGTTGTTCACAAAGTCCCCGAACCCGGGCGTGTCCACCACCGCCAGCCGCAGACGGATCCCATCCTCCTCGATATCTACACAGGGAAGCGTCCGTCAGCCACACTTCCTTTCAGCCCATGCGCCATGCAGGACCCACCCGCTTCGGTGGTCTCGATCGCGACGGTCTTGGGTCGGTCGACGGACGGATGCGGCACCTCCCGGGGGGCGCAGATCGCGGAATCGAAGAGCGTGTTCACGAGCGTCGTCTTGCCCGATCCCGAATGCCCTGTGCGGCGATCTTTTCACCAAAATCCTATCTGGGGAGGGATGCACAGCACGCACCCACGACCATGACAGTCAGCTGGAACCCGTCCCTGAGGCTTTTCTGCCGCACTTGATTCGGGAGGGTCGAGAACCCGACGAGGCTCTGGATCTTGCGGCGCAGGATTCCAGGAGAGGGGTTGGTGCTGGTGCTCCCGTATACGACCATCGGCGCAGTGCTGAGCGAGCTTGCTACTTGGCAAGAGGGGGATGAACAAGGTTGTGTGGGCGGGAGCGTGTCATGATGGGTGGCATAGATGCATGGTGATGATCATGATAGGAAGCTGATGGCCATCTGCCAACGCCAGCGCGTGGTACACGATCACGTGTGATGCTGAGTCCGCGTCGACTTGTGGATCCCATTGAACAGACGAGACTTGAAGCAAGAAATGGACCAACTAGTATATGGATTGTTTTATACTGCGATTATTTCCATCAGGAGACCTCTTTCCAGTTGCAGACTGCGCAGAGCACCTCCCAACAGCTGTCTGATAAACCTTGTTCTTCTCAACTGATCTAAAAGCATGATGCATCTGGATTTTCATTCGTTCAATCAAGGTCGATCATTTAGAACTTTCTCAAAAAAGACACATGTATGGGAAACAGAGAAACTCATTTCCATGCTGGATGGCGTAAAATACCTCCGAATACATGTCAATGAACGAGGAGGCCGAACGCGTCTGAACCTCCGGCAGGATCTCGTCCCCGCTAAGTTCAATGACCTGCCCGTTTCCAGTGCACTCGTCCCAGTCCCCAACAACGACGTTTGTCTCGCGAATGAAGTTTACCCGGACGCTTGCGGTCCTGTACTTGAGCGTCAGCTCCATGATCCCACTGGGGGGCTGTCCGAGGCTGTCCAAAAGCACTTCGTTGATGAAGAAGGGCTGCGTGGGCAGGTATCAGCGTATCCATGGCGCAGACAAGCAACGCATCTCTAACCATGTTCTTGACTCCCTGGAACCTGCTCAGCTGATCAGCCGGGTGCACAAGGCAGTGCGGGGACGGCTCACTCCTCCCCCTCGGCTATATGCGCGTCATCACGGGCTTCGTCTCAGCATCAGGTGAACCACTCACTTCCAAGCTGACTATCCCTCGTCAAACCGTACTTCTATAAAAAAAAAACACGCGCACCCGTCGGTCAATAAGCCACCGCAACCAGCAAAGCACGCACAAGCGTGTAAATCTCGGTGGTCTCCATGACCTTTAGCGTCCCAACGATGGTCACGCGCTCGTTGGCAGCGATACTGCAGCCCAGTCAGTCCGGCTGCGCCGATGCTCGCACCCCCTCCGCGGGAACAGGCCGGACGCACTCGATGACAAAATCCTTGCGTTGCGGGTACGGTTGGTGCGCCTTGAGCGGATACGGTGCATCCGCGACGGTAGTCAAGGTGATCTCGCCCCCGACGTCGGGAAACTCGACCCGGTTGCTGACGGTGATTCGGGCTGGGAAAGGACATATGCATATGTTGGACTCTGGTCTTCCGCGGGAGGGCGGACCGACGCACCGGGGAAGCTGACCTCGACGGACGCGTCAAGCACTTTGTCCCATGTCCCAGGGAAATGCTCATGGGCGGGCACCGACGAGTCAAACATCACGACCGGCGTCCGGCCTGAGTGTTTGATGACCGTGCGAGCCGGGTCCAGCGTCGCTCTGACAGCCACAGTCGTGTTGTGCGATGAGATGCTGGAGCGGATGGTCGCAATTCACATCAACGCGGCCAAAAAAGCAGTGGGAGGTCAACTGACGGAGGCTTCACAGTGCTGGCGAAGCTGTCGTTCAGATGCACTTGGTCATCGCTGGACATCGTACCGGACGGAGAGCGCTGACGGCGTTGTAAACGGCCGCCTTGTTCCACCCAAGGGCTTCGAGCTCGGCCCAAGTGGTCAGTGGGGGGACATCCGCAGCTTCGGTGGACATCTCGTGAGACATGGGCACAATTCGAGGCACGATGCAAGTGCTGCTGGCTGACTGTTGCATCTAAACAGGTTAAATATGCCTACTGCTCCCCCTCCGGTGAGATCGATCTCCGTTCGCTTGTCGACCATGCTCTCTATTTCTCCCATCTGATAGGAGCCAAGGAACATCGCTGGTGAAAGCACACCCGTCTCAAGGATGGAGGACCCGCCCATAAAGCTAAGCGGACTTGCCGAGACCTCCCACCACCGTAAATGGCATCCGGCGGTATGCAACAGCGGTCCCAAGTGGCCTCGTTAGCGTCAGCATTCTTCCATCCTGCGCTTCGCAGCGAGCCTAGGAGTAGAATCAGTAGATCTCCGCTGCAGCTCTTGACATGAAATATGGTGCACATCAAGCCGGGCCGCACTGCACCGAAACCGAAACTGAAACGGCTGACAGCTGGCATTTTGGTGTGCAATGAGGTTGAGATCCTCGATTGCGCGCCTCAGCCCATACAGGGCCTGCTCACACATCTAGCGTTATCGGGACGCAAGGGCGAAGACGAGATCGAGCAGGAAAGAACGCGTCGGGCGTCGGGAAGGGCACGCACAGCTGAAACTAGCACTCAACCGCCCACAGCCGCCACTGATTTTGGCCGCGAAACTTCTCTCGCCGATCCCATCTATCTCTTGGAGTACGGGAGGAGATACGGACGGGTGCCGCGAGGACAAAACGTGGCTGCACCTTGCCCTCTGTCCCACGATCCCAGGACCCAGACCCATAAATGAATGTCAACAGTATAAGTAGTACACCCTCCTAAAGACATGCGCATGGCCATGCACGCGCTCAATCAGTCTTGAGCTTGCGCTGATCGCTTAGCGAGTTATTGACGAGCGCGCGCTTGCGCATATAATGGATGGCACCCTTGATGTCCGGCCACAAGAAGAGGGAGATGACGGCCGTTGCGATGGGGAGTGAGATGATCCAGTAGCTGGATAGATGGTCAGTTGATTGGGGAAAGGAAACGCGAGTCATCCCAACGCACTACTTGTCAGGCCTTTCATGAGGGAAGAAGTGCTCAAAGTTCATGCCAAAGTAGCCGCAGAGGAACGTGAACGGCATGAACACGATCGAGACGATCATCAATTGTCGCCTAAAATCGCCCTAGTCAACAGCGCAGGTGCGATACTTCAGAGATGAGCCTTACATAACCTGGTTCATGTCATACGACGTCATCTGTCGAAGACCATCTCAGCAGAAGAACGGCGGGTTGCTAGCAGCACTTACGCTGAACGTGTAATCCACGAGATTCTGCCCGCGTCCAGCAATGTCTTCCAGTTGCGTGATCACATGGTCGATGTGGTCGCTCACGTCTGCCTTGGATGAAAGCACGTCAGGCTCCTGAAACCGAGCAAAAGTTCAGTCCAGTCACTCACTAGATATGTCAAGGCCTTCTGACTCATGTAGCCTTCCACCTTGATCTCCTCATCGGGGTGCTGGGACGTGTCCACGAGCGCAGCGGCCCGATCGACGTCGTACTTTCGCAGCGTGCCGACTACCGCCTGTATGGGCGCCAGTGTCCGTCGGTGGAGCAGCAGATCCGCGCTCAGGACATGCATGTTTCGGACACTCTCCATGGTCGGTCGGCTGAGGATCATGTGCTCGGCCAGTTGGATCTTCTCTTCGTATGCTTGCACGACCTAGGAGCGCTCAGTAGATATGCGAGAGCGCACGCAGGCGTCGCACCTCCAGGGCCTTGTGTACAATGATGTTGAGAATACTCTGCACAAGCAGGGGTGCATCGGCTGACATCCGAAGCATGGAGTTGAACTGTCGTAGTCGCGTCGTTATGGATTGAGTGAGATCCAAATTTGGCGCTGAATGTAATGAGATAACAGTGCCTATTCTTATAAATTAGATGGCGCCCAGTTGTGACCTGGGAGGGGACAGACGCACCATCTCGCAAGAGGAAGATATACATCGGAAGCACATGCACATCGACACGCTCACTGCTCTTCAGCATGTTGAGCGCGGCTTCGTTGAACCGTCTGTGCTCCCCAGTCACGCGCCGCTCCCCTAATGTCGGACGCCCGTCGCCTTTCGCAGGTACGCTCCCATCGACCAGTGTGGTATCAGTCGGATGGTTGAGCAGCTCGTTCAGTGGATTGCCGTTGCCCAGCTCGTGGCAAAGTATGCGCAGGAACAGGTGCTCGGAGAAGTAGTCCACTTTCGACCGGGCCGTCGAGGTCGAGGTCGATCTCACGATCTCTTCCAGCGCCATGGGGTTCAGGTCTGCCCTCCAGTCGTCAGCGCTCGGGCACCTGGGGGCACAAGGGCTGCACACCCACTGTATCTTATAGCTACGGCCTTGATGACATCCCAGCTCACACCGCCAATCGAGATCCACCGCACCTTGACCCACCGCTCGCGCTCGCTGGCGACGGGGTCGTTCATGAGCTCGACGAACTCCGCGTTCGTCATCCGCCCGAAGCTGCTGCGCACAGCGGAGTAGTCCGCGATCTCGATCACACAGCGCTCGCGCAGGTGCTCGAACTCGACGTCCGCGGCGGGGGAGCGGGGGTCGACGCCCGGCTCGATGCCGACGCCGCGCTGCTGCACGGTGTCGACCACCCCGCGGTGCAGAGCGATGACCTTGCGCGCGGCCTGGCGGAATCGATCGAGCGGAGGGATGTGCGTGCTGCGGAGGTCGAGCGGGGGAGGGTGGTCTTCGTGCGCTTTGTGTTGGCGTTGCGAGTGGAACGAGGGGCGCGGGGGATGCGGGTGGTCGTGTGTGGGCGAAGAAGCGAAGCCGTCCTGCATGTCAGGCGTCAGCGACCGACCATCGGAGTCGCTGTTTTCTCGGGGCATGGCGCCACAAGGAGGCGGAGGATAGGTAGGGAACGAGTGTGGCTGCAAGAAAGGTAGTGATAGGCCCCCGGACGCTCCCCCAGAACATCTTCCGGAATAGAGTAAATTTAGGTCAAAATTTCCTGTTTTCCCCTCCGGAAAATAGAGTAAAACCAGCCCCAAATGCCCACATGTGCTCCAGAAATAGGGTAAAAGTTGCGCAGAATTGGGTGAAGCCTGACCGATTTTGGATTATCACATCCCCAATCAACGTCCCTTTGACCCGCCTGGGGTGCCGAGAATCCCAAGCCATCACTTGGAGACTCAGACGGTAGATATGTAGATACGGCCGATTCGCGATGATAGACTGCACAGTACTTACAGAAAATTGCGTGACCGGACGACGAGAAAGAGAGCCAAGGGCTCAGGGACACTAGACCAAATAGATTACAGCCCTATGGAAGCGTAGGGAAAAAAACGAATAACCTTGAATAATCCCTCCGGGAATAGAGTAAAAGTCGCTCGAAACGCCGCAGATTTTAGAGTAAAAGTGGCTGACTCAGCGGAGGATGTTCTGGGGGAGCGTCCGGGGCCTGTAGTGATGCATTCAGCGCTCATGTCAATGTCATGATCAATGCCATCATGATCGGGTCAGCCCGACGTCGTGATGGCCGTTGATGCCAACTCCTGTTGTAATGCATTGCAACTGAGGAATATGTGGAGCAAAGCATATATCATTTCCATGGAGAACTAGATGCAATTGTGGCAGATTTCATAGAACAGACATTGACAGCTGGAGGAACGGGCTCCAAAACCTGGAACCGTCGCAACCAACACAAAAATGGCCGGTGCGCTACAGATAGACAGTGACCCATGTCCGAGGACGTATCAAGCGGGCCGGTTTCGCGACTTTCCCTCTATGTCTTGGAGTAGAGCAGGTTGAGGGTCCAGCGAATGAAACAAGTAAATCTGATCACCTGATCGTGAAACACGTCACGCGTGGTGATTGTTCTGTCCACCGGTGCCTGAATCCGACCCAGACGGCTGGCTATCAGTCACTTGCATGCAGCCACTGCTGTATTTCCGATTCCCGCCCACCCCTCTCATTCGCACCTTGCTCAATTTTCGACCTCGATGCTTTATGTCGCTTCCTCCTCGACGCCTCCGAATTCCAATGATCATGCGCCGCGTGGAAAGTAGGACACTGGAAAGGGTCCGAAGCCGCCTAGAAGTTATTTCCGGTTTTCCGTACGTACTGGTTGCCATTTCAAGTTGGACGTCGAGCTTTCGGCGTTCGCCTCTCGACTAACAACAAACACAGACGTTCTGATTATCCGAGGCGCGGCGAGGCGTGATCTTCCCCGCGCTATGTCGCGTTCCCGTGCGCATCTCACCGCGTACTTCCCAAACGCTCGGGCAGGGTCGGATGGCGGTTTGTTGAGTATGCATACTATTGATCGCAACTGACAGGTGTTTCTGCACCATAGAGGTGTTTTCGGTCGTTAGAGCCATTTAATGCATGTATTGCCTTCGGGTTTTTTACAAATGATTCCTTATATACTCTAAAATGATTGTGCAAAGTCCGAGAGCAATCGGGCAAGTGCAAAGAATTGCTCGGCGCTGCCGGCGCATCAAATGAGGTGTTCTCAAGCTCATCTCTGTAATTCCAAGCCTCCCGTTGGTCATTTCAGGCCGGGTAAAGACGAGCAATATATTATCAAGTATCTAAATCGTATTCAATACATGCTTTGCTATTCCGGGCTTGCAATGGATGTGAGCAAGGGTGATCAGCCAAAGCGTGACAATTCAAGCTCCGCGCATCAAACGCGTTGATTGACAGCCATGTGTGTCTGGCGTCGCATCGACAAACTTGCTTCTCGAGTCTCTAATCAGTTGCGCATGCCTCGCGCTGGCCATGCGGACGAGAAGAAGATCAAAGCAGCCTGCGAAACGGTTCTCAAGCGCTTGGCACTGGGCAACAAACCAAATTACGCTTCTGCTGCTCGTAATGGCTCAAGGACCTTTCCACCCGGGTCTAGCACCTCTCACATGTCGTCAATACATGTAATGTATCTACTTCAACTTATATTCTTTCTTCTGTGAGTGTCGACACGACTCGGGGAGCACAAGATCAATTGCCGGTTTGGCCATCACACTGTCATCACTGTGTCAGTGTGACGATTGTGACCACACATGTAATTCCTCTCGCTCACATCCATTGCAAGCCCGGAATAGCAAAGCATGTATTGAATACGATTTAGATACTTAATAATATATTGCTCGTCTTTACCCGGCCTGAAATGACCAACGGGAGGCTTGGAATTACAGAGATGAGCTTGAGAACACCTCATTTGATGCGCCGGCAGCGCCGAGCAATTCTTTGCACTTGCCCGATTGCTCTCGGACTTTGCACAATCATTTTAGAGTATATAAGGAATCATTTGTAAAAAACCCGAAGGCAATACATGCATTAAATGGCTCTAACGACCGAAAACACCTCTATGGTGCAGAAACACCTGTCAGTTGCGATCAATAGTATGGTGCCAACCAGTCTGGGCCAGCGGATCACCATCGCTGTTATAGTCTCCGAGATCTTATTGCAAGCGACCTCTCTTAAATAGACCGAGGCAGCAGCGATGTTTTCCCCGGACTCGAACTCTCCTCGAACCAGACCTCATGATCGGCGCAGCACTCCTCCTCCTCTCCCTCCTGGCCCCCCTCCAGGTCCTCGCCGCCGGGGGCTACGTCCAGAAGCCGTCGGGAGTCGCGACGTTCACGGTGTACTCCGGATGCAAGACCCCGGCCTGCGGACGGACCGGGTCTGGCTACACCGCGGCCATCAACCAGCTTGCGTTCGGCTCGCTGCCGGGCATGGGCGCAGGCGACTCGTGCGGCCGCTGCTTCGCGCTGACCGCCACCTCGGACCCGTACGACGCGGGCTTCAAAGGGCCCTTCGGAAAGTCCATCGTGGTCAAGGTCACGGACATGTGCCCGCACACCGCCGGCGGAACGGTGCGTCGGGTGTCTCTCTCTATCCGCCCTGAGCGCCGCTCTGACACGACTCCGACAGGGCTTCTGCGACCAGTCCGTTTCGCGTCCGCTCAACCAGTTCTCCGCGCCTGTCCAGTACGTACTTCCGCGCGCGCACACATCAGCTGCTGCCATCTGCTGACCTGTGTCACAATTCAGCTTCGACATCTGCTCGGACACCGGAGGCGCGGCTGCCTTCTTCCCGCCCCCGCGCGGCGCGCTGAAGGGCACATTCAAGGAGGTCAGCTGCAGCACCTGGTCCGGCTCGGATGGCGCGCCGCTCTGGAACGGAGGCTGCCTGAGCGGCGAGAAGGCATCCTTCTGGCCGGCGGTCAGTGGCTGCGGCAACGTCGGTTCGTAACATGTCTGTCTCGTGCCCGATTTGTACTCATGTTTTACGGCCAGGTTCCGCTCCCGCATAAGCTGTCAGAGGGCTCGCACATCCATCCAACTCTCGAATAAACTACAACTTTGTCATTTTCTTACGTCTCATAACGTCTCATGAACTTGGGTTTCCCTTTTCGGACTAAGTCACTCCTGTGCTACCGCTGCACCATGGAAACCGTCGAGTAACTGCCGCCGATGGGTGACCGTTGTCAGACATTCTTAGTTGCAAAACCGAATTACATATACAAAAATGAGAGGGGGGACATCGAAAATACAGGCGATGCAATAACTGCGCATAATTAAAAGTTAATGTCAAGTCTCCGGTCCATGTCATGGCTCGAAAACGAGCTTTATCGGAAGGGTCTCGTCCAAATCTATGCAGCGGGAAGGAAGACGTTCATGCCCCATGCCCTGCACACGAACCAGGAGCAGATTGCAGGTAATATGCTGTGTGGTTCATCTCGGATTGCTGCGGTTTTCGCTGTCCAACTTGGTCACGCACTATGATTTGAATGATCTGAACCAAGTCATGTGAGCACTCGGGATCTGGTCTGTGTGATAAATTTCCGGACGCACCCCCAGAGAAGCAACATACTCCAGACTACTCCTACTCAGATACAGGATGAAAGACACCACGACGGAGAGCGTGTAGATCAAGCCGGTCTCGAAGAAGATCTGAGCTACCCGGGTCAGGAAATGAGGCCGCAACAACCCAGCGTTGGCCAAGGGACGTGCGGAGTCGTGGTCCATCTGGATCAGCCTTCTGACAATAAGATCTATGAAGCTGGACTCAGTGCTCATAGCCAGAAAAACAGGACTAGCAACCACTCACATAAAAAAACATCAGACCGAGACTGGTTGCGAGGTAAGGTAGCACCGAAGAATCATTCAAGGTCTTGTCGGCGGGAGACTAATTTCGAGATAGGTGCTGAGCGCAGTCGCAACTGGCCACGGGAGATCAGTAATTTTCCTTCGTCCACTTGCAAAAAGTATTTCTGACCGACCAGCGTCAAGTAACTTATGAATGGTACGAGAACCTTGCGAAATTTTCTGTCGTACAACACGTAACATCGGTAGATCTGGAGAAAGAGAATCAGGCGCGAAGGTTCCGAGGAGTCGGCAACATACAAGCAACGCATCACCCCATGCGACCTGAGCCGTGTCCTCCACTGCCAACATTCAATGCGTCTGGCAGCCGACGTCATGGCGCCGATAGAACTCCAACGCCCCGCCCTCCCCGGCGAAATCCATGAGATGAACGCATCGAGAACATTGCGGAGCGAGAGCGCAGTCGAGAAGGTCGCGATGAGGAACATCGATATGGAGGCGAGCAGAATCGGCAGCTTGATCTCTTTCCGTCTGCCAATCCCCCGGTGCGGCCTCTCTCGCCGGGAGATCCACGCAAAGCTGTTCAAACACGGGTCGAAGGTGGTGACGAGAATGCCTGCGTGATCTTGAGCAGCGAATGGGGATATCCGACCGTCGAGTCGTACCATAGAGAATTGCGTTAACGAATAGCGCAACTAAGCGTACGGTGTGCACCTGCATCTGGAAAGGTGAGAGAAGTTTCGGCGATGGCGCAGTAGGCGCGGCGCGGGCGGCGGTATTTATACGACAATAACTTTCCATACAATCGTTTTCTGGGGCCTTGTTACGTGGATAATTCCAATCGCGCATCATCATAGACCAACTCAGTCAATCTGGCCCAAGCGAAACAATTGAGAACCGGGCTGCGGTTGTCTATTCTCGCACAGATACAGTGTGACGAGCCGAGGTAATCCGGAATTTCGGGGTTCGCTCAGAGAGTATGGAAATCTGCGATCGATGGTTTTGACCTTACACAGCTTAGAGCACTTGGGACTTGTAGAAGGCACAGCAGAAATATATTTTCAGCAAAGAATCAATCGATCAACGATAGCATCAAACACGATCACCTGACTTGGCATTGTGCGGCGCGTGATGAGACAGTCGAGATTCGTGACAAGTGTGATGTGAAGAGAAACGCGCTTATGAACAACCAGTTTGAATTCGATGCGGACCCCATCACTCTGAGGACTGCATCCACGGTGGAGAACGTCATTCTATCTGATGCTGCTGTAGAGGTGCAAGGACCATGTACCATGGGGAGAGCCATGTCCGCCGAGGTTAGTCAGATCGGAGCTCTGGACTGCCTGACGAAACATCGTATTGGCTATCAAAGTGCGACTTGGAGAAAAAGCTGCGAGAGACCCGGGTCGATCACATTACATTGCATGTGACCAGTACAACGGGCCTATCTGAGTCTATTCTTCCTCTTTCAAACTATGTTTTTCCGTTGGATTTTAACGACCTCCCATCTGCTCACCGAAGTTCCATGGGTCGACGATGGACCCATATGCGCCTTCTGGGCCGGTTCTGTCTCACCAGGGCTTGTTGATGCCATCTGTCCATCTCCTAGAAGCGCCGATGGGCTGCCATGCCCTGGGCGCTTGGTGGCTGTGAGCCTTGGCATCGTTCCAGCGAGGCTGTGTGTATGTACGGAGAACCGCTGCCCAAAACCGAGGCAGAGTCCTTTACTTCCTGCCGTTGACCATGTCTCGAGCTGACGAAGAGCAGGCTGACAAAGGAGAGGTCGAAAAATCACAGTCTGACGAATTCCAGACCGACCAGACCGACGAATCGCAGTCCGACGTATCACAGACCGACGGATCACATGCCGACGAAGCACATGCCGACGAAGCACATCTCGAGCGCGAGAGGGCGAGCGGGAACAAGCTCTGGAGCGTCTACATCTCTGAGGCGCAAAACTACGATCAGGGTCTGATCGAAGGCTGGCGCAGTGAGATGGATGGTCTGCTGATCTTTGTGCGTCCCCCCCTTCCGTTTTGAATCCATGTCCCTCTCTGAATTTGACTCTCTAGGCTGGTCTCTTCTCGGGAGTCGTCACCACGTTCATTATTGACAGCTACAAGACGCTGAATCCCGACTCGGGCAGCCAGACTGTCGTGCTGCTCAGCCAGACCGTTGCACTCCTCAGCCAGATATCGCACCAGCTGGCGAACATGGACAACGGCACAGCGGTGACGGACGCACTCCCTCCCGCCGCTCCCTTCTCGCCCCCGATCTCGTCTATCATATGCAACGTACCGTGGTTCACCAGCCTCGCGCTGAGCTTGTCGAGTGCCCTCGTCGCGACACTCGTCAAGCAGTGGGCCCGGGAGTACCAGCACCGGACTACCATGTTCTCCTCCATCTCGATCCGGTCGCGCGTGTACATGTATCTTTACTACGGCTTGCGCCGCTTCAATATGCATCTCGTTGTTGGGATTCCCCCGCTTCTCCTGCACGCGTCGCTGGTTCTGTTCTTTGCGGGTCTGGTGGCCTTTCTGGTGCCCGTCAACGTCATCATCTTCGCCGTGTTGATCAAATATCATCTGTCAAGATGGATGTCGTGATACATATCTATGACTCCATCACGTGTCATCTAGAGTCATATCGACTCGTCCCAAATAGACACAAACGGCCCCCTGTATCATATATAAGGAGGGCTCTATTACCCTTTAATACAAGTCTCTTGACTACTCCCGCATAGTGCCCACACTAAGCTCTCAACTCACACAGGTGGGTTGCTAGACGCTCTCCCCAATGCTCAACAGGTTATGGGCCCCGAGAGCTATGTCTGCGCCTCAGTGGCCGCGACATTCATTGTATGCGCCGTCACTGGCTGCAACGATGAGCAGCGTCTTTAGCCTATCTGCATTCACTTCAGCTGCTGCATAGCGCTGGTGAAACCATGCCGGATCGCGATTACATCGCTTGATCCAGATGCATCGATCTCTGAAGGAGATTATGATCTATGAGGATCTGATCATCTTTATCTTTGATTTTATCTATCAGATTAGATTGATGCTGATCACTCACACAGATCTAACATGTCGTCCAACTCCAACAACATCTTCAATGCTGTCTCCATCTTTGATGGAAAGCACTGGCTTGTCTGGTCCGGAACTATGGAGTCCTATCTGGAGCATCAGGGGATTTCATATGTGCTGACTGAGACCGCGCCAACCGAAGTCAAGGCTACGGATGGCTCTGTGACCAACGCATCGGAGATCAAACAATGGAAGCATGATGATCTCAGGGCGAAGGGCAGCATTAAGTTGCGCCTGACTGAGGGAGTCATTGCCAACATTCCAACCGCCAACATAGTGTCAGCTGCAAAGATCTGGGAGCACCTGAAGACCCAATACGGTGGTGCTCAGTGCGCCGACCTGTACGCGTACTTCCAAACCGCGTTGAACGCCAAGTACAACGTGGGGTTGCACCCGGATCCACAGCTGCTGGTGATCACTACGGCGTTTGCTCGCCTGGAGAACGAGTCTTTGAGCATCCCTGAGTTCCTCAGAGCGATGATCATTCTCAACATAGCCCGGATTCCCTCTGTCACGGAGACTGTTCTACAGACTTATGACAAGGACGAGATCAAAGTCTCTGCGGTTCGTGACGCTCTCTTGACGCATTTTGCTCAGAAGCAGTCTCAAAGCCAGAATCATGTGGCCAAGTTCAATACCAAGCGCAAGCGCGATGACCCTTCGTTCACCAATCAGCAACAGGGCTCTGGCTCTGCACCCGATAAGGGTGATAAGGCTGATGGAAAGAAGAAGAACCGTCGAGGCAAGCGCAGTGGGAAGAACAAGGACAACAAGGGCAAGGGCAAGGCTGATCACAGTCATGTCCATGGAGTCTCCGAGATCACTGGCTCCCTCACTATCGGTTCGATCGCCTCGCTCACTCCGTCTATCCCTGCGCCGACGATCTTGCATGTCACGCACATCTCTCGCGATGGACCCAAAATCCGCGCGGTTCAAGAGAAGTCTCCCGTTAACAACAATGGGATTATTGACACCGAGTTCCAGAAGCCTACTCGTAAGGTCTTCGAGCTGGCCAAGAAGATGGATGTGACGGTGACCGCAGAACGCTTCCGGACTCTCGACAAGATTGTCAATGAGAAAGGAATGCTCCGCGAGGACGCAATTATGCGTTCTCCATCTCCGGTTGCTTCCGGCTCGAATCACACGCTGGATGATGGTCCTCCTGCCAAACGCAGTCGTATCGAGGAGATCCCCGACGTCGAGATGGCCACCGGCCAACAGAACGATCTTGATCTTCTGTTTGGAGATAGCGAGTTCGCCCAGGCTGAACCGGTCAATTGGGATGAAGTCGTCGACTTCAACACCCTTCTGGAGGAGATGGATGCTCCTTCCGCCGAAAGGCAAGTACCCTGCCTTCTTGGGCACATGCACAATTCTGATTGTTGCTCACAGCCAGAGCGCGTAATCACCGCCGCCCCGGGTTCTGTACTTAATTCGTTGATGATTCGTTCGCATGATTTTTGTACCAATCTATTCTGTGTGCACTCCGATTTTGCTGCCTGCTCTAAGTGTAAGGGGAAACATCATCATCATGAATTAGGGCCTCTATGGCTTCTTGATTCAGGTGCATCTCTCCATGTGACATCGGAGATTAGTGATCTGGTCGGATATGAGAAGCTCTCAGATCCTATTGTTGCTCAGACCGCTGATAAGAACACACGTGTTGCCCTTATTGGTCGAGGAACAGCCTTCATCGATCATTACGTCACAAGGCATGGAGAAAAGACAATGGTGACTTCTCAGATATATCCAGTGTACCTAGTGCCAGGATTACATGGTCGTCTCATGTCTTTGGGCTCCTTACTCAAAGGAGGATCTCGCGTTCGTGGAGACGAATCGCGGATCAGCTTACATCGAGGGAAGTCCCCACTCTCGATCATGGAGTTTAGAACTCTAGGGAAGGACATTGCTTTGTACTTCCTGATGTCAAAGCCTAGTACGGCTGAGACAGTGCGATCCATGTCCACTGTTTACAAGGTGGATTATGAGATCATGCACCGGCGATTTGCACATCCGTCGAAAGACGTTTTACGTCAGGCAAAGAAGAATACCAAGGGCTTTCCAGAAGACCTAGTATTTCCCGAGGAAACCCGACCGTGTAAAGGATGCGCGCAAGGGAAAATGCACCAACGTGCCTTCCCGCCTTCCGAAAAACGAGCGGAGAATCCGTTTGATTTGATCCACTCAGATCTCAAACAATTTCCCACGGTGTCTTATCACAAGTACCGCTACTTCATGAGCTTCTTCGACGAAGCACTCTCCTATGGCTGGACAGTATGCCTTGCGCAGAAATCCGATGCCAAGCAGGCTATGCGCAATTTCATTGCGATGGTCAAGAACCAGTTCAATGTCACCATCAAAAAGTGGCATATTGACAATGGGGGAGAATTCATGGGGATGGGAATGGAAGAATTTCTCGCGGAACAAGGAATTCTAGTGGAGAAGGGTGCTCCATATGCTCACCAGCAGAATGGGCATGCCGAGCGCTTCAATCGTACGATCATGGATAAGGCAGAAGCCATGCGCTTCACTGCCTGTCTTCCTAATTCTTATTGGGAATTCGCTATCAAACATGCGACACGGATCTACAATATGACACCTATCAGGCGTCTAAAATGGAAAACTCCATTTGAAGCTCTTCACAAGGAAAAACCGGATGTTTCCGAACTCCGAGTCTTTGGTTGCGCTGCATATGTCTTTATCCCTGATGAGAAGCGCGCTAACAAGTTATCGCCCAAATCGGAGCTGATGACCTACTTGGGCATTCCTGATGGTGTGAAAGGATTTTTGTTCATGCGCACAAACAATTCCACGTTCGTCGCCACCAAGGCATTGTTCGACGAGGAGTTGTTCCCTCGCTGTCCTGACAGCAATCGACCACCCCACGTTCCTGTTGGAGAGGAATTTCCAGAACGTGATGACCCAGTGAATCCACAAGATCCACCACAGGTAGACGGAGAAGATTGGCTATATGGAGATAATCCTTTTCCATTTCCCATGCCATCTGATCCGGCTCCACCACCTCCCGTACAGGGAAATGATGATGGTGACGACGGTCATAATCGTCAGGACCCACCGCCAGAGCGTCGGGATGAACCTCAGAGGACTCGTAGAAGTAGAATTCCACGACCAAGTCGGGAAGCTTCACCAGCTCCTGAACCTCGAAGGTCTTCACGCCAGCGGAATGTGCCTACACGTCCAGGAAACGTCTATGGGGAAAAGCGTACCCCTACGGATATAGTCCGTGACATTCAGAACAGCAGAGGATGGAAGCGGTATGTTGGTGAAGATAAGGGTAGCTCCCAATCTCAACCATCAACCAGTGCTGATGCAGGGGTTCCCGGCCCTAGCTCGCAACCAGATTCCTCAAACGCGGGTGCTTCTGATGATCTAGACGAGGATGCACGCATGGAGAAGCTATGCCGGGAAGGGGGAGTAGAGCTCATCACGGCGCTGCTGTCAAAAGCGGTTCCAAATGAGAACCTACCTGATACGTCCAAAATTCGCGATTGGACGTTCCGCGATATCAAGCGGTTGCCTTCTGAACAACAGAAAGGTTGGATTGATGCTTGCCGCGACGAGTTAGAGGCACTTCGTCAGCGCAAGGTCTATTCCCTTGTGGACCGCCCGAAAGGACGGAAGGTTATCAGATGTCGCTGGGTCTTTGACCAAAAATCTGATGGCCGAAAACGTGCCCGCCTAGTTGCCAAGGGTTTCAGTCAAGTCGAAGGTGTTGACTATGACGAGATATTCTCTCCTGTCGTCAGGTATGAGACGTTCCGGTTAGTCATGGCGCTTGCAGCGCTAAATGATTGGCATTGGTCTGGACTCGACGTCAGTAAGGCTTTTCTCTATGGAGAGCTTGACGAAGAGGTCTACATGGAACAACCCGAAGGCTTTGTGGCGAGAGGCCAAGAGCGCAAAGTCATGCGCTTGCACAAGGCAATCTATGGACTCAAACAAGCTGCTTTAGCATGGTGGAAAGCGCTGACCAAGTCCACGAAAGCCATGGGCTGGATCCGACTAACATCGGATGCCGGCGTGTTCTTCTACAAGGACTCTGATGGCAGCATAGCCGTCATAATAGTCTATGTGGATGATGCTCTGTTCTTCTCCAAGAACAAGAAGCTCCTCGCCTTTCTCAAGGCTGAGTTCAACAAGCGATGGGAATGCCGCAATTCTGAAGATACTCCAGAGTTCTTGCGCGTGCGCCTCAGTAGAGTAGGATCTTCGATCAAAATTGATCAGATTCCTTATCTCGACAAGGTGCTAGAGCGCTTTGGGATGCAGAACGCCAAGTTTGCAGCGACCCCTCTACCGGCTGGATATGTTCCAATGCCAAATGAGGATGAAGTCGATCCAGAGCTCAGGAAGAAATTCCAATCAGTCATTGGATCTCTTCTCTTCATCATGCTAGGCACACGTCCTGATATTGCATTTGCTGTGACCAAATTGTCACAATTTGCCGCCAATCCGTCCCAAGACCACCTCCATAAAGCGCTGTATATCTGCCGCTATTTGGCTGGTACTAGGAATTATTCGCTCATTTTCAATGGTGCGACGGATAGAGGGCTCATTGCATTTAGCGATTCAGACTGGGCTGCTGATCCGATCAAGAGGAGGTCTACCACTGGTTTCTTCACGAAATTGGCAGACGGGATTATTTGCTGGCAGTCTAGACTTCAGCGCACAGTCGCGCAGTCTTCGACCGAAGCAGAGTACATGGCGATTTCAGATTGTAGTCGCCAGGTGATGTGGCTGAAGAGCGTCCTTTCGGAACTCCAGTTCAAACTCACCATCCCAGTACCCATTTGCGGTGACAATCAAGGTGCACTCTTCAGTGGCAGCAATGCCTACCGAGACCGCAGGATGAAACACATAGACATCCGCTATCACTACATTCGTGAGCGAGTCGAGGAAGAAGAGGTTGAACTGTTCTTTATTCCGGGCAGTGAGAATCCTGCAGATATGTTCACCAAGAACCTAGGACGCGTCAAGTTCGAGAAGTTCAGGTCCCAACTAGGACTTGAGTTCAACTCGTCCTGAAGGAATGGCCGATGAAGATTTCGCTTTCAAACACTATCCTGTGGTTTTCAGCGTGGGGGAGTGTTGATCAAATGATGATCTTATCGTCTGCCAGATGGATGTCGTGATACACATCTTATGACTCCATCACGTGTCATCTAGAGTCATGTCGACTCGTCCTAAATAGACACAAATAGCCCCCTGTATTGTATATAAGGAGGGCTCTATTACCCTATAATCCAAGTCTCTTGACTACTCCCGCATAGTGCCCACACTAAGCTCTCAACTCACACAGGTGGGTTGCTAGACGCTCTCCCCAGTGCTCAACAGCTCCCCCAGACGCTGTGGGATTTCGATAGAAACAAGCCTCGCAGCATCTACCGGGCACAGTTCCAGAGCTTGTTGCAGGATCCGGAAGTCCATCTCGGCCGGCGTCTTGCCGATTTCATGGCTGGCTCAAACAGCAATCTGCTCGAGCACAGGGACCGCGTCCGCCGCCAGATCTCCGTGCTCCGGGCCATCTGGGCCACCTGCGCGTTCGCTCTCCACACGGGGTCGCCTCTGCATAGTCCCATCGGAGAAGCCGGCGCCGAGCAAGCGCTGCTCAGCTCGAAGTTTATTGACTCTGACGACGTGCAGAGCATGATCCCTGACGTGTCCGCCCTGATCCGTCTGAACATGCTCGAGTCTCGGAGCCGGGAACAGGCTGCTACGCCCCCCAGCGACTCCGCCGGTGAGATCCGTGCCGCAGGGGAGGAGCAGCGGCAAGCGGCGTACGCGGATTATCTGGTGGTGCTTTCCAAATGCGCTGCCGGCTTCCAACGGGATGTGACCAATCAAACGCACTCCACAAAAGTGTACGACTACAGAACTCTGCATCAGGCTCTCGAAAAGCTGATCGATTCGGCGTTGTACAAGACGGCGGGCGAGAGAGCGGACAACGTCGTGTTTGCTGCTCGCCTGATGATCAGCCCGTTCGCCCAGATATCGAAGTATCCCCATTGGCCGCTGTGGGGTCTTGGGCCGTTCCTTGTCCGCCATCCGTCCCTCGCCACCTCCGACCCGGAATTCGACTCTAAGCATCATTACACCCGATTCCTGTGCCATAAGATATGCAAGAACTTGAAGTACCGAGACAACCCACAGGAATCCGTCGACGCGCTCCAGCTGATTTATCGGAGATTGCTCGAGTCCGATGGGCCACCGAATGACTTTGAGACCCATCTTCGGGTCCTGCGCACTCTGCGCGCTGAAGCGGCGGCCGTCCGCACACACCGTTTGGCTGCCATCGTCCAGTCCGTCGTGCTCAAATGTTTTGGGCTGGGTTTATCGGAATGGGAGCGATGGCTGAGTATCTTCGATGATGCGCAATGGTTCCGCTCCGTGCTCGGCCTGGACAACGATAAACGGACGGAGCAGGCATCGGCACAGGAGATGTACGACTGTGCGCGTGTGGGCATGTGGACCACGCTCCTCGAGCAGTGTACTGCAGCCCGGAGTCCGGGTCGAACGGAGCACGAACGGGACTTGGCGACGCTCAAATTGGTGCACGCATTCACCCGCATGTCTGCGGTGATCCCGACTAGACTGCAACGTCGATTTGCCCGCGCCGCCTCCGGGTTCATCCGCAGATATCCCGAGGACTGTTTTGCGGATGATCATGCGCTCTTTTGGGTGCTTTTCTATGCCGTCAATCGGCACTATGGGTGGATGACCAATGTGGATGCATTGCGCGTCCTGGACACGGCTCTGTCGGAGGTGCAGACGGACGATCAACAAGAATCACACCAGAGAAATGCTGAACTATTCCGTGGACAGATGCAGAATCGACTCCATCCCGAGGACATTTTTACCGCCTTTGTCTCGCTTGTGAGTGACGGGGAGCGAAGGGACTGAGTGAACAGGGGGAGTCATTTCCGATTCATCTAGCCTGCAATCAGTATGTAGGATGAGATCCTGTTCAGTGCCCCGAGTACGAACGCCGCTTCTGCGTCTTGGTGTCGAACCCGGGCAACATATCGCGTGTGATCGACGAGTGAAATGGTTTCAGTTCTTGGAGCATATCGGTCAACCACGAAACACTAGGTGTGGCAGTCGTTTCCGGAGACCAGTAGTTAGTCAGTCAAACGGGCAGTGCAGGTGAGGGTGATACACTCTTTGCGCAGTCTACGAGTACAAGATTCAAGATAAATGATACATCAAAAGGTCTCCCAGCCGCCAGAATCCATGGCGGCCTCCATTTTGCGGGCGATCAGCGTCGGTATCCCGTGCGTGAGCCACGTCTTCCTGACATCCTCCCATCTGGCAAAGTGGATGTATTGTCTCCGGCCTCGGCTGTGATCCAGTCAGCGATCCCCCCCTACCGAATGGATGAACGACGAGGCAAACTCACCGCATGGAGATATCGACTTCGCCGTGGGCGTCCAGGTACGGCGGCGGCGTGAAGGTCCCGGAATTTCCATACAGATACAGCATCATGCACCGCTTGACCAAGAAGTACACGCCGACCGCGCCGCCGCACTCCCGCAAGTGGAGGTTGCACTCGCCGCGCTCGGGGTCGCTCTCCTCCCGGCAGCAGTCGCTCTGGAAGCACACCGTGGCCCCGCACAGCAGGCAGATCGCCGCGTCGGCGGGGACCATCGAGCACCGCGCGCACGTCAGCGCCTTGTCCTGCGCCCCGAACAGGTTGTCCAGCACGACCGGGAGCCGCGCCAGCCGATAGATGCCGGGGAAGTCGAGGACCACGCCGCAGTTGAGCTGCGACGCCGCGTGCGAGTGCCCGTAATGCGCGCACCAGCCAGACAGCGCGTTCTGCAGCGTGTCCTGTTTCGGCAGCTCGGAGAGCGGCGGGATGTCCAGCATCGCCAGCAGACGGTTGTACTCGCAGTCCGCTGGATTCCCCGTAACAGAGAACGATGCGGGAAGCACGGATTGGCACAGAATCGCAGCCCGCCGCAGGAACGGCAGCGTGAACGCATACAGCAGCTTCTCGATGCGCGCCTCGCCGAACGTCTCGAAAACGAGCGTGGCCGTGTGTTCGAACACCGGGGAATGCCGCACGACCGACATAAAGAACATGCGCACGTCTCCAAAGATATCCTGGTGCATCCGTTTGGCAATCGGGGTCGTCGCATGGCTCCGCGACTTGTTTAGCACATACACCAGCCCGATCACAGTCCTCGCCAAACACGCATAGTACGCCAGAATCAGCACGTGTCGCAGGATCTCGGGTGCGACCGACGCAGTCTCGACGAGAATCGTGAGCGGATCGCGCAGAAGAAGGGGGTACGAGAAGGAGGTGAGCGAGGTCCTGCTCCACTCCGGCAACAGACGCTTGATGATGGCCTGTTTGATTCCCTCCCGGCCTTCATCGCCCCGAGATTTGAAGTGCTGCCCGGCGAGCCTGCTGAGACACACCAACAGACCACGCACCATCCCCATCTGCGCATCAGAGACAGCAACGTCTCCGCCGCGCTGGGCCACATCCAGCGCGCACACCGTGTATCCGACCAGCTCTTCCGGCAGATAAATCCCGGCTCCCCTCTCGCCCATCTCCGGCTCCGGCCGGTCGCGCAGATGCCTCGTGTGCTGCGACACGGACTTGGCCGCGTTCATCACAGTGTCGACCATCTTGGTGCCCGGGGTGTACCCAGGATCCTGGGCACTCCAGAAGACGAACTCCCCTGTGCCGTTCCGGAATTGGAGCGAGTCCAGCAGAGGATCTGGCCTGCTCTTCAGGATGCTGATCCCCGCGGCCCGGATCCAGTCAGGGAACGGCACCTGCACGAGCGTCACGCTCTTCGACGGGCGAGACACCGGGAGGATGACGTTGCCGAGACTCTTGCAGAGCGGACACACGAACTCCTTGCGGCTGATGCTTTCCGGCTGGTTGCGCGTCGCCTGGCTCCGATGTCGCTGCCGAATGGAGATATTGTACGTGTGGAAGCAGTCCAAGTGCATCATATGCGTGCACACCGAGGCGTGCAGCCCAAACCGCGTGAACTGCGCCGGAAATCCATCCAGCGGCATTTTCGTCGTGTCTTGGGGCGGAAACTTGGTGTCGCGCGGGATGCTTCGGTCCAGCGACGACGGCGTCTGCAGCACCTCGTTCAGATAGCTGTTGTGGCTGTCCGGATGGCGGCGAATGAACCGGCTCGGCTGGACCAGGCCCAGACTCCCAAACGGCCGCCCGGCGAGATCCTCCTGACAGACGATGCACGCCCCGAAACTCTGCTCCTCCGCCGTGTCATCGTCATCCATCGTCGTGTCCCCGTCGTCGTCATCGACATCATCCTCGAAGTTGACCGCGAAGCTGGCTTGCTGTGCTTTCATCTGGCGCATGATCGCCTCCTGTCTCGCCCGTGCGGCCCGTTTCTTGGCCTCTGCGGCTGCATCTGGACCGGCGCCGGCCCGAAGCTGGCGTTTGGCATCCACTGCCGCTGGCTGGTGCACAGCAACGCGATCCAGGATCCACCCAGCCCTGGCATGGTACGTCTTGTACTTGTCGTGACTCTCCAGAGCACAAACAGCACCCAACATAGTGTAGATGCTGTCGAATGTGACCGCGACGGCGAGGTGGCTGAACGTCTCTGGGCGCTCGACGAGAGCCTGCATAATCAAGTGCAGCGCCTGGTCGAGTATGGCTTCGGCCGACGGTGGAGTGCTCGTCGCGTCGGTTTGGATCAGAACGTTGTGCACAGAGTAGAACAGGATCCGCAACAAAAACCGGCTCTCGAAGCAGCGCGACAGCACATCTTTGAACGGGCCATACTCGATGCCCAACGGCCGAGGCACGATCACAGGATCAGTCGCACCCGTCTTCCTGCGCAGCCGAGTCAGGAGAATGGCCTCGACTTCCTCCCGCCGATTGCGCGTGTAGTGGAAGAAAAACGGATCCACCTCGTCGAACGACGCGTCCTTGAGCTCATAGCTGCCCGTATCAGCCACATTCTCCGGGATGCGGAACATGGCGACCTCGTCGAGCACTCGCTCGAAAGACACATCGTCGACCAGTCGCTCGGCCACCCGCTTGACCAGATCCGTGAAAGGACAGGGCCCGACGGCGAGAGCATGTACGATCTCCCGGCGGACGGCGACTTCAATGGGGATCCCTCCCGCAGCAGAGGCCTCGCTGAGGATCGCGATGAGAACATACAGCAGCTCTTCCACCATCCCGGCAAGTTGCACAGATTCGTACACCGGGTGCATCAGCTCCGGGAGCACATCCTCGTCGCCTTCAGCCCGGCCACCGAAGTAACCGATGACGCCGAATCGATCGAGGATGCTGGCCAAGACCGTATCCGGGTCCATGAGCACGAGCGCAGTCTGGACAACAAACAGGTCCTGGTCGTAGCACAGCTCGCGCAGCATGAAATCCCGATAATGCAGCAGTTGTCCACGAATCACAAATCCGTTTCGGACCCACAATCCAGTCCGAATCTGTGCGATCATAGCCAGGACTGCAGAACTAGTCAGATGTGAGTCAAGCCATGAAGGATGTCATGCACCTCGGAGGGGAAAGTCGACCAAACGGAGCACAGCTCGGTCCACATCGCGTACGGACTGTCGATACTCCCCAGCTAGCGCCCCACGAACAACCTGCTTCAGATTGTCCAGGAGCCCGACGTGCCGACACAGTTCCGCAAACAGCCAATGCAGCGCATGGTGGAAACTGACCGCCCCGGCCGAAACGTCGAAATCCACGACCTCATACGACTCGTCGCGGCCGAAGATAACCAAGTGGTACTCGACCGGGTCCTCGTCTTTCACGCCGACGCGCGCGATCCACTCTAGCACCACCGAGATCGCACTGACGAGCTGCGCCGAAGAGGCATCGCTGAATGCGCTCCCCACCGCCTTCACCACGCGCCCAAGGGACAGCGCAACGTTGAACACACTGATCCATGCCTCAGTCTCATATTCGACATGAGCCCGCGCGGCTCTCCGGTTCGGGTGCATGCCGACAAATAGGGCACACGTGGCGGCGAAATGGGGAAGCAAGGCCGAGCCCGGCGTCGGCGAGTCGAACGGCGGCGACGAGCCAACGGGACCGCCCTCGGCCACAAGCGCGCGCACACCTGCGGATCCGAGGAGATGCCGCAGATCGCTGAAAATCGGCATGAAACGTTTGGATTTGAAGGGGAACGAGTCGGGGTCGAGCGCGGGCACTGATAGAGACCATAGATCCGGATCGTCGTCGAGGATCACTCGTCGGTCCTCGATTCGGTTTTGGAAGAAAGCGCGGACGAGAGCCAAGACGCGCGCGACCAGATCATGGTTGCGGACAACGTGAGCCGCCGCGGAAGGCACAGTGAAGAGCTGCAGTGCGAGATACTTGATGGAGGTCTCGGCTTCACGGTCGACGAGGAGATAGGTCGAGAGAATCGACGGATAGACGGACGCAAAGTGACCCGCTGGAAGTTTCTTAGTGGCGCCGATAGAGATATGAAAATCCCACACACACCAATAGCTAGCTTGTGATCGCGACTCAAAGAAAGAATAGACGCGTACATCTCCTTCAGACTGAGTCGTGGACGCTTCCAAAGCCTTGTGTGGTCCAAGAACAGGCAATCCAGCCGAACACGAGCTTCGTGGTATCGCGTTCTGGTCGGGGACAACAGCTCCTTGGCAATGACCTCTCGCAGGACCAGCGCATCCGATCCAAGTTGGCTCCTCGTCAGGTCCAGTAACCACTCAATGATCGTGGCGACAATTTGCTCCCGGAAAGTGTCGTACGCTCTCCGCACGGTCACGCCCAAATCGATGTGCGTTAGTGCCTGCGCGACCGCCATCAAGTGTGTGGCATCGGTGCTCGTAGTCACCACTGCTCTGCCCTGCTCGTCCACCTCCCTAGCAAGCTTCATTCCGGTCGCGTGCGACACCCCCGTTAGCTCCGCCAGCAGCTTCGCGACCTCCTCGAACGAGTGCTTGTCGTCGTTCCATAGAACCACACAGAAGTGATCCCGAGTCCCAGGATCCGCGGACGGCTGCTTTCTCAGCTCCTCTTCATTTGCGGGCGCTATTGGTTCTTCCGGCGACAAGGCGAGCGTATCGAGAATGACATCCAACGCGTAGCCGACCGTGCGGCTCATGCTGTCGCGGAGATTTTGGGGAATGGGCATGCGATGTGGGTAGTCGGCAACGGGCGGCACGTCGTCGGGGATCGGCGATGTGGGGATAGATGGAGGGGAGGCGTGATTCGAAGGGTCCGTGGGGTGGAATGGACAGGATATCGGACGCCGCCAAGCTTCCTCGTCCCCGCAATCGCAGCATCCGCCGGGCTGTTGAGCGATGAAGAAGCTCACGTTGTGCCCGTCGTGGTCGGTCGCGTGAAAGCAACGCGCGCAGAGGACGCAACTGTCGTCGAGCGTGCAGTCCCTGTGAGTAAGAGACAGTCAGATTCAAGTCGATTAAATGCGTCTCCAGGGGTGCAGGATGATGGAGAATGGTCGGCTGGACGCAGACGCAGGAGGAGAAAGGGACGATCGGCGACTCACTTGCATCGAAAACAACTCTCTCCCTTCTTGAAAACATGACTACAAGGCCGTCCGGGAACGACCTGCCCACCCCTCCCATCCCACTCTCCCGCCTCCTTGCCCATCCCATAGAATCCCGCATCCAGCTGCAGCTCACTCAGCATCGAGTTCGCCTGCGTCATCCCCGAGGGGAGAAACAGGTCAGCATGGTTGCCCCAGAACGCGGAGTACAGCGCCTGGAGCACATCCGCGCGCGCCAGCGCGTCGAAGTCGAACATCCGCTTCGGAGGAAGATCCTCGAGGTAGTGTCGCAGCGTCGGGACATGCGGGAGCGATTCGGGTGGCACGGCGCCGGAACGGTCGCCGCGGGAGTGGAGGAATTTAGACGTGATGAGGTTGCTAAAGGCGGACATGGGGAGAGCGGGTTCACGGATGGTGGTGCGTTGCGGATGAGCCCTGACTGGGTCGTGTGCTGAGTCAGCCGTCGTGGGCACGACGCCTCATGCGCCAAAAAGGAAATTGGGCAGGGCTAATGATTGATGGCTGGATGATCAAGTTCGCAATCCTTCATATCGATGAGGGTCAGATGGTGGCTCATTTTTGAAACCAGGAGCGTGGCACACGACTCAGGGAGCGGACAAATATTCCAAATAAGACCGGATCATCTAGATCCATCTCCTTATTTTTATTCCAATCCCAAACCCAAAGAAATGTCGCGTATCGACATGGTCTATTCAACATCCTCCCATACCTCCTCTGGTAATTTTTTCGCGAGTATGAGAGCCGAGCAGGCAAGCGACATGCACACAAAGTACACAAAGTAGCCGCCGAGCAGGTTGTGCTGCACGGAGAGAGAGAACAAGGAAGTGGACATGGCCGGGCCGACAGCACGTGCCAGAGCAACCGTGGTTTGAGCCATGCCCATGACGCTGCCACGACTCGATTTGGGAGCAGACGACGTCATGAAAATGAAAATGGAACCTGTTTCGCGTTAAATAATACCCAGCGACTCAATGAATCAGAGACTCACTGAATGATAGATCGTTCATTGCAGCCAGTGACAGCAACAAGGCCAGCAGAATCCACGTGACGGTGTTCAATCCGTATCGCACGGCCTGTAGACTGATGACTGGCAGGAGGAAGAACATCAACGGCAACGTCATCATGCCGGCGATGAAGATCGTGCGCTCCCCGAATCGTCTGGCCAGCCTAGCAAAGAAGCAAAATTGGAAAATCCCCGTCACAAAACCATACGAGGCGAGAATCACGCCGATCTTGGACGGAGGGAGACCCAGTCCGCAGATGTCACGTGGCATAGCCAGGAACAGTGGAAGCAATGCTTGAAATGTGGTATTGAGGAATCCCAGGGAGACGTAATTCGAAACCGAAACGACGACGGGGAACACAAGAAGCTCTCGAAGTGGCCGAGGGCCCCGTCGTTTGGGAGGGGCGCCGGATTCGGTAACAAAGTGGGGCTCTCGATGGAGTGTCTGCGAACTTGGGGCTGAGGCAATCTGTGTGGAGCTCGAGGAGCTCGTGAACCCACCTCCTTGAACAGGGCCAGCACGATAAACCAGGACACCAGCACTGCCCCGCCAGTCACTAGGCACGGCAGGAAGTACGGATATTCGACCCAGAATCTGGATGTAAACAGATGCGGGAAGCGGTCATGAGGCTTGGTGAGTGTTCCGCCGATAAGCGGACCTCCAGAAGCCTAAACATAAATCTTCTCAGGAACTGTATTCATGTCGGTAAAGCTGGGATCAGATGCTCACGCCTAGTGCCCAGACGACTTGGGATACAGTCAGTCAGCGCCGCACGACGAATCGAGAGAACGCACTAGGGATGAAAACATAGGCATCAGCACGATTGGTCCGATCCGTCATATCCCCGACGGCACTCTTCATAACTCCTGGAAGAAGTTTAGCGCGATCGCGAAGGCACGCGCCTGTTTTAAATTAACTTGCCGATGTTCCCGTTGAGTAGGCCACATAGCGAACGGCTGATGGGAGATCTAATGAGCATACGAGTCTAGAGCGGCCCTTGCAAACTTGGCGAACCTGATCACCAAACCCCAGAATGTCCGCGACAGACCGAAACACAGAATGGAGATGGCAGAGCCGAGAAAGCCGATGAGGAGAATAGGTTTCCGACCTACGTGATCCGACGCACGACTCCACTGTAGGACAGTCATCGCTTCTGCCAGAAAGAACAGAGATTCCTGATCACCGGTATCAGAAGATTTCCCCCACACGAGGCGGAAGAGCGCTTACAATCTATGTCGAAGAAACGCCGAAGTTCTCGTCAGCCCGCACTTCCTTGTGCACAGAAGTGCTCACCATCCCACTGTCAAAGAGATAAGACACGGTTAGACACAGGCCGAGCTCCAGGCACTCACGCATAGTACCCCACTTTCTTCTCGTCTCCCCCCGTGATGTCCAGCTCACTGACGAGCTGTGTGCAGTAGTTGAGAATGACCCTCGCGAGACTTCAGGAAAGCGTGAAAGCGTACTTGGTTGATGTAGGGATATATAGACGAGCTGGCGAGTGGCTCGCAAATTTGTATGAGGAGGATGATGGCGAGCTGCAGTTTGGGAAGCGGGGTGCGTTTCTTTTCTTTGCGGAGCAAAGTCGTTTCTTCAGTCGGAATTTGTTCGTGAAGCATGGTATTGGTCGTGGTCGGTGGTCGTGAGGATGGGAAGGGAGGGGAGCCGGGAGGGCTAAGCCTCATCAGCTCAGGGTGTGGGTTTATGTATGCCTGGGAGGATGCTGTAAGATTTAGCGATGTCATCCCGGAAGGTCAGAAGGCGGCTGAGCTGGAACAAAATGCCAGGAATCTCGCGAACCACTCGAAATCAGCGATCATTCTTTCGGGGTCGGATCGGTGGACTTGGTCCAGCTCCGGGCCAATGGCTGAATTCTCTACTCCAGCCTTCGAAAAGCAAGTGTATGCTCTCGAAGTCGGCGCGTGGAAACAAGGAGTCCCGAGCGGTTGTAATTATATGGTCAGGCGTTCTGGAAAGCAGTCAGCGAGGGATTCAAATGAAGTGATCGGTCAGCTCACAGGCGGTGCGAACCCGGCGAAAAGGACTCATTTGTCTAGTTTCGACGAGAAGGATCAGAACCGCAACATTGCGGCCATTCTCTTTGCCGTAGCATGTCGCTCCTGCCAAAAGTCGCCGGATCCTCTCCGACTCGATCGCAAGTCTCATGTAACACCAGTAAGATGTTGCATTTACCCTGGATGGATGGGCGGAGAATCATTCCAGTATGCCAAACTTCAAGGTCGAAGATTGAAGCCCGAATCAAATCATCTCCTGCTAGTGAAAAGGCGTGACCGTGGTCAGCGCGCGACTCCACGTGACGGAGTGGGACGTTTTTCGAGTCCGACTCGGACCCTTGAGCTTCTCCCTCGCGAATGAGCAATTTCAGTTGAACGGACTTAGCCCCGGAGGACTTCTCGACTTCCTTTCATCCACTCTCACTCTCTTTTATACTCGAGCCACCCAAGCACCCCATGTCCATGTCCGCGGATACAGACATGGCCCCAGAAGTCGAGATCATCGACCTCACTGGCGAACCCAGCGAACCCGACCCCGACGAAGGACTCGTGGAGGACGATGACCCGGAGGAAGAAGGCGACGACCGCACCCGTCCTGTGGCTTTCCCGCTCCCCGATGGCGTAAACTATCGCGCCCAGCTGCGCGCGGCAATCCAATCCACCCCCGAACATCGCCTGCGCCAGACGCTGGTACGACTTATCGACTCTGACGCCGCAGTCTACAGCGCTTTGGCGAGGGAACTGCTTGTCGTCGGAACCAGAGCGCCTGAGCCCCCTGCAAGCACCGTCCGCGTCCTGCCGCGTTGGGAGACGTGCGAGAACTGCGGGGAGTCGTATGACGTGAACAGCGCCGCGCAGGACGCGTGTGTGTTCCACCCCGGTGCGCTGCCGTGACTCGCGTGGCTGCATGTGCCGGAGTAGATCTGACCGCGTTCGCAGGCGAAATGGAAGCCGTCGAGGAGCGCTTCCCAGACTGGGACGAACAATGTCATGGACCCATGGACACGCAGGAGAACCAACAGGAGTATCCGGAGAACTTCGACTGGAGCTGTTGCGAGGCTGCTGGAGACGCCAACGGTTGCGTGAAGAGCAGACACACGCCAGCCGTGAGCAAAAACAAGAGACGCAGGCTTGTCTGAGATCTGTACCGGATGACCCCGCTCTTGGTGGCTGTCTCTTGCCTATTTCAAACGGCTTTGCCTGTTCCTGCGCGGTATACCCCTCTGTATCTTTCTCATCTCACGGATTGTTGATAATCATAGCAGAGTCCCGCTCTGATCAGATTGCGGCTCGTCGACCGTCCATATTCACACTTTCTTGACTGTAGCCTCGCTGGTCACCATCTCCTGACTGTATTGCCATTGTACCCTGTCGTAGCGATGCTCTCACTCACCGCTGCTCATCACATTCCTCGAACTGTCCATCATCCTCCGTCGACCATGTAATCGCGCTCCCTTACAAACCCCTCTTCGCAAGTTTTTGACCGAAACGACGAAGCTCAGCTCCAACGGATCATCACTAAGCGATCTAATCTACGCTCTAGGCCCATGAAGGGCCAAGCCAAACGACAGCCCAAGGATGGTCATTCTTCAGAAGTGAGTTTTGGTGAATTGCCTGTGGTATGAAGTGGCTCCCCCGAACTTAGTGACGGGCGGATTCCATCTCTGTTGGTCGCATGCACCCTGTGCTTCGGATGTCATGTATATCAATGTTTTCATCTGAACACTTTCGTCCATCTTTACTCGAGAGCCTAAACGTCGGTCAAGCCTTACATCACAGAGCGGGAAGCCAACCAAACGATTGTAGTATCTCAGGTCCCGTATCATTTACGACGAGCATCACTACCACCATCTATCTTTGACCCTACAATCGACAGATGCTCCACAAAGTCTAGGATTATAAGACCTTGTGTGCAGAGGACAAGAACATATTCTCTCATCTCTTCCTCTTCTTTCTTGATGGCCCCTTTTGAACGTCATACGGAGCGTTTGGTCGGACTGTTCTTCGGCTTGATTCTCTATGGTGAGTTTGTCCAGGTGGGAATTGTGCGGTCATACTTGATGAGAGCACCGGACAGGTATACTGACAACCACATTCCTTCCCTCTCTCGCGTCCCTGCTTTTCAAGCAAGAAAAGAGGTTTGAGCTCCGACCTCGAAGGGACATCAAAATTCCGGTGCTCCTGGCCACTATCATTATGTTCCTTGTCTCAACCTGTGTTGCGGTGTTCTCCGTACAAACTGTCATCGAAGGATTCGTTCGGTATACCGGTCCCGGCGGGCCGCTGCAGTTCTTCAAGAACCTTTCTGGGTGGAAAAACTGGATCATAGCCCTGAGCGACGCGATTCAGATTTTCGTCGGGGACGCGCTTCTCGTGAGACGTGCTATCCCAGAAAGGCGATTGATCCAACCTTGACAGATTTATCGATGCTTTGTGTTGCATGATCGCAACTGGAAGAAGATTACGGTTCCCCTCGTTAGTTACTTCATGATTCTTGGTATCAGTCTACGTTCTTGCCATACGACCTCCACTCACCTGGCATGGCAGTTGTCGGCCTAACCTCTGCAGGCCTTATAATTTCGCCCCCAGGACGGAACTTGAATGATCCGACAATTGTCCCTTTGCTTTCGGTGGCCGTGGTATCGACTTTCATCACAAGTGTTTCCACAACGTGTATGCACTCCTCCGTGTGGCGATGTTTGGCACTGCCTTAACATTTTCCGTAGTCTTGATTATCCGGCGACTCTACTCGGTCAAACCAGAATTTAGCTCCGCGCCCACACATTTCCTCACTCGAGTGGCCGCAATTTTTTTGGAAACTGGACTGATCTATACACTCGCTCTGGTCGCATCTCTGGCCGTGTATCTGTCAAAATGCCACTTCGAATGGACGATCTCTGTCTGTGTAAGCCATCTGGAACTTCAAATATTCACCCAAATCATGCTGAAAATCCCTTCGATAGATGACCCATATCATTGTGCGTCTAAATCGCAAGCAGCGTCCCCGATGACGCACTGAAACCTGACCGCAGCCCATTACATGGAATATGTTGTTGATCCGAGTGAACGGGGTACGATCGCATGCCAACCCGGAGATCGCTGCAGACGAGCTCGACGAGAAAGCGTCTGTGGGAGACAACGGTTGGGATCCGATTTTTATTCACGCACGCCCTCCCGCGCCGCGGGTAGGGTCATGCGATTCCGTTTGATGCAATCGTTGATCGATCAAATCTGCCACTTCTATCGTGGCCGGTTCTGGCGTCGGTTGCACACACGAGAGTCAATCGATGGTCACGAACTTTTTCAAATAAAGATAGTAGGATATTGTTAAGGCCACCAGACATACATGCATTCTGGAGATTTATTGGCCACGTGGACGAAGACGCCGTAAAGAAGTTCAATGCCTGGGCCGTAGAAATTGAGCATAGAAATAGATTGCTGTGTTGTAGTTGCAGGCAACTTTTCCATCAATTTACATAAGTGGCGTCAGTCATACGAGTCCAGAAGTCCAATGACGATTAAATCAGTATCATCACGGCTGCATCGTGCATACTTCCTTGTATTTCGCGTGTCCAAAGCAAGCGCGTGGAGTGGCTGAGTCGAAATTTCAGTGTGTAGGCATGTAGAAGGGATATTTTCAGGCCCGGGGAATCGGTGAAGCATGGGACACCACAACCATTCAACATTAGGAACGCGTTTCTCTCAGCAGAGCCTTGGTGCTCTGCGAACCGAACGAGAAACTGGATGACGTAATACATCGGTGGCGCGGATGGCAGTCTGTGATCTCTCACGCTTTTATGTTGTTCGACTTGGGCACTGTCCTCTTGCGCTTATCCGGCAACTATTCAACTGTGAAACACGGTGATCGAAAAATAGGCTTCAAACTTCGACTCCGACGTCAGTCACTTGTATCGACCGGAGCAGGATGCGACTCTCCTCCCCTGTTCTTCCTGTCCCACTCTATGTCACTGAGAATGGAAGATAAGACAGGTGAAACCTGTGCCCATCCGCACTGTCTCAGCACACTCTCCCACATAAGACGACGCGCGGATGGCTGAATCCTCGATAGCCTTCTCTCGCACGCTCTCCCTCGCTCGCTGGGATAATTGCAGTCCATCTGCACACGACCTTCCTTCGGAATCCAACCAGCCCAGCCTTGATTCACGCATACGAATAACTCACCACATTCTCTGAAATCCTCTCTGTCTCTTTCCGCACCTAATCTCGGCTTAATGATTGCACTCTCAACGTACTTCACCCGGAAACCCGTCATAGTCAGCAGCTCCCAGGACGTCCGCGAATTGGCTCGTCTCGATACTAAGATTCCTGAGAAGAATGCATGTGGATTGGTCAGTCCCTCCCCTTCTCATTCTCAGCCGTACTGAGTGGCAGGTCCAGCGCGTCCGCATCCCCTGGCTCAAGCTCAGGACCTGCAAGAAATCCGCCGCACCACGCACTGGCTACCGAGCCGTCGCCCAGCCCTCCGGCTCCGGCTCATTTGATCTTCCCCCCGTCCGACGTCAGCGACGGAGTCAGCGCAGAAAGTCGGTTGTCGTTCCCAGTGTCGTTCTCGGTGAGAAGCCCCTGCGCACCGGCGTGTGGTCGGTCCGTCTGCTGACAGTTTTAATTGTGCGCCCGGCCCAGACTTCAGCTCGCACAGTTTCGAGTCGGACGACCCGTTCCAGGCCCGGCCGCAGTCGCTGTCGTCGTTGTCCTCGGGGATGCCGTCGCCGACGGCCCGGCGCCGCAAGATGCCGCATCTGAGCACGTATTCTGCGCTGGACACGGCACCCAACCGGCGGCATGGGATCGCGTGCTTCGACGTCGCGCGCGTCCATGCGGTGCTGCATGATGTGCTCGAGGATGCAGAGACGACGCATCAGTGGAAGGAGGGCGAGGGCCGGCTCTTGGAGCGCGTGTTGCTGGGGCAGGTCACGGGCGGCAAGGACATGTATCAGCGCATCAAGATGGTGCATCGGTGCGATCGAGTTTCTGCGAAACCGATGGGCACGGCGCCTTGACTTTTTTTATTTTCTTTCGCTTCGACCTAATCATGCCCATTCCACCACCTGATTGCGATTTGAAATGAGGACATTTCGCTCAAACAATTCCACATTTGATATAAATGTATGTTTGGCCTTCCCGAGATACGGAGAATGTGAATTGGCTGGCCTAGTGTCGAGCAATTTTTTTCTCTCCAAACACCTCTATCCTTTCGTTGCAAGTGCGGAATTACATTCAGACGCCATTCAGCACGTGAACGTGGGAAGATTCAAGAGAATCATCATCATCTAGGTTGGGTGCTTACCGAAACTGGACAACCCCACACGGGCCAAGTGGATCTCACAGTTTCCCCGCCATGTTCTATCGACCGCAGTGCGTGCAACATCATTCCACAGAATTCCACCTGTCACCGGAGTTGTTTGTCGTGCCGCGGCAGTGCGGGTCACCGCGCTCAGCATGACTCGTGTCAACAGCGGCGACAGAACTGCATTCCTGGCGCGCGGCGAAGCGCAGGATGGAATGATGCTGACACGGTTTTGATCCCTGGTGACCGCTTTCGAGAACCGCCGGATGCCATTTGTGGTCGCAGGGCGACGCCGGCTCCCGGCACGTTATCAGTTGGGCATGCAGTCCACGAGCGACGCAGATATTCTTTCGCTGGCGAGGTGCCTGGGTTCCTGTCAGGTGGGGTATGGAGAGACTACTCGACAGACCACCGGCGCTAATTCTCGCCGGACTCGAGGTTCCAGTCGTTATAAATTCTTTGTGAACAGAGCAAACAGAGACCAGTCCTCCACCCCGACATACAACCAGCCTCAGCCAGCTCTTCTTCTGCAACAATGTCTCAACAAACCGCCGCTGCTGTCCCTCCTCTCACCACCTGGGATGATCTCCAGGCGCTCGGCTGGGACAAGGCGGCCGTCTACACCGCCGTCAGTGCCCTCCGCCCGGACACGATGACCGGCGAGGACCAGCTGCACTTGAACGACAGCTTCACCACCACCATGGCGCCTCCGTCTGTCGATCGTTACATCTTTGTCTCATTCGAGCTGAGCGGTTCTTTTTAGCATCTCGTCGCATAACACGACCATGGCCGCGAAGGGAACGCTGGACCCGTCTCGCACCGAGGTCACCAAGTCGGTCGGGAAGAAGTTTAGCATCTTCGATTCGTCTGCCGCCGGTCACGAACATTTTACCAAGACGTGGAACAACATCCTCGACTTGTCGATCGACATCAGCCTCCCTGGTGAGCTCGCTGGCTTCCGAATCAACTCAGGTCACAACTCGTACTGACATCGCACTCCAGCGCTGATCAGCGTCAACAACCCGATCCAGTTCTCCAACATCGCCGGGAAAGTGAGCTTGGTCATCGCGGCGAACGCGACGGTTCCCACCACGAAGCAATATCTGTACCCGCAGAGCAAGGACTTTGACTTTGAGTGCGTTCATGTCTGCTTCATGGGGACAGGACACCGGGGCTCACTTGGCTCTAGTATTGCGGCCAACGAGCGCGTGAAGATTATCGGCACGCCCCTTTTCGTGACCACTACCGAGGTTTACAAGCTCGTGCGTCTTTCTGAGAAGGCGCTGGGTGATCGCTGATCCAAGATTCCGCAGAACTACGGCTTGATGAGTGACAGTCAATTGGGCAGTGGGTGTTTTAATTGCTTCTCTGCACGATTTGAGTTGCTGATGAGCATCCAGCTGAGGGTGACAAGTAAGCTAATACCCTTGATGATCGACCACTCTTGAGCTTACTGATTTTCTGCCAGCTTCCAAGGACTCGTTAACATCGTGAGCGATCAATTACTCGATTGAGACGACTTCACTCAACTGATTTTTTCTGCAGCCATACGTCATCAACCAGGTCCTTCTGAGCGAGGGCAAGAAGTACGGCCCCACCGGCACGATGGAGCTCACCGTCGTCTACAAGACCACGACGCTCAAGATCGACTTTATCCGCGACACCACCGTCGTTCTCGGAGACTGGGACGAAGTCGTCAGCGGGCAGAGCCTCGCCTTCAGCGACGAGATCGACTCGGATGCTACCGAAAGCTTCGGTGCTCTCACGCTCTGAGAGGCGGTTCTCTATGGTAGATCAGTATTCCGACAGATCATGTGTGGTTGTAGTATTCTATCTATTGCTCAGAGTTGAAACCGTTTCCCTCCCAAGAGCGGACCGTCAGAGACAGCTGGCAATGGTGTCACGTGTATTGGTTTGACCCACATCTAGAGCGTGTGGAGTCATTATCGCGTACTGACATCCTGCGCTCAAATCTCTGGTATATCTGAATGATATGAACAAGCTTGAGCTTTGAAAGCTTCAGATATTACCTGCAGGCACGCCCGCGTGTCATTTATGGTTACTCGCTCTGAGCACATCTCTTGGCGCATGTTACCTCAAACCGAGTTGTGCCTCTCTAGTCAACATGATTGTTGTGTATCTGTTGCTTCTACCAATCCTCACGCTCTGTTTGCGTCCATTCTTTCGAATGCGGCGATAAGGCTGCTTGGTGCACCACTCCGACTACCTCTCAGCAGCAATGCATGTTGTCTGCGATTCTGCGTCGATGGGTTGGATATGTCAGCGCGAAGTCCGACATGTGCGGATCTCGACTCGGGCTTGCCATGCAACCTGAAGATTTGTGCCCTTGCCACTCATTTATGATTCGACGTCATAGATAAGAGCTTAATCAGCCCGGGAGCAGTCCAGCCAAGCTCTAGCACCACGCAGGACCTTGTCTCTAAGTGGGTATATCCTGTCGGATGGATGAGGGGTGTGACTCACTCAGACCTCCATGCCTCTTCGCCCTTCCCATGCCCCAAGTCAGGAAGCTCAGTCTCAATATCCCGTTGCGAGCGTTGACTCCCAATGGGTCGCTGACACTTCATAACACATGCGCACGCCCTGAGGGTCCAAGACAGTGAAAGTTGCTGCGTAGGGATAAAGCCATCGAAGATGCCGCAGCTGACCCCAGTCGCAAAGCCAATCTCGCAAAGCCATGGCTGGAAGGAGATTGGGAAGACGCAGCCCCCACAGATCGGTGAGGCTTTTTGAAGGGTTCCCCATTGAAAGCTGTGGCGCACTGATATACTCTTCGCGTAGACGTGCGTGATCAACCACGTCCTCGTGAACGACGGAAAGCCTCCTGGCGGATCAATCCAGCTGACCCTCGAGAATGAACTCCACGACTCGCGAGTTCGACTTGACTGCCTGTTTTCGGTGTCTGGAACGAGCAATAACAGCTACGGAAACGAAACTGATACCGGTATTGATCTATCGACGCTTGGAGCGGTAGTCGAAGCGGTAGCCGGCTTTCTGTTCCGAGTCACCCAATGAACGATTGGTTCGCTCCTCGCCAAGACTGCGGAAATGAACCGTGGGAATGCATGCCCCAGTCACGTGTATTCTTCATTCGGGCTGAGCGTGGTTTTTGCCAGTTTCAGTGGGTCACTAAGACATGAACTTTCCCTGCGGCTCAAGACTTGAAGACGTGTACACGTCCTTGGCCGCCAGCCCTCCTGTCTGTCAGACTCTGAACTTCCTGTCTTCTGCGCATTTCTGGAGCACCCACATATTTGGCAGTGCGCTTGTCTGGAAGATGATATCGCGGACACGGAGACGCCTAATACATTTCTTCCGCGAGCCTTCGTCGCTGGGGCAGGCGAGTTAAGAGGACGAGTGTGGATGTTTGTCATTACCCGATGTTTCGAAGGTGGGGGATGTCAGAATATTTACGTCGTTTCTGCAGGCACAGAGTGGATTCTTGCTGTTTTTCCAGTGCAACGGAGCCCACATCCAAGCTGGTGGCGGTCGAGCAACAGCCGCTGTGGCTGTGTGACAGCCTGTCACCTGCCATCAGAATCTGATCGGACCTTTCAGTGACGACAACTGACGAGGTCGCTTTCTCGGTTGTGTCCATACTTAATTCTACTCTCTCTCCCAACTCTATTTTTCGGTCCCGGGCAGCGCAGCATGGTCTATCTCGTCGATCAAGAGTCACTGAGCTTGCCGTCGGGCAGGGACATCACGAGCCCTGAGGGAGAGATTGCATTGGCTCGCAGCAAGCTCCAGTCGGATGTCCGCACTCTACTCTTTGCTTTCCGCTGTCCGAGTCGAAAAAGACTGGGGGCCTGGCTCCCTCCAACACATGGGCCAGCCGAAAACAGGAAATACATGTCGGGGTGAAACATGGTGGAAGCGCCTGACCCCCACCGGTGACTTGCTCAACCTTGTGGAGAGACACCGCGCCCTCCGGTCTGGTCTCGCTCTCGTCCAATGGTTTCAAATTGAATACATCGTTCGAGAATTCGAACCCCGCGTCCGGGACCCGGACCATGCTTCCGCCGCGGAGTCGCTGCTGGTGAGTCTGCCCCGGACTTGCCTTCTCGCGTACATCAACTGACCGCATCTCTGTCTTTGGCTAATGATGCTTCGAGTCCAGATCCTTCGCTTTCGGCCTCGGAGGCTGTCCGGATGCAGCGAGCTTCGAATTCACGACGATGAAGAGGTTTATAAATGGGCTACATAATCACTTACGACGCACTTTGCACACCCCCAATTGCACACGACTCGTCGTTAGACTTGGACCTTCTCCTTTCCCTTCCTCTCCCCTCATCGCAGCAACTCAGTATCCACCAATCAACTGCCGCCATGGGACGCTGGTCACAATACGATGAGGTAGGCTGTTGCTGTCCATCTCGCTCGCGCCCAATCTGACGCGAACAGGACTCATATCGGCTGCCGTGCGGCATGGTCAGGACGGGGTACGACGCGGACACTGGGCGATATATCTTCCAGGACAGGAGCGGGACGTTCTACGGGCTGCCAGGGTCTGAGTACGGGCCCGTCGACGCAGGATACCACGGGCGCTCGTCGTCGTTGCCAGGGCGCGCACTGTTCGCGCACGGTACGTACAAGCTGGCGCCCCCTATGGCAACGGAAGCTAAGCATCAGCCCTTCGTTAGAAGCCCGTGGAAATGCACAAATGCCGCCCAATCCTCAGCCACGCAAATCAGAAGCTCGCGTGGCCCTTCCCCGACTGAGCATACCCAACGCGCTCCGCACTCTCCGCAGATCGATTACACGTCGATGCCGGCGTCGGCCTCTACCGCTCGATGCGTCCTCGTCATCGTCCGACTCCGATGCGGAGTCGGAGAGCAGCGCTGCGCTATCGCCCGTTTCTGCCCCTCCATGCAGACTCGCGTTTCGGCCCGCGCGGACCGGGTCTGCGCGTGCCTGCGTCTCAGCTTCATCTCCGAACGGACGTCCGACCACGATGTCCAGCAAACAAGCTCCCGAGCCGAGCTCGTCGTGGACGTCCCAATCTCCCTGGGGCTGGGATCACACGACCTGCGCCAGCGCCTCGATCTATCTGGGCTCGCACTCGGCTCACTCGGCTGACCAGTCCCTCGCGATATTCACGCAGCGAGACGACTGGGCCCGCCCGCGCGCCAGCTCTCGCATCCACGCGCCGCGTCCGATACACTGGGAGGCGCTGCCGGTGTCGCACCACAACAGGCTGTCGGCCTCGGTCAGCAGCAGTCTTAGCGGTAGCGGCAGCGGGGCCCCCGCGCAGGCAGAAGCGTCGTCGGCGCGCGGTCGCCGGGCTATGTCCGAGGACGGCGGGCACGCCTCGTTTCCCGTCGCGCGATCGCATCCGGCAGGCGACAAGATGTATTACAGCTCCGCCCGGCCGTGCGCCCGCCGCGCCTCGCTACCGCAGTCCTCCACCACCGTCCTCATGTGAATGAAATTTGTACTTGTATTCGTGTTTTTGTGGAAATAGTTTGAAGCAGGAAATTTGGGTTTCGTTGTTGTCTCTTGATTTGAGCTGCTTGCTGTGCTGAACCAACCAACCATACTTGCTGACACGTGATTACGGTTGAAACCCTTTTGGGCGTATTTCCAATGTTGAGGGGCGGAATAGTCCGTGTGACCGGGAATGTGTACGTTGCTGATGGATACTCCTCCTTCTCAGTCTCCGGACTGAATAATAACCCGGTTGGAATTTCAAGTTCCGTTTATCCGTCGTCAGATAAAATGAGTCATTGAGCATTCACCAGGTCCTTTGAGACTGGTATCCGACGGAAAGATCTCATAAAGATTCATTTCTCAATAAATCGAAGCTCGAGAAGGAGTGTAGAGATGGCTGCGATATTTTCAGATGAGATCGCAAAGTCCTAACCAGTTCCACGTGATGTTCAACTTTTCAACACAACACAACTCGATCTGTAGTAAATGGGAAGAATGCCCTCCCTGTGTGTAGCTTCAGGCGACTGATTATTTATTTTTCCTGCAGGGAGGAAAAGGCAAGAGTCTCAGTTTGCTCACGTCAGTCGGAGGGAAGGGCAAAGGAAAGGGAAAGGGAAAGGGCGCTGTCCACAGCACCGCGAGTCCCGCCAAACGACAGACGATGTCGGACAAAGCTGGGTTGACGCTCCCCGTCGCTCGGGTCCGGCGGTACCTCAAAGCCGGCAAATACGCCGCTCGCGTAACCCCCACATCCGCGGGTGAGAGATTCTCGACATTCTGATCTCCCCCCGCCCCTTCGCACACGGGTGCTAACTCTGTTTTTCACGCGCAGTGTTCTGCACTGCCGTCCTTGATTATATGGTAGCCGAGCTCCTGGAGCTGGCAGGGAACTGTGCACGCGACCAGCAGAAGAAGAGAATCACCCCGCACCATGTCATGTTGGCGATCCGCAACGACAACGAGTGAGTCACTTTGAGTTTGAGTTTTGTATGTATGTATGGGATGCAGGGGGTTGATGGGACCTTGTGCATGCAGGCTGGATAAGCTTCTGTGCAACGCGATCATCTTGGGTGGGGGCGTCAAGTCGCACATCCACCCTGAATTGCTGCAGAAAAAACCAGCGCGGAGCTCGAGCACAATGGCCGTGTAAGGAGCTCAATGAACGTCAGTGCCAGCTCAGGTGCGCGCATTTCCTCCGTTCAGGAATCAGTCGGTGATTCGTTTCTAGAATGTCCGCAATTGCAAATGTAATGATGGCTCCAGTAACGATGAGTAAACTACACGGTTTGTAAAGAGAGTATGAGATGGTCCTAGGTAGCGATACACAGATACATATGATAGTTATATACGTGCAATTATGTCACATGCAGCGTCTCTCGGGGGGTGTGAGAAGATCCAACATCTCAGCGTCTTCCTCGTCGAGTTGGCGCATGATTTTGGAGAGAGTCGAGTAGGCGTACCCCGCCTCGCTCTCGGACCGCCTGCGCCAATACCGGTATAGCAGCAGCCGCTTGCCGAGCGAGTCCTGGCTGCACCGGCGGCAGTGATGTGCAGTTTTGCCGCTGAGCATCGCCCAGGCAGAGACGCGCTCGCAGGCCGAGTCGCAGGACCTGTCAGCACGGAATAAAATCAGCCCCCAAAGAGAGTCTCTGCTAGCAGGCGACAAAGGCCACGCACCGCCTCGAGCGCAACCTGGGCACCAGCTGCGGTGGCGGGATCGGGCGCCGGAAATTCCACGTCTTTTTCTGGAGTGGCGCACTGGGCGGGTTGACCGTCCTCCAGTAGCCCTCGGGCATCGACTCGCGGAGGGGATTGAACGGCGACACGACGAGCGGCAGGCGCGTGTGTCTCCGCTTTTCGTGTTTCCACAGCTGCAGAAACGAGCGCTCCTTGTCGCGCCACTGGGATAGCATCGGCTGTTCGGGGAGGAATGCCGCGTGCGGCGCGGTGTACTGTGGCCGGGGGGACGGTGGGGGTGGGGGCTCCGTAGGCGCCGGCGGGCAGCGGGGCAGGGTTGGCGGTGCCGGAGTCCCGATCAAGAGCGACTCCGGGAGCGCACGGATACGTCGGGCATCGCCGCTGCCACTGCCGCACGCCGGACCACCGAGCAAATCGTCGAGAAGCTTCTTCTTGAGCAGATCGTCCGCAGGCGGATGTCGCTGCCACAGATCGTTTGGGGTGGAGCGCACGGTCGACCTGCTGCGCGACGGGCGGTTGCGGATAGGCGTCCGGTTCGCTACGAGACGAGACGCACGCGTTGCACTCCCAGTGACGGTGCCACTGCCCTCCGCGAAGATAACATCCTCCATCTCATCGCTGCCGCCGTTGCTAATGGGAGCAGGGGCCGACGCGCACGGGGCGCTTGCGAAGGTGATCCTGGGCGGCCATGAGCCCGAGGCGCTGGTGTCGACCGAGAACCACATCTCTGAGGGTGGGGAGATAAGGAACACGCCCTGCGCCCACAAAAGACATGGAGCCACATACCCGAGTCCCGTGCCTTGCACTTGCTGCCACCACCGCTGCTGCTGCCACTACTGCTGCCGGGCATCTGGTGTCGTGCGGGGAGATCGAGCAGCGAGGGCGGGAGTGGGGAGGGGGCACATTGGAGCAGCAGCATAGTCACGGTCGTCGGGGGGCCAGCCGAAAGGAAGACATATAAATCCAGCCGACTAGGTCGAGCCTGTGGTATTTGTCACTGTAGTTGGCGACAGGTCCCGTCGAGTTCTTTCTTGGAACGTGGCCGCCGGGCACAGGCACCTGCCTTTGTAAGTTCCAAAAACGGGCGATGGAGACCCAAGTGCATGGCGGCACTCGGAGCTCCACATACGATAACACACGCATACAACCACGCCTTACGTGAGGTGTACAGTTCCGGTTAACAGGCATGGGCGAACGCTTGTCGAAGTGGGTCGAAGCGGGGCGTGTGTCCCCAAAGCACGTGTGAGAGAAAACAGCCAAATGGGGCTGCCGGTTTCTGGAATCTGGGAAAAACATATGCCCCGGCTCCGAGGAATGTGCCTGGAAGAACCCGGATTCCGCAGTTATCGACGCTGTGAAAGCTCAACGCCAAAGTCACTCACACTCCATCGGGGAGCCAACCAACAAACAGACCCCGCTTTTCTGTCACACTCCTGAATAACTTTGTGTCCCCATCTGCGCCACAGATCGCCGACATTTCAGGCGCTAGCAGCGAGTATGTATGTACATACATACATACATACATACACTTCTTACCAACTCAGCACAGATGCACCTTTGCAGCAATGTTAAGCGCTTGGAAGCTGTCCCGTGGAATTCGCAGAAGTCTAGAACCCCGGCGGCCCATCCCTGCCCGAATACCAAGGGACATAGACCGACGCTTACTGATACTGACGTTCATGTCGGTTCGTGCCGGCGTCGGTCTTAGAGAGCGCAGATAGCGCGATCGGTGCGCAGTTGCTCTCCAGCCGCCCTCCGGATACTGATATTGTAACTACTGCGCGAGATGCATGTCTCGAAATTCCGGTCGATGTGTCTTTTATACCACGCGGATACGTCCGGAGAACGAAGAACCGGTCTGCTTCGGAAGATTGCGTTGGATCCCATGGTCCGACGCGAACCGCGATAGCGACCACCTTGTCCAGGGAACCGGCGCGGTGTCTGTAAAAAGAGAATGCGAATCTCCACGGCCATTCGGCTATGTCGGGAGTCCGGCACAGCTCTGACCGCCTGTCTCGCCGCATGGATAATCTCAGAAACTAACGCGGCCTGGGAGCGGCTATAGTCCCACGCGCAGTTTTACGTTTATGTCATGCACAGATTATATCACTCGTAAGGGTGCCTAGGAATCCGCTCAGCTGTAATACGTGGAGAGTCCAGACATATTTAGATCGTCCAACGACTGTCCTTGTATTTCATGTGAATGGCGCTCGCTGTCCCATCACTTGCAGCTAATGCCGAGTCCAGAACCACATCTTTCAGTTTAGGGGCGTTGTGCGTCGCGATCGCAGCAAAGCCGATGTTGTCAGCACCTTCTGGCCAGACCATCCCCATCATCAGAAGCGTCAAGTGGGTGAGAGCGGGCAATCCGCCCAGAATCCTGTGCAGTTGATCTGCCAGGTGTGGGACATCGATATCAACCTATGATTATGTATGTGTTTTCCAATTCGAAAAGACGGGAGAACGGAATCGGACTGACGTTGCCCGGCCACGGCCATCCGAACCGCGAGTGCTGCATACTCAGGCGCAACTGCCGCAGGACAGGAAACATGCGCCCGAGTTCCCCGGGATCCGTGTCCTCGAAGCAATGGAACGGGACCTGCAGCCATTCGATGCGGATATTCGGCATCCCCAGACATGCCATCGACGCGCCGCGCGCACAGTGCGATATCGACAGCTGCGTGAGACTCGCGCCCCCGTGCGGGAGGATCGAGTCCGCCCACGACATGGGCGAGTTGAGCCGCCGCAACCGGGGAAAGCCACTCGCGATCGCACCGCGTCCGCACTGGAGCAGCGAGTGCGAGAGCGTGATGTCCTCGAGCGTCGGCGCCTGGTCGTGCAGGAACTGGATCAGCGCCTGGTCGATGTACAGGAAGCACGAGAAGCGGCGCAGGCGGAACACGCGCGACGAGTCCGCGAGGAACGACGAGTACCGCCGCCCGCCGACGTTGATCAGCAGCGTGTGCAGGTTCGTCGTGTGCCCCAGCACGGTCCCGAGGAGATGAAAGTCGACGTCGAGGTCCGCGACGCCCGGCCGGCGCGTCATCTCTACCCGCTTTACGTACCGCGCGAGGTCGGGGTTGCGCGCGATCGACGCGAACGCGCGGGAGGTCAGGTGCGGCGGGATCTCCTCGTACAGCCGCTCCCGGGCGTAGTCGCGGAACTCCGTGCTTGCTTGCGCAAAGGCGGGGAGCGCAGAGTACGGGACGAGGGGCAGGATTTCCGCGAAGATGTCGAATGGGAGGGAGATCATGGTGGTGGTAACCAATCAAGAGCGTGGCCGACAGAAGCAGATCAGCATGACATGCATTTGCAACATGCCGTGGGTGTCAACAGCTAGATAAGAGGCAATTTACGTGATCCGGGAAGTTCGGCGGTCTAATCTAATCCCATCTAATCTAATCTACTTGAACTTCACTCCGTGTCCTCCCACACTTCTTCCGGCAACACTCTGCTCAGGAATATCGACGCACAAGCACAAGCGCAGAGCACTAAATACACAAGATACCCGCCGAGGAGGTTGTACTGCACGGAGAACGAAAACAGCGAGGTCGCCAAGGCCGGCCCAATTGCCCGGGCGACCGCCACTGAGGTCTGGGCGATCCCATTAACCGATCCGCGACTCGAGGCAGGCGCGGAGGAAGTTATGAAAATGAATATGGCGCCTGTTTAATTTGAGAAGCCCAAGTCGAAAATACAGGAGCCACCTGACACACCATATGCAGTATCAACCAACGCGGCGCACAGAAGCAGACACCCGACCAGCGTCCAGACCAGCGCATTCGTCCCACCTGCGACACGCGCAGCGAGGCTGATGACCGGGAACAGCGCGAACGCCGGCAACGTCGCCGAGATTCCGTGCACGAACACGCGTTTCTCGCCGAAGCGGTCGACGAATCGGCCGAATAGGAAAAACTGGAACAGGCCCATCGCAATGCCATATGTAGATAAGATCAGGCCGATCTGCGGCGGCGAGAGATCGAGACCACCGAATTCGAGTGGCATGGCGAGAAATAGGGGCAGCAACGCGTCCATCGTCGTGTTGAGAAATCCGAGGGTGACGTAGTTGGATATCGAGGCGCGGACGGGTTGCAGAGATATCAGTGTCTTCAAGGACAGCGGGCCGGTCTGTGCGGGTCTTTCAGGGCTCTCAGAGTCGGAGTGACGCCGTTGTTTCACAGTCTGGGTGACGCGGTCAGTGGCTGGAGTTGTGATAGCGCAATGGAAGAAACATACTTCTTTGAAAAACGCCAGCACGACGAACCAGGAGATGAACAACGGGACGCCGGACACCAGACACGGAAGAAAGTAGGGGAAGTCTATCCAGAATTGGCCGGAGAAAAGGGCAGGAAACGTATCGTGCGGTCGTGCAAGAGTTCCGCCGATGAGCGGAGCGAGCGAGCACTGTGGTTGAAGTTCAGTTGCATTCTAGGCAGAAAGAAAGGGGACACGACGCACCCCAGCAGCCCAGATGACTATTTACATCGAATGTTCAGTAATCTCCATTATGCAAAGGTTCGAACGCGTACTGGGCAGATATACAAACGCATCAGCCCGGTTCGATCTATCGGTCAAATCTCCCATAGCACTTTTCATCACACCTGGCAGTAGTCTAGCAAACAAAGGCGCGTACCAACGAGGTCCTCTTACCCGTGTTCCCATTCAAAAGCCCAAGCATACAGCGACTGTGCGAGCGCGATCAGCCCTAATTCCACAGCAAATATATCGCAGCGGACCTGACGATGAGACCCCAAAATGTGCGCGACAGCCCGAAACACAAGATCGAGAGGCCGGCGCCGAACAGGCCGAACAGGAGAATGGGCTTGCGGCCGACATGGTCCGATGCGCGGCTCCATTGGAGGATGGTCAGTGCCTCAGTGACGAAGAAGAGCGATTCCTGGCTGCGTTTGATGCGCTGATGGGACGAGCGGGCACAGCGGACTTACGATCTTCGGGACTGATCAGCTGCAGAGGGTGAGCAAGCGGAATATGTGCTCACCATTCCACTGAAACGACAGAGATCTGTGAGCGTACGATGGGGAACGCGTAGGGGCAACTCACGCGTAATAGCCAACTTTCCTCTCGTCCCCACCCGTGATTCCCAGTTCACTCACCAGCTGGACGCTTCGTGAGATAGGGAGAGATCCAGCGCGCGTCGATGCGCACCTGGTTTATGTACGGATAGATCGACTGGCTCGCAAGTGGCTCGCACAACTGGGAGAAGAGGATGATCGACAACTGGAGGCGCGGCAGAGGCGTCTTGGTCTTGGTCTTCGGAAGCAGAGGCACTTCTTCATCTACGACAGCCGACGCCGCGTCGTTTTCAGAGAACATCCTGGTAAGACAGAGAAGCGCTCGCCCGACGCTGGTGGCGGTCCCTGCATTTGACTCATGCCAAGGAAGTGTGTAGTTGCACGCGGATTCCGCCGAAAACGTATAGCCGAGTGCACACGTGCTCAATATGCACGGACCACTATAGGCGTCCTATAAAGCCCAGCGTTGAGCACAGCGAATCTTTACCACTCTGGCCTTTTGGCTTAGATCAAGTGTAGTATCTGTTCTTAATAGTTTAACCACTATTAGAGGGACACAGTCCCTTCTATTTGGTTATCTAATTTTTGCCGCCCTTGCCTTTCTGCTCTGCTTGCAACAGAAGGACGCGATGACCGTGCCGCTGCACTACTGGCTTGCGTCGTCGGGGGTCCACGTTTTTTTTTTGCATCCTCCGGTGTCCTGACCCTAACCCTATCTACTTGCCAAATCCTATTGCTTAAACCATCAATCAAATGCGACGTTCCTGAAATCAATGCCTTGGCGTGCGCTCCCATCCACCAACGTCCATGAACACTCGCTATCCCCACCCATTCCATGAGGACCCCGAGGATGGGGAGACCGAGAGCGCGGGTGTCCCCGACCCCACGACGCTCGCTGAGCTGCGCATGTGCAAGCTCTCTGCTCAGCTCCGCGAGAAGGACCGCTGGTGGGACAAGTGCTGGGACGAGAACATCACGAGAAAGTGGACTGCGGAGGTGCAGGAGCAGCAGAAGGATCTCGTCCGGTGGTCCAAGCTGTCCGAGCGCATGGTGCGTTGTTGTCGTTCGCGTCGGACTGGCTGAGTGCTTTTCGCTGATGGAACCAGGTCAACTACGTGATTGAGGAGCTTCAAGCGGCCTCCAGGATACGCGAGAAGACGGGTGGAGTCGAGGTCTGCATTCGTGTCTTCTACGTTTGACACGGCTTGCTCACTTGCGAACAGCCTGGCCCTTTCGATCGCGTCTACATCTCTGACGGCCTCATCGCGGAAGAGCTCACGGCACAACTCGCGGCGGCCGTGAAGCTGCTCGAAGACGTCCCATCGAACGAGAAAGACTGGCACCCAGGCTCCGAGGAGCGCGTCCTTGACCTCGTTCACCCCTCAATCTGTCCGCTGGTCTACGACGACTCGTGGGGCAGATCCGACGAGGGCGTCCTCCAGCGCTTCGCGATGCCGGCTCTCGAGTCCGACGACGTCGACGCGGTCTTCGTGTCCCCGCGCTTCCAGTGGCTGCCGTCCGATTTCGCCGTCGACGACGCCGGCGCGGTCAAGCTCGTGTCTCCCTACATCAACAACATCCCCTCGCAGCACCAAGACGCGTTCGTGCCCGTGCTCGAGCGCATCATGGAACGCGCGCTGCCGCTGTGGGAAGGCGTGCTGACCGAGCTGCGCACACCCCCGCAGCCCCGGATCGACCACGCCGCAGAATGTGTCATGGGCAGTGGATACACTGAGGACATCCCCTCCGATGACGAGCTCACCGCGGAGCTGGCCAAGCGCGAGACAGAGCTCGAGCCGTTCCGGGATTGGACGTATCGTTACCTCCTGCGCGGCGATCTCAATCTGCCAGAGGCACCCGAGCAGTATGTCGCGCGGCGCGGCGATGTGGAGGCCGCGGATCGGGTCTCGCTGCGCGGAAGCACGATCCAGGTTATCGTCAAGCTCGCCAACATCGTCTTGACCCCCGAGAATCCTAGTTATCCGGGTGGAATATGGCACGTGGAAGGTATGTGCTTGTTTGTATATGCTTTGGCACGGTTTATCTGGACCTTGACAGGCATGGCGAACGAATCCATCGTCTCCACGTTCATCTATTATTACGATACGGATAACATTGAGCCGTCCAGTCTGAGTTTCCGCCAGGCCACGTCGCAGCCTGAATACCACGAACAGGACGACGCAGCGTGCATGACCATTTTGTACGGCATTGACGCGTGCGATATTTTTCTCTCTCCCTATGCAGATGCAGCTGAATCAACTCTGCCAACAGGCAGGAACCGTGTGTTCAGGTCCTAGGCGAAGTTCAGACCAAGGCGGGCCGATGCATCGCCTTCCCAAACATCTATCAACATCTAGTCCGCGATCCCTGTCTTACTCTGGTGCTCAGCGGACTGATCAGTGATCTCAGGTCTCTCCATTCTCGCTCGTCGACACGACAAAGCCAGGCACGCGCAAGATCCTCGTCTTCTTCCTCGTCGATCCCACGCGGCGCATCGTCTCCGCCACAAACGTTCCTCCGCAGCAAGTCTGGGAGATGAAACGGCTCCTCCGCGCGCAGGGCCCCCAGTCGCGGCTCTCGACCCTGCCCCTCGAGCTGGTCGAATACATCGCCACGCTCGTGCCAGGGGTCAAAACCCGCCAGGAAGCGAACGAGATCCGCGAGGAGCTCATGGGCGAGCGGACGATCGTGGTCGAGAGCGTAGATCGCGAGTATTTCTCCAGGGTGAGACGCTTTCTCCTCCTGTCTTGGAATTCTGAGCGGATGCTGACCGCGGCTTTTAGTCGTTCAACATGTGGCAAGTGCTTTGCAGCGCGTGCGGGGAATCTGTTTACTAACTGTCTACAGCGAGCATTGAGACATAGATGCGCGATCTGTAGTGGGTAGAGTTATTGGATGTTAGAAAGACGGACTTCCGCGACAGCATGATACTTTCGTTCGGGAAATTTCCTGGCATGCACCACGTGCATCGACTCTGAAACACCGCGGACTTGGGCCTGATCCTCCAACACTTCTTGGAAATTGAATCAATATGTCGAGGACCGAGGTCCCGAGGTCAAAGCGCGATCACAAAAGAAGCCTGCAACAAGCGACGTTTCAGATCATTTCAATTCACGCAAACTATTTTGAGTACACACGAATCTATCTGGTCTGTGATCACTTGCTGTGCGCCTTTGTCCGCTCACGCACGGGGTCGATGGGCCCATTGTAGGATCGAGACCAGGCAACAACAAAGCGATGCGATCAGGTCCATTCTCGACTGGAAATGGAGGCGCTGTGGCCCGGCAGTGACAAGACGGTGGATGGGATGATCGGCTTTGAGGCTTGGATGTGGGCGCTTGGGACCTGCCGCCTGTCACCTGCCCACCTATTCCAACTTTGTTTCGATCGTCCACAAGCGCGACAATAAACTTGATCAGCGGCTCTTCAACTGCCGTACCCTGAGATCTTACTGGCGCAGTTTCTCGAGGTGGGAGAGAGACAGAGGTGGAGGGAGATTTTCGACGCACCCTATCATGCATTCATTCAGCCACGCTGCATTCTGGCACAGTGCACAAGAGGGGTATACTCCGAGCGGTCCATGGCTTGAGTGGCATTTCAGCCTCGACCGATCTCTCCTATTGTACAGCCCAAACACGATCGATGATCGACCAAAGCCTTGTCGGCTTCCCCTTGTCTTACACAGGCCTGTGCGCCATCTCGTTGTCGATGGGCCAGCCTCCGCATCTATAAAAGCGGGGTGCGCTCCGCCCAGTATTCTCCACCCACCTCCCCACTCCCACATCCACTCCAACCCACCCACCCCAACCAAACCAACCCACTCGCAATGGACTCTTTCACCGCCACCGTCCCCACCAAGGTCGAGGAGACCGTCCTGCCCCCCGTCAACGAGGACGGCGGAAACGGCTCCAACGGCGGATGCGTCGTCACCAAGGAGGACACCTCCCTCCCCCCCGTCAACGAGGACGGCGGCAACGGCTCCAACGGAGGCTGCATCGTTGCCTAAATGGTGCGCCAGCTTCTCTTTTTGCACTCTCTGATTGGGGACTGACGACTTGGGCAGCAATGCGCAACCTGCCCGATAACGGTGCCCTCAATCAGTTTTGGTTCATTTCGTACGTGCGCTTCCTCATATCGCATTCTACAGTGTTTTGACCTTCTTCCGCAGTTCTGGTTCGGCGTTTGATTCGTTCGCGCCCAGTATCTATTCTTCGCTTTCTTCACTGGACATTTGATCCAGCTACCCAGTTATTTCAGAAAACCATTCATAAAACCCACATTGAATACGCTGCCAATCTCATTAGATATATGTACCCAGTACTTATCTAAATGTCATCAACCTCGTTCCTTGCTTGCATAGTTTTTCATGCCCCAGTCCACGGCTTGGCTGGGAGCTGCATCCCAACCCAGATCGCAACCAGCGTCGTAGCCATCAGCACGTAGTACACCATCCACGGTCCGACGAAATCGGCCTGCATCGACAGCGAGAAGAGCGAGTTCGCCGCCGCGGGACCCACAGTCCGCATCAGACTCACGGTCAGCTGACACAGTCCATTCGTCGCGCCCAGCGAAGCGCGATTCGGGGCTGCAGCAGAGATGTAGATGAAGACGGCGCCTGCAACCGGCCATCAATACATGAGATCATCATCACGAGTCAGCACGGAAGCACGGACCGTACGACAGGCTCAGTCCGATCGACATCGTAATTTGCAGCAGCGCCACAGCCCACACTGTGCTGCTGATTCCATGGCTCTTCGCGAGGTGGCTGAGGAGTGGGAACGTCGCGAACGTGGGCAGTGCACTGGACACGCCGACGATAAACATCAGTTTGCTCCCGAGTAGGTCATGCACTGGTGCGAAGAAGAAGATCTGCGCGACGGCCGATAAGTAGAGACGGAGAGAATGCGCCGACAACCCACCTGGAACACCCCATTCAGAACACCGAACACCAATAACAGATTCCCGATGCGCGATGTCGGCAATCCGAGGCCGCCCAATTCGATCGGAGTGGCGAAGAACAGAGGCTGGATGGCCCGAAGCGCGATGTCTACAAGCGACAAGAAGGCGTAATTCGACGCGGCAATGAGCACGCGTTTCGTCATTAGGCCTCGCAGCGGAACAGCCTGCTCGCGCTCCGGAACTTCCTCGGACGAGCCAGACTCGAGCACGGTTTGCGTTTTGCCCTGGCCAACGGTGGGTTTGGACCGAGTGAACAGCTGCGAGAGCCGCAGCACGTGTGGTCCATTCGCGGTCTCCTTGAGGAACAGCGAGGTGACGGTCCATGCGATGATCGAGTATGTGGCCGGGACAGCACATGGCAAGAAGTACGGGTGGCGCTTGAGGAACTCGCTGCACCCAAACCAAGATGGAAAGCGCTCGACGGGATGGGCCAGCGATCCTCCGATGATCGGTCCCAGCACTCCGCCAGTGGACCACGCAACTACAAGCATCATCGAGTCAGTCGAAGTCCGCCCATGCTTTTGATCGTCACCCACTAGGCATGTACGCATATGCCTGGAGTCCGGGTGAGCATACTGCGGGAAGCGGTCGAATGTGTAGACGCACCTGAGCTATATTTGTATTGTCCGTCATTTCCGCGACCATACTGCAGCCGAGAATCGATAAATTCAGAGCCACTCGAAAGCCAGTGGACAAGCGCACCTTTTGATCACTCCAATGTTACCGTCTTGAGAACAGAACGGTTAGCTCAGACAGATCGACAGCTAGAGGCCACCCACTCAACGCGCCGTTCAAGCTTCGGCTGCAGGAAGCGAATGCGGTGAGCGTCTCCACAGAACCGGCGGCGATAAGACTTGCCTGAGAACGAGACCCCAGAATGTGCTCGACAAGCCGAAGCAGTACATCGACATGCTCAACCCAGAGAGGCCGATGAGGATAACAGGTTTGCGGCCGATGCGATCAGAGAGGCGCGACCAGTGCAGAACGGTGACGGCTTGAGTGAGGAAGAAGAGAGATTGCTGAGGACATGGGCGGCATCAAGATCTGGGAGTGGGTGCATGGATGGCAATGAAATCGCACGTACCACCATGCCGACATAGTACCCGACCTTCGTCTCATCGCCGTTCGTCACTCCGATGTCCCGAATAAGCTATCCGGACGCGTCGGTACTCCTGCTGAGCGGATCGGCCGAAACAAGGACGTACCTGGGGCAGAAACGGATAGATGACCTGGCTTGTGAGGGGCTCGGCCAGTTGGAGGAAGAGAACGAGGTACAGTTGGGCGAGTGGAAGGGGCGTGCGTTTCAAGGGTGTCGTTTGGTCGTTACGTTCGTTAAGGTCGCGTCGGGCCCCAAGCAGCGGCCGCGTCTCATCGTGGTCCTCGCCGTCAGTGGGGTGTAGTGAAGCGGCGGCCATGCTCTTTAGGGACAGGCCAAGGGAGGGGAGGGAGGAGGGAACGCGGGGGAGGAGAGAAGGCGAAGGTCGTGTTCGCCAGGAAGCATTTTACCCCGAGAGGCTTACGAGATTTTTAAGCAGAGGCTTGTCAACTCGACAGCTTACTTATGACTCGAACTAGAGTTAACGCTTGCAAGGAATGGCTTAATGCGCACCCCTAATCACTTTCTAACTTGGCGTTGAACGAAATCTGTTGGCGCTCTTGCTGTAGCAGTACTAGTAGTAGCTGTGGTCATTGCGAGCGTGGTCGCCAAGGGGCGTTACTCATCGGATCCTTCGGCACGATCGCTTGACAGAATTTCAAGTTCCTTGACACATCGAAGTCGACGGTATGAAAGTGGGCTCGTGAGATAAGCGAACAAGACAGTACAACGGTAAGAATGAGGCAGATGGGAGCATTGATCTTAGCATCCGTGCTTGTAGAACACCGCGGCTGCGGCGGCGCGAACCTATTGAGCCGAATGACGTCATGCACTTCCCATGCTAGTGATTCACGCATGCGAAAGCGCCGAGTTCAATTTCAGGCCAGGAATCTCTGAGGAATATATTCACAAGTTCAAAAATGAAGCCCTTGCGCTTTTCAGGTGAGGAATCATTCAATGAACTTCATCAAGCGGTTGTTCATCAAGCACTGGGACAGGCCAGTGTTCGTTTCCGTTGCGCTAGCAGGCTTCGAAAGCTCATAACTACTTAAGCCAAGACGGACATGATCAAGACGGATTTCTGATACGAAAACCGCCGTACAATGAGACTATTCCACAAATGCTTCTATTCGCGATTACAGAGGGCAGATGTGAGTACCCGGCTAACCAAACCATGAGCAATCGGTCCGTGGTGGCGCTCATTCGTCACTTACCGGGCAGCACTTGGTCTCCCCAACGACAAGGGGTCCACAAACAACCCAGTTGGGTGCCGGGCAAGCACTAGCGTCACCTTCAACGATGACCTGATGAAAGCAATGCATGCGGTGAGTGACGCCCGTGCGCGAGAACGTGTGTGGATGCTTCTTACACAGGCGGCCTGGGCAGAGGTGATACCTACGGCAAGGACGGTGACGAGAGCGAAGAAGTTGAACTGCATTGATAGGCTGGTGGGGAGTGGGAATCAGATTCTGGGGGTCGTCGAGAGCAGTGCGCCCTTTATATATCCTGAGGAGGGATAACCGGAAATAATAATCATGTACAGGCGCGATGGAGAGTCAGGAACAGGATCATAAGACGCGTACTTGATTATAATCTCGTTAGAGAACTGAATAGACCTGAGCGTGGGCCATACAGTTGAGCAACGCGGGACCACTAAAAATCAGTGATTAATTCCACTGCTATCCATCGTCATGCAAGGCGCAGTCTCCTTCAATCGAAGGCAGTGGTCTGAGCAAAGGCGTTCCACATTCGTCGCAAAACCTCAAAGTATATCGAAGGATCGGCGAGCAGGGATCGAAGGTGGGGGAAGATAGAACACAAATGCCATAGAATCTGTCGTCCGTCAGAACGCGCGCTCGAAGATGGGTAACAGGCCGCCGCCTATGTAGGACGTACTCGAAAAACAGATATTATCGCAGTGGAGTGCAGATTGAATTGTTTGTGCATCTGGACAATTCAGCGGTAGATAAGATTCACGAGGTCACGTCTAGAATGAATTTATTAATAGCCTATGATTCCAGTCGGCTCAGAGGCGGGGAGACATTCATTGCGGACTGGAGCATGATGTTAGCCCAAGGCCTTGTTCAGAGCAAACACAGATCAAGTGCGACACAGAGAATTTCCGGATGTAGTGTTCTTACCAAATTTAGGGCCCTTTAACTTTGAGTCTTCTCCCCTTGCTTTTCGAGTTGAACCTCGAGAGCGTGTCTTGTTGACCAGAACAGCGATGCTTTGAGTGTGCAGGGATTCTAGCATTGATACATGGATAGAAATTTGGATAGATTTGCGACAGCTTCAACATTGTGAGCTTCGACGTTGGTTGTGAATTTCGCGAAACCCACCAAGGATGCTGGCGCCAGAGTCGAAAAGAGAAGTTGCGGCACGTGTCGAAGCATATTGAGGACTCGGCATTGTGATCCGATACAGCAGTGCAAACAAATAAACACACCTCATCCTCTTCCACTCCCCTCCTTCGTGAGTCGTCTGCAACCTGTTCCGAGTCCCTGTATCTCCTACTCTCCTTGTATCTTCTGGATTCTGTAGAATCTGTGTATCCTCATGTAAGCTCCTGTCTGCTTCTGCCAGCAGAATGTTGCTCTGGTCTCCCCTGTCCTGTTTACGCTCTTTCCATTGCTTGTTCTACCTCTCCGTGTCGTCGATACTCAACTGTCCTATGTCATGCATGATATAGACCACCTTGAACACATCTCCCTGCTCCTGACCTAAGTTGCATTCATGCCTGAAGACGACTTTGATCTGTATGGCGAGCTCGATACCCAAATGACTGAGCAAAACGAGGTACGTGGAACCCCCGGGACGAGTCACACGGACGCTGACGATCTCTTTCGCGGCAGGAATACCACGGAGAGCACGGAGAGCCGGTCGAAACGATGATGTCGACACCCGCGGCCGCTGTCGGGGACAAGCGCTCTCGCGAAGAGGACAGTTATGAAGACGAGGCCGACTTGAATATGAATCAGGCTCAGTCGCGACCCGCCGGCAACGGGATCCCCACGCCCATGATGGGCCAAGTCTCGACCGCAAACGAAATTCAGGACTCGGTGTATGTGGGAGACTTGCAATGGGTGCGTGCCGCGTCTTCCCGCTGTGTTGCCGTAACTCACTGGCATCGTAGTGGACGACCGACGAAGACATCCGTCAAGTGGCGTTGAGCGTAGGAGTATCCATCGACCACAAGCACATCACTTTCTCCGAGCACAAGGTCAACGGCAAGAGCAAAGGGTGCGCGTCTTCCGTCTCGTTCACTGTCGCTGTTCCTTATCGAGATGCAGGATCGCCTTCATAGAGTGTGGAGACTTCGAAAGCGCTACGGCACTGAAGAACTGGCTTGACAACAAGTAGGTTTATCCTTCCATGTCTAGGTGCGAAACCGATGTTTGCCCGCAAGCGATTTCCAGGGCCGCCGAGCGTCCGCCACTCTTGCGAGCTCGGCACAAGGCAACCCTTTCCGCACCCTACCCAAAGGTGAGCAGGACGGGGCGCATATAGGATGGTGTGCGGACACTGACGGCCCGTCAGAGCCTCCTCCTCGCGAGAACCGTGTGCAGAACCAGACACCACAACAGATCCCCCAGATTCCGATGCCGAACATGGCGATGGCGATGGGAATGGGCGGCCGGGGAGGGTCGAACTTCCGCGGGATGCGTGGGGGGATGAACAACATGTTGGGGATGCGCGGTGGGATGCCTAATATGGGGATGGGCATGATGGGGATGGGGATGGGCAATATGCCCATGGGCGGCATGATGGGTGGCGGAGGCTTCCAGAGAGGGATGGGTCCGCGAGGTGGTGGCATGATGCGTGGTGCGTAGCGCAGCCCTGCTTCGTCCGGCCCCGGTCCTGTACTGATCAAGCTGCTCCGTCAGGCCGCGGCAATTTCAATGGGGGCGGCCATATCAACCCTGCCTTCATGGCGCAGGGCGGCCAGGTCCCTGATGGCCCCCGAAAGCGCTACCGGGTCGATGATAGCGCCTGAAGCTGTTGCATCTCACAAGAAAATCCGCAGAGTAGAGCCCAATAATCGCATCATTGTCATCATCCCTGCTTTCGCGCTTTGTATCCCATTATCCATACTTTATCACGCAACAACATCGGCTTGGGAATGGAATGAGACATTTTCCACCAACTGGGACCGCTGAACGCGATTGTGCTTTTAGCTTATGGGAGGCACGATGTCAGAGCAAGTGATTGCATCAAATGATCTCGATTGATCTAGTGTGCCCACCTACATAGGACGCGCGCGTTTCCAATCCGTAGCCATCTGCCTTGGCAAAGCTTGGAGGTCTCTGACCCTGTATTTTCTCTGCTCTTTCGCTGGTTTGGCTGTGGCACGCTCATCAATGTCACAAGCGTTGGGCGGCGCGTAAGCAAGCAGGAATTGCCATCGGTGGCCGATTCAGTTGACAAGTGCAGTGGCGAGAGGGTCCAGTCGCTGACAGTGATGGGCTGTGATGGGCATAACTATTTGTGAGGTGGTCCCTGAGCCCCCGTTCGGATGACGAGTTGTTGCAGTTGTTGGTTCGAATCGGCTTTGGGGATCCGGGGTGCGATCTTGCGGCTACGAGGGTTGACAGGTCCTCAAGTCGGGCCCTTGGAGTAAGTTCCCACCCTTGCTCTCTGGAACCGCACAGCGACTGTTTTGTGGCGTCGGCTTTGCGCTTGTTTGATGATCTATGACCGCGGTCACTCGGCCCTCGACCCACACCTGAGTAACGCACCCGGAGGGATGGATGGATGGATGGATAGGTGGTAGGATGCGCATCGTGGGCACTCGGATACTCGGTCGCGGTCCACCGCCGCGGCATCACAAAACGAATGCTCTGTTCCGGCCCCAGGTCACCAACATTCCCTTCATACTCACACGTCGGTTCGTGCACCCGTCCCCGACAAGAAGGCCGAGTTTTGCTTCGAAACGTCCACATGCGCGTGTTTTCTTGGTCTTTTCCCCGCTTTCCGGGTCCGGGGTGTCGAAATGGCGTACTGATCTATCGTAGAGTGCTCGCATCCATCCCTGTGGAACTGAGCAGACGGACATATTCGACCTCGGTAGCGCGCATGCTGCATCACCTGACACGGGAGTAGTCACTGCTCGACGACTGGCACTCAGCCTGCAGGGTGCAGTCGTAGCAGCACAAGCAAGTAACCGGCGTGTCGGGCATTGGACGTCCAGCGCCACATTGGAGCCGGCTTTGATTGCCAGCATCCTGCGCTTCAAGCTTCGAGCGCTATGCAAACAGAATAACAATCCGTCCGGCGTTGCTGACCCCGGCAAAGGGTCTCTTGATTGCGGTCGCCGTATGGAGTGTCTCTTCTTGGTCTTCCATCGACTCTTCGATAATGTGTGTGTGCAGGGTCTGATGGCTCCAGCCAGATTCTCGACCCAGCACACCCAACTCTCTTGCCACTCTTTTCCAACTTGAGCTATCAGGCCCAGAGATGTCAGTGCGTCCGGATCTGGCCAGAGCTCTCAGACGATATGAGTCGCATATTGTAGCTCGTCAGTTTGATATATACTTACTGTGTGAATAGATTGGGACCCAATCGGCAGCGCAATCGCCGCACTGACTTGCGCAATGGAGAGCACAGAGGCTCTTGGATTCTTGCCTAACCTATAGTGGTCACGACAAGCAGAATGCAGGTAACGTTGCCTGATCGTCCCACGGCAGCTCAAATCTCCTCTTCAACGACTTAAAGAGCCGGTGCCGTTTCCCTGCTCCCCCCTACGCTCTCCCTCGGAAACTCAAAATGGGGGATGTTTCGATTCCTCAGATCGTTGTGAGTAAGGGCGCGCGGCCCGTGGGCACTAGACAGCTTTAGTCTGACAGAATCCCATCCGTAGCTGATCTCAATTGCTGTGCAAACATTTCTGCTCGGCGTCTTCACAACCTTGTTTGCGGCGACCGTCAGGCTCATCTTGACGAAAAGGATCTCCAATCCGAAAGCAGTCAGCCTGGTATTGCCGACGACGACGATTATTTGGCTCTTCGCTGTCGCTGTGGGTCTGTTCTTTCCAGTCGACAATCTCTCCCGTCTGATCCAAAAGTCGGTTATAGCATTGGGTCATCGACATGGCCCGCCTGCAGATCGGATTCCTGCATCATCAGCAGGATCTTTCAAGATACTTCGTTGACCTTGCGACGCCATATTCTGTCGCGAAGATTGCCCTTTACGTGACCGCCACTCTGATCGGCGACTGCTTTATGGTGGGTGTGCCATGCCGTGAAGCCAGATATAATTTCGCTAATCGGATGATCAGATCTATCGCTGTTGGATTATTTGGACCAAATCCTATGCTATCATTGCTTTCCCCACCCTCCTGTGGCTGGCCTGCTGGGTTTCGGGATACGGTGGAACGCATGCGCTCTTGAGTACATTACCGGGCGAATATCTGAAAATGATGGCCGCGTGGATCACGACTTTCATCGTCTCAACGCTCGCGACGAACGCATTTTGCACATGTAAGTCACCTGTGTTCCTTTGCGGGTCGCCGGCGTCCATTGAACGTCTGTCAAGTATCAATCGCGTACAGGATCCTGCGCTCGCAGTCCGCTGTGCGTTCGATGCAGACCGGGAAAAGCCACCTGGTCTCTATCGTGGTCAGTGAAATTGGGTATTTCGTGCGGATGTCCAGACTGAAATTTCACCAGATCGTTTTTCTTGAATCCGCTGCCCTTTATTCTGCGAATCTCGGGGCATTGCTGATTACCTACGAGTTGAACTCCCGCGTGCAGTTTGTCTTGGTTGACTCGGTCAGTCGTGGCCACTCTCCCTGATTTCCGAGCTAATTGCGTCGACACAGACTTGCGCCGTGGTTGGGATCACCTTCAGCATGATCATTCTGCCCATCGCTCGCTCTGATGCGGAGACGACATGTGTCTCGACACGTGTCGCCTCTCACAGGCCAGAAGGCGTCAACGTGTCGAGGCTGGTTGAAGTAACCACCGACCGTGAGTTCGAGCTGGACACGCTTCACGGGCTGAAGCACAAGCCCGGACATGTTTAAAATTTGAATCCTTCCTTCAACTGTACATTTGTAACATCCAGCATGATAGATTTAAATCTTAATCTACTACATTACATAAGCCACTGGCGGCTTTTTGTCTTCTTCCGTCACCATGATCTGCATTACACCTTGTCTTCCATGCCGGAATAGGCATTCAGGGCCAGCTGCCCACCGAGATGCGCATAGAGAACGTTGCCCTGCGAGATCTCTCCCTTGCGGACCATGTCCACCATGCCTGCCAGACTCTTTCCCTCGTACACCGGGTCTGTGATAAACGCGTCCATGCTTGCGCCGTACTTGATGGCCTCGACCGTCTGCTTGTCCGGGATGCCGTAGCAGCCGGCGTGGTACCGCTCGTCGAGGATCACGTCCTCCTCCGCGATATCGCTCTCCTCCAGCCCGATCTTCGCCGCCGTGAAGCGCGCGATGCGAAGCACCTGCGCGCGCGTCTCGGCCGGCTTCGCGCTCGCGTCAATTCCGACGACCTTGCGCTTCGGCCCGCCGCGCTTCTCGAGCAGCTTGAAGCCTGCGACCATGCCCGCGTGGGTCGAGCCCGTCACGGAGCACACTACGACCGTATCGAAGAAGACCCCGAGCTCGGCCTCCTGCGCGGCCACTTCGAAAGCCCATCGTGCGAAGCCGAGCCCGCCCAGAGGGTGGTCGCTGGCGCCCGCTGGAATGTAGTATGGCTTCCCGCCGACGGCACTCACTTCGGCGGTGAGGGACGCCGCCGTCGGTTTGTGCTCGATGCCGAATGTGGACGGGTCCAGACGCGGCTCCGCGCCCATCAGTCTCGAGAGCTGCAGGTTGCCCACTTTGTCGTACACGGGATCGGTCCAGTCGACCCAGTGCTCCTGCACAAGCTTAGCCTACGAGGAATCCATGTCAGTGCGCCGCGTGCGTATCGAAGCGACTGGAAACACCTTCAGCCCAGATTTGGCAGCGACCGCCGCGACCTGTCTCGTGTGGTTGCTTTGCACACCACCGATCGAGACCAGCGTGTCGCACCCCTTCTCGAGTGCATCGGCCAGTAGGTACTCGAGCTTGCGTGTCTTGTTGCCGCCGAACGCAAGACCAGAGTTGCAGTCCTCGCGCTTGGCCCAGATCTGGACCTTGCCGTCGGGGCTCAGATCAGCGGATATGCGATCGAGGCGGTGGACGGGCGACAGGCCGAATAGGAGCGAGCTGCGAGGGATGGAGGCAAAGGGTTCTGGGAGAGTGACAGACATATTGAAGTGCGTTGGGTTGAGGTGTCCTTCCCGTCGCTCCCCGCGCTGCTTTTATCGGTATCCCAGAAGATCGGGGAAGTCATGGATGTGAGCGCGGCTATTGCTTATGCCGAGTTCTTTCGAGTTATCGCCCGTCGGGGAAGGTCGAGAGGAGAGCGACGCCAGAGGTTTGTGATCATCCTGGGCCGCGGTCCATCGCTGCATCGGCGAAGCTGACATACCTGTGGTACATAGATATGCCCCCCATCATCACGCCCGCCGACAGCTCACGGTGATCCTCGTAAGGGTTTATATCGGTCTGAGCCTTGATGGTGTGTCACAGAGCAATTGGTTAACAAAATGTACATTCGAAGCCAGTTTATCTAGGTATCTGAGCGCAGGTCAATGACTATGGGCGACTTGGGTCCATGTAAATGAACTTACTATACGCATATATCTACGCGCTCAACAATTGGGACAGTTCGCCGGAGCGGAACAGAGCCTGGGTCTTGTCGTTGCCGCCAATCTGCTTCCCGTCTGGGAAAGGTAAGATTATCATGACATCAGTCTCATCCTCATCTCGAGCTCGCCGAGCACGCACTGATGAAGACGTTGGGAACCGACGTCTGGCCGGTCTTCTGGGCGAGGTAGCTCTGGATCGCATCTCCGTCGGCGCGAGACTCGAGCCTTCAATGCGCACAAGTCAGGCTCTCGAGCGCGGCATTGACGTGGGGGTTGAGGGACGTACTCGACGATGTGCGGCGCTTCCTCGGGGAACTCCGACGAGAAGAGGGAGGTCACGGCGCGGCAGTACGGGCACCAGGAGCGGGTGAAGATCGTGATCTTGTGCGAGTCGATTTCGTTCTGTGCTCCCGATGCGCTGTTAGTGGGATAGCGCGACGCGAGAGGCATGGTGGTGCGCACCTCGGTGATCTCCTGGGCGGACATGATTCTGGATGAGTAGTGGCGGAAAGGGTGGTTGATTCTGGGCGAGATCGAGCTTGGTCGGAGGACGTTGGCGCAAGAAGAGGTATATAAGGGCTTTGAGCGGATGGAACGGGTGAGTAAGCGAGGAGCAGAAGAGAGCATGACGCTGACTGACGCGATCGCGTGACCTCGGAGACCGACCTCATCCATGATCGCCTGTAAACATGCTGAATGTGATTCTCATCGCAAGCTCAGTAGAACAACGCAGAGAGGCGGACGAGGAGTGGACAGGCAACGATGCTCGCCGTGACGCTCGCGTGAATTAAGTCTTGGTCAACTTGAATTTGCGTGACGGATTCTAGCGAGTCACTTTGCCTTCTCGAGCCTGTTCTGGTGCAGAGGTAAATTGAAGCACAAGTCCAGCGCGCCGGGACGCGAGTCCAGTTTAGAGTTCATCGGCCCGAGGGTGCCCAGTCCCCGAAATTCTTCCGAGTTGATGGTATTCAAGATCTCAAAAATTTCCACTGCCAAATGCGCAAACAACGACTCACTCCCGCCTGAGAGCGTTCGGGTCAGAGTTTTTCCTCGTGGCTCACCCGGCGTTGCATGGACAACAAAGGAAAGAGTGCCCTGAGGTGAACAATGCAGGACACAATGACTAAATTCCCGGGCTGGCGGCTTGGGCCAGTGTGCAACACCGCCACGCACCGCCACAGACCCCAACTTGCCTCTTCACTTCACACCTTGTCCTCTCTGCTCACAGCTGTTTCGACGACCACCGTCCACTATGGGCAGCGATGCCTACGAGCAACTCCTCGCACTCGGGACACGCAACACAGAGTCTTCCCGCAGCACCGCGCAGGCCGTGCTAGCGCAGAAGAAGGCACGTGAGGCGGAGCAGCGGCGGAAACGGGAAGAGAGCGAGCGCAAGGAGCGGGCCTTGGAAGAGGAGATGCGGAAGCGACATTTCCAGAAGCTGAAGGAGGAGCAGGAGGCCGAGGCACGGAAAGCTGAGCGAGAAAAGGCAAGGGAGGCTGACCGTGAGCGTCGCGAAGCCGAGCAGCGGGATATCTTGCGGTATGGGCCAAAGCAGGCGAAGCAAAGTGGGTCGAAGTGGCCGTCCTCTTCCTCTGGCGTGCGGGAGCAGGTCAGGAAGAAGCGCTTGCCTAGTGACGAGGAGGATGACGATGCCGGGGGCAGCGTCCTGACACGTCAAGAGAAACGGGAACGCAAACTGCAAGCAGAGCTGAAAAGGGCTTTCCACGCTCCTCGGAGACCAGTTGGCTATGGTGGTGGCGGCGGGACCCGCAAAGCTGGACGCAAGCTGCCGGGAGGCGCGTACGATATTGCCACGAGTGACGTGACAGCCTCAGCTAGCGGGTCGGGCAATGTGCGAGATCGACTGTCGGCGATGCCGAACACGCTCACGCGACTGAACGTTAACAAGCGCGATACGCGGACGATAGACGAGATCGTACGGGATATGCGGAGTGGCGGCGCGAAGTCGGAGACATTGAACGGGGAGTCGGCACGGACGTTCGACGACTGGTTTACACCCGCGCAGCGATCGAACAAAGCGACTCCTGCTGCTTCTACTGGGCCCTCTCGTCCTTCCTCACTCCCCCCACCATCGAGCTCGGCGGTGTCAGGCGGTAAACGTGCCACGACGACTGCTTCACCGGGACCAACCGGTGCGCCGAAGCCCAAGCCTCGCTTGTCGAACTCGCAGGGATCTTCGACCTTGAAAAAACGGTCTATCTCCCAGTCCGACTCGCGTTCTGCTTCGCCTGCCCCCAAGCGAGCTAACGTGGCATCCGCATCTGGGTCCTCGTCCAAATCCGGCAGCAAACCATCTCGTCCCGCGGTGCCGTCGTCCTCATCCTCGAAACCCAAATCTCGGCTGCCGCGGTCGCCTGGGGAAGGCGATTCCTCCGCCATCGGGGACGTGATCTGGGAGATGTTTGGGAAAAAACGGTCGTCGTATGTCGCGAACGATGTGTATTCTGACTCCGAGAACGGCTCGGATGACATGGAGGCCGATGCGATGGCACTGGAAAGGGAGGAGATGGCCAGCGCACGACTCGGGCGGAAAGAGGATCGTGCACTGGAGGAGGAAGAAAGGAGACGGATGGAGGAGAAAAGGCGCCGTATGGAGCGTTAGGCAACCTTATGCATTTCCGGAGAATCACACTCCCCCTCATTTACATATACTGTATTCCCAGCCAATCTATGAATGTATATCTTATTTACTTGACCCACTAGCGGTGTCGAATATCAGGATCGGATCTCAGTTCCGGTTTGGGTTGACGACGATCACTACGGTGGTTTCATCGCGTTCATGGGGTGAAGCAGGATGGATGTGTGAGATATCTGGCGGAAGACTTGGGCTCAGAAACTCCAAATGTTTTATTCGAGGGGCTATAGGTCGCTCGCACGTGACAAAGTGGACAAAATGACATCACGCCATATAACACTGCTCAATCCACGCACACTCAGCGACTTATACCGCTGCAAGACCTCACTGCCACACGATCCGCAGAATCCGTAGACCTGAATCATACCGGAGAATCAACAGAGGGGATCTGCGGAGAAGTGTGATTGGGTCTGGAACCAGGACGTTCAGGACTGGCCAGAAATACTTGCAGCAACGCAAGAAAGTAGACCCTCGATCGCTATCAATTTTGGGACGACCTCGATCAATGAAAATGATTCAGTTTATCCAGAGTAGCGACTTCTCCTCGTTCTTCTGCACGGTGCGCTTGCCATGACACTGAAGGGACTGCAAAATCCCTCTCGGTCTCCACCAACGCCGTCTCAAAACAGGAGTTCTCGGCTCTGGAATGCATACACGCTGCTGCAGATCGGCTTCATATCAGTGCTTCTTGCCTCCTTCCTGCATCTTACATCCCAGCTCCCACTATTGCGCAACACGCCCTCTTCACCCATCGACTTTTGCCCGCAGGCCAACTCGAGCGTTCTTATCCGCAATGCCGACATCTGGGAGGGGAGCTTGGCACGCACGGGCTCGGACGGATTTCGGCAGAGGGCCGCTGGGCGGCTCGCAGGCGCCGTCCGCATTCCGTGCGCTCGACTCCTCCTTGTTCCTGCCCTCCTCCCAACCTCATTCCTCGCCCATCCTGCAGAACTGAATCGTACGACGACCTCCTGCCCGTTGGAGTTGACCCGCGCTGGGACGTCTTCGCGCTGCTGCATGGGTATCTCGAGGAGACGTTCCCCCTGGTGTACAGCCGCCTGGACGTCCGCCGCGCCAACACGTACGGGCTCATTATCGAGTGGACTGGGTCGGATGCCACGCTCAAACCCGTGCTTTTTACTGCACACCAAGGTGCGTCGCTTGTATTCTTCTCAGTGCTAGGCGGCATACCGATGCAATTCCTGGCAGACGTCGTCCCAGTCGAGCCACTGACGGTCGCAGAATGGACTCATCCGCCGTATTCTGGACACTTTGATGGTATGTGTTCAGCCCCTGGAATCTCAAACTGGGAGCCGCCTTCATGGGGATCCTGTAGGCCAACGCATCTGGGGTCGCGGGACCGCCGACGATAAGAACGGGCTGATTGCGATCCTGCAAGTCGTTCACTCACCTCCCGACACAAGACCCTCATGAGAGAAACTGCAGAACGGCCCTGGAGACTCTGCTAGAGCTCGGTTTCGCACCGACACGGACGATCGTGGCAGCTTTCGGATTCGACGAAGAAGCGACGGGCGCGGAGGTTTCTGTCTTTACTGGTGGTCTGGTTTCCTGTCTGACCTGCGTCAGGGTGCGGCACATCTGGCGAATGCGATGTTGGACACTTACGGCGAAGACGCATTTGCGTTCATCGTCGACGAGGGCTGTGAGTTGGCTGCATGGTCCGTGCTCTCGGGTGTTTACGCGCTTCCAGCTGGATTGTTGAAACTCTTCGGGACCGTTTTCGCCATGCCTGAAGTGGCTGAGAAGGGCTATATGGATGTCACCGTGAACGTCACGACTGCTGGAGGACATTCGAGCATTCCGCCGGACCATACCGTGAGCGGCAGACGGCGGAAGTACACCCGGATGACTGAGGATGCAGAGCATAGGTATCCTGGCTGCGGTTGTCGTCGAATATGAAAACCACCCGCACAATCCGAATCTAGTGAATGGCTCAAGGCTCATCCCGTCACCGCACCGCACTGACATCGCCAGACTAGGCACTCGCCGTCGTTCCAGACGTTCCAATGCCTGGCGCAGTACGCTGCGGATATGCCGCCCCCGGTGAAAGCCATCATCTCCAAAGCCGCGACTTCGGAGTCGGAACTCCACGTTCTCGAGGGACTGCTGTACAAGAACCCGCTGTATCGGATCCAAATCATGACGACGCAGGCGGTTGATGTTATCAAAGGCGGCGTGAAAGCGAATGCACTGCCGGAGCAGGCGAGTGTGCTGGTGAATCATCGGATATCCATCGAGAGGTGCGTGCGGTGCCGCTTATCTTGCTCGTGGGCATCCCAGTACTCCCGAGCACTCACATGAGACCCGAAGTTCTATCGCGCAGCTCCGCGAACACAACACCGCGCTCATGCAGCCGCTCGCCACTCGGTTCAATCTCAGCTTCCGGGCCTTTGGGGAGCAGATTTCGGATCCGCGCGTGCCGACTGCGGGGCTGCTGTCGGTGGGAGATGACAGCTACCCGCCGCTCGAGTCTTCGCCTGTGACACCGACGATCGGCTCGGTCGCGTACGAAGTCTTGTCGGCCAGTATCAAGGCGACATATGCTCATCGTAGGGTCAAGCAGAACGGAGACTCTCTGGTGGTCGCGCCGTCGCTGATGGTGGGCAACACAGGTGCGGCAGGATCATCTGTACGGCGCTTTTCTGCTTGATCATCGATCATCTCTCTCCAGACACGAGTTTCTACTGGACCCTCTCACCTAACATCTTCCGCTACGGCCATGGCAATTCGGCTGGACTGGCGCAGGAGCAGATGCGCGACAATCTGCACACGGTCGATGAATGTGCGCCCGCTCCTCTTTCGCTGGAACGCGAGTTTTCGCCGCAGCTAATCGTGATTGGACTGCAGCTCTCGATGCGGATGATTTTGTGGAGATGATCCGCTTCTTTGTGACGCTGATGTTGAGCGCGGACGAAAGTTTGGCGCTGTGATGGATGCAAATCAAGCCAAGCTTATCACAGGTTCTGACTGGATACATCCAAGGCACTTTGTAGCCGGAGATTTCTCACCTGCCTGGCTCAAGTGCCACGAATAGACTAGTATGTTGGCGATACGCACCCGGCACCATGACAGCCATATCCATGTCTGAACCTCAAAACACTTGTCATGTCAGCGCGCGATCGTCCGAGCCTCGTGGCAAACAGAACAAAAAGGTAAAGGTGATCGGAGACAACAGAAATTTCATCGATGGCTTCCGATGTTCTAGTGCATAACCGCTGGAGATATTGCTTTGGGTCGGTCGGGGATTTCGCTGAGCACAGATCAATCGATCAATCTGATTCAGTACGACTCGATTCCTTTCTCTGACGCTGGAAGCAAGAAGATCCCCGTGGAGTTACGTCCAGTGCGTACTTGTATCGATGTGGGCGCGTGGCCGGTTGTTATGTCACTATCAGTGGAGCGCACACCAGCCAAACTCAAACTTTGTCTCGATCATCAATAAGCGTAACAATAAGCTAGATCGGTGGCCAGCGATCAACCACAACCCATGGCCCAAGGACTCCTTCAACCTCGCATCCAGGTATGCTTTGCTCGTCCTCGACCACAGTTTCTCGTCGGGTATGGAGCCTGGGGTAACTGGATCTCTCACCGTCGGAACGTGGCCCATTGAAGGGCACCTTGCGAGGCGCAGCACCGGGCACCGCGACCCGACTCATCTCTGGTTCTTATTGTTGCACGAAATACGATCGGTGATCACAAGCCAACCTCTGACTCTTGTGTTCTGCGATCCGCACATCCTTGTCTCGCAACGTGCCTGGCTGGAGGTCGAGTATAAAAGCCGCATCGCGGCAGCTTGGAAACCTACCATTGATTCACCACTCCCGTTCAGCCATCCGACTACACTCACCAACCCAACCTGACCATTTCTCTCTGTGTGTCTCAATGGACTCTTTCACTGCCACCATCATCCCCACCAAGATCGAGGAGACCATCCTGCCTCCTGTCAGCGAGGACAGCGGCTCTGGCTCCAACGGCGGCTGCGTTGTCTGCAGGGAGGATACCGAGCTTCCCCCTGTAAACGAAGACAGCAGCTCTGGCACCAACGGCGGTTGCGTCATTGCCTGAATGGTGCGCCGCTTTGACTCGGTCTCTCGGTGATCTCAATGTTGACCTCCCGTGCAGTTTGATGCCACTTTCCACGTCGATAGCCCTCTGAATCAGTTGTGGGGCGCATTCGGGTTCGTCATGCGCATCCTTAGTTCTTCATAAACGCTAACTGCAGTTACAGACTCCCACTTTATTCTGCGCTCGATTCGTTCGCGCTTCCATATTCCCTTGCACTTCGGTTCCGATTACCCATGCCATTGTATCAGGTCATTCTAGATGTCTCACACTACTCGAAGTATATTGCAATCATCACCATCATCGTCTCTGTCCTATGTACTTCTACTCCTCACCAGTAGCTAAATGCCACATTCGTTTACACTGGAATGCATTTTCGTGTTGTTACTCGGGAGGCAAGTTTGCTGCATATCGAGTTTTTGAGAGAGGGAAGGTGACACCCGTTTCGCGATGACACTGTCAGATTCTCACTCGGAGGGCAATGTCGTTTCACACGACTCTCGCTTCCACATCAGCCGATCATCGAATCTTAGCCGTCCGACGGTCAGCAATTGATATATGAAGCCACATGACTTACAGTTTACGCAGGGGATGTTGAAAAACGAGAGCCCGATATCACGGCGCAAGCGCCGGAGAACGGCGCCTATGGCCTCAAAAATAAGGGCATCCAACCATCTGTCGAACATTCCCACGGTTCACTCTCTGGAAGTAGATATTGATTGACTTCCAGTTAGAGAATACTATTGATCGCAACTGACAGGTGTTTCTGCACCATAGAGGTGTTTTCAGTCGTTAGAGCCATTTAATGCATCTATTGCCTTCGGGTTTTTTTCAAATCATTCCTTATATACTCTCAAATGATTGTGCAAAGTCCGAGAGCAATCGGGCAAGTGCAAAGAATTGCTCGGCGCTGCCGGCGCATCAAATGAGGTGTTCTCAAGCTCATCTCTGTAATTCCAAGCCTCCCGTTGGTCATTTCAGGCCGGGTAAAGACGAGCAATATATTATTAAGTATCTAAATCGTATTCGATACACGCTTTGCTATTCCGGGCTTGCAATGGATGTGAGCAAGGGTGATCAGCCAAAGCGTGACAATTCAAGCTCCGCGCATCAAACACGTTGATTGACAGCCATGTGTGTCTGGCGTCGGAACCTATTCCTGGCCCATCATCTCAACCTCTGATTGCTCCGTCCTTGGCTCCTCAGCAGCCTACGCTACCTTACACATTGGTTTTGGATCCTTTTTCGACTTTCTCACTCCTGCCTCCTGTACCATACACATCTGGTTTCCAATGGACTTGAAATCCACATTATACATCACACTTATAAAACTATACACCTACTAATGGCTCGAGGACCTTTCCACCTGGGTCTAGCACCTCTCACATGTCGTCAATACATGTAATGTATCTACTTCACACTTATATTCTTTCTTCTGTGAGTGTTGACGCGACTCGGGGAGCACAAGATCAATTGCCGGTTTGGCCATCACACTGTCATCACTGTGTCAGTGTGACAATTGTGACCACACATGTAATTCCTCTTGCTCACATCCATTGCAAGCCCGGAATAGCAAAGCGTGTATCGAATACGATTTAGATACTTAATAATATATTGCTCGTCTTTACCCGGCCTGAAATGACCAACGGGAGGCTTGGAATTACAGAGATGAGCTTGAGAACACCTCATTTGATGCGCCGGCAGCGCCGAGCAATTCTTTGCACTTGCCCGATTGCTCTCGGACTTTGCACAATCATTTGAGAGTATATAAGGAATGATTTGAAAAAAACCCGAAGGCAATAGATGCATTAAATGGCTCTAACGACTGAAAACACCTCTATGGTGCAGAAACACCTGTCAGTTGCGATCAATAGTAAATACAACGAAGCAGAGCAGAAATAGATAGCATAATCGGCGAGAACATTGATCCGCCATAAGACACTCCTCCTCAAAGGAAGTCGTCGGTGCTGTCCAGGTCGATCTCGTCGCTAAACGCGATGCTCTGCCCGTTGACGACTTCGTCCCAGTCTCCGAGAACGACGGTCGTGTCGCGGATGAAGTCGATCTTGAGCGTCGTGGTCTTGTAGACGACGGTGAGCTCCATCGTGCCGGTGGGGCCGTACTTCTTGCCCTCGCTCAGGAGGACCTGGTTGATGACGTACGGCTGCGGAAAATATCAGCTCAGTGAAGTCGCCTCAGACGAGTGACGGATCGCTCACGATGTTGACGAGTCCTTGGAAGCTGGAAAGAGAATGGTTAACTCAAGCACGGTCGATTGTGGGGGGATGAGCGTACTTGTCACCCTCGGCTGGATGCTCATCAGCAACTATCATCACACAAATAAGGAGTGAGACTACTCACTGCCCAATTGACTGTCACTCATCAACCCGTAGTTCTGTGGAATTTTGGATCAGCGATCACCCAGCGCCTTTTCAGAAGGACGCACGAGCTTGTAAACCTCAGTAGTGGTCACGAAAAGGGGCGTGCCGACGATCTTCACGCGCTCGTTGGCCGCAATGCTGAAATCAACTGAGTCTCAAGGTTTTCTGTCCACGGCGCTGATGAGAACGCACTCAAAGTCAAAGTCCTTGCTCTGCGGGTACAGATATTGCTTCGTGGTGGGCACCGTCGCGTTCGCCGCGATGACCAAGCTCACTTTCCCGGCGATGTTCGAGAACTGGATCGGGTTGTTGACGCTGATCAGCGCTGGAGTGCGATGTCAGTACGAGTTGTGACCTGAGTTGATTCGGAAGCCAGCGAGCTCACCAGGGAGGCTGATGTCGATCGACAAGTCGAGGATGTTGTTCCACGCCTTGGTGAAATGCTCATGACCGGCGGCAGACGAATCGAAGATGCTGAATTTCTTGCCGATCGCCTTGGTGATCTCGGTGCGAGACGGGTCCAGCGTTCCCTTGGCCGCCATGGTCGTGTTGTGCGACGAGATGCTGAAAAGAACCGCTCAGCTCGAAAGAAACAGAAAAGCAGGGAGATCGACAGACGGAGGCTTCATAGTGGTCGTGAAGCTGTCGTTCAGGTGCAGCTGGTCGTCGCTGGTCATCGTGTCCGGGCGGAGGGCGCTGACGGCGGTGTAGACGGCGGCCTTGTCCCACCCGAGCGCCTGGAGATCATCCCAGGTGGTGAGAGGAGGGACAGCAGCGGCAGCGATTTGTTGAGCCATCGGAGAGGAGGAGGAGCTGGTTGAGGCTGGAGGCTGGTTGTTTGTCGAAGTGGAGAACTGGTGCTAAGTTCTTCTGTTCACGAAGAATTTATACCAACTGGAGACCTCGAGTCCGGTGAGATTGAGTGCCCGTGGTCTGTCGAGTAGTCTCCGCATATCCCACCTGACAGGAACCCAGGAACCTCGCCAGTGAAAGAATGTCTGTGTCTCTCGTGGACTGAATACCGAATTAGTGACGTGCCGGGTGCCGGCAGCTCCCAGCAGCCACAAATGGCATCCGGTGGCAGATCAACGCCTGATCAGCAGTGTCTCGACCGTCCCAGCATCATTCCGAACCGCGCTTCGCAGCGCATCGGGATCCCAGTTCTGTCGACTACGTTGACAGCATCCACGCTCCACATTGCGGCCTGCACCGCACGAGAAACGACTCACACCTCCGGTGACAGGTGGCATTCTTTGCGCACAGCAACTGGAGCAAGTCGCTTATGCTCAATGTTTTTGGTTGGCGGATTAATATTACAGCACATCTCCGACAGAATTCGTTTCCTGCTGTAGTTCGTGATTCGTGGTGTGGTCGTATCCCAGGTTCGTGGTTGGTGGAAGCGTGAGAATCGAGTCACGTGAACGAATCGAGTGTATGTGGCTGTGCATAAGTTGATGGCGACCCGTGCTTTAGTTCCTCTACACTCTGCGTCTCCACTCCAATGCTGGAGAATATCCGCCATGCGAAGACAGAAGAAACGAGCTGCGTCGAAAAACAGCTTGCTGCAACCAATTATAAATGCTTGCTCGACTAGTTCTGATTGGGACCTCTGCCAAGCTCTTGGCTCAACGCGGGACCCACTTTCTCGTTCGCGCAACAGTCTCAGCGGAGAGTTCGGGAGAAGGAAGAATTATGAATCCTGATATATGCTCTATAGGATTACTGTTAAGCTCTACGACTGCTCTGGATCACTCGATTTCCTCTGCCCAAGTGGTACGAAGTTCCCGAGCTGTGAGCAAGATTTCTGAAAACATATGAAGCAGTTATCCCGTTCGTGAAGTTTTCTTCTGATTTTCATATTCTGGATATCTTGCACGGCTGACGCAGATGCAGTGTTCCGTTATCGGCTTGCTCATCGTACGACGGTCGGACGAACTCACCTACAGGAACTCACTTGGAACTTACTAGATAGTATGAGCATCCGAGTACGTGGTCTGCATCGAGCGTACCACATCAGAATCAGGACCATGGCACGTTGCCATTATCTCGGAATGGAGTCTTTGGCGAGTGCGCTTCCCGTTTCGATGTATGCCAAAGGAGCTTGGTCATGGACTTTCGTGTCTCGTGACTTGAAACTGTCAGTCTCAGATTTCAACCATGATTTCAACCATGATTTTATCAACCGGGAGATTCGCGTCAACATTCCTACTGGATCGAGGAAGGCTTCTGCGGGGTGCGTTGTCTTCCCGAAATGCTCGGAATTCTCAGCGGACCATCAATAGCGACATCCTCCTACCTAGCGAACGCTCCAGCCCAACCGTTCGGACGACGACTTGTCTTGGGGCTGGCATAAATCTTGCACTCAACCGAGCAGAGCATGTCTGGATCCCTCTCTTTATCATATCCCTATCGACCATGATTTCGATCTAGTTTTTTGCAGTACTTTTACGGATTTGAGCAGGGCCCATCATCTCGCCCCTGCCCTCTCTCTTTCCCTCACACAGACCCGCCGTAGTACTCCTGAAAATGAGCGATATCGAGAAAGGCAGCGCAGGGACAGTCTCCGCGCCGGCATCCGTTGTGCACCAGGCAGCCGTCGCTCCAGCTACCGCGGCGCCGCCGCAGACCATCGCGAGCGCCGGCGCGCTGGGTCTGTTCTCGTTCGCGTCGACGGTGCTGATCTTCTGCCTTTACTTCATCGGCACGGACGGCATCCAATCAACCAACGTGGTCGTCGGCATGTCCTTGTTCTGTGGCGGACTGGCGCAGTTCATCGCCGGCATGTGGGAGTTCCCGAGGAACAATGCGTTCGCTGGCACTGGTGCGTCATATTTCCTTTTGATTTGGTGGGACTTGGTCGACGAACGACTGCAGCTTTCGCGTCGTACGGAGCGTTCTGGCTGTCTTTCTCCACAATCTTTATCCCCGGCTCTGGTATCCTCGAGGCCTACGGAAACAACGTTGACGAGCTCAACCACGCGCTGGGGCTGTACCTCTTCTCGTGGTTCATTGTCTCATTCTTGTTCCTGTGCGTGCCCAGCAAAATCTGTTTCAATCCTTCTGTCCCCGATTTCTGATCTAAGGTTTAGGGTCGTCACGCTCCGCAAATCCGTCGCGTTCATCCTCCTGTTCTTCCTGGCCATGATGACCTTCCTGCTCCTGGCGATCACCAAATTCCTCCCCGGCCCCGGGGTCACCAAGGCCTTCGGCGCGTTTGGGATCTCGCTCGCGTTCGTCGCGTACTACATTGGTCTCGCGGACCTCCTGGCTGCGGAGCCGAACCCGCTTTTCACCCTGCCGCTCGGCATATTCTAATCGGACCCCTGGATCAAGCGCGGGGTATCCGAAGGATGGGATTAATTATACATACCTATATAGCATACCTATACAATCCAACTCTCTCTCTGTGTGAAATCGAAGTTGCATACCGCGACCAACCTCAATGAGCCCAATGTTCCATCAGTAACACACTGAAAGCACTGATGATAGTCAAACCCAAGTCAGGCTGTTTCGCTGATAGAGATATGCGCAGGGAAGCAAGGAAAATCTCCGTCTACGACTACGCAGTTGAATATCGCCCAAGTGAGTTACGGACCCGCCTTCGAACCATGAGAACATGACGTAGCGGTGTTACTTGATGATGATTCGAGCTACTCTTACCAATTGCCCCCTACTCTCGTAATTTTGAACTAGGTATAATAAAATAATTCCTCGACGTGTGGTGTGGAGTAGATCAACTCACTTTGAGTTCAAGAGAGCGAGGATAATTGAAAAAGAGGGATTGAAATCAACAGAGACTGCAATACTGACCAATGGCCACAAATTTGACCGGCAGAAACCCTGGAGCACAAATGCACTGAACACGCTTTTAAAAAAATCAGGTGCGGAATACTATGACACGATGAAGAAACAATTCCTATCCCAGTGAACACACCATCTCATCCTTGCTTCCAAGATTCTTCAAATCCCCATCCCTGCTTACGTCTTCATAGTCCTGTATTCTCCCCTTCCCTATTCAGTCTTGAGTACCAGATGCTTGCATAGTGTTCTCTGCTGGAAACCAATTACAGCGGCCGGGCCGCGGGCGCGCCGAAGAGTGGGAAAACAGTCGATGGTGGCACCGCCACCTGTCACGTCCGGCTTGGTCGGTCCGACGTCACGGTCAAAGCGATCGCCAGCTGTTGTGCTTCATCATCGAGCAGTGCAACGCAGAGAGCGAACACCTCAAGAGACCCATTCCGAGCACATAAATTGGTTCTGCACTGGAGAATTTGCCCAATCAATTGTACTCCTGGATTGTGTTTTGAAACGTTTAATGGGGACTAGCATTCTGACACAATTCGCACGTGAACGTGGGAAGACTCACAACACAACAATCGACATCCAAGTTTGTTGAGGATTGGTGCTTACCAGACTCAACACCACCGCAAAGGCCAAGCCGATCTCACAGCTTCCCCACTGCGATCTATCCAGTCCAGTTGCACGCGAAATCATTTCACACTTGCATACCACCTGTCACCGGCGTCAGTTCCCTTGCAGTGCTGGGCGCCGCGTTGATCACGGCTCATGCCAATAACGTCGACAGGACTCCATACCTGGCGCGCTGCGAAGCGGGTTTGGACTGATGCCGACGCGATTGAGATCGCTAGTATCCGCTTTCGAGAACCGCCGGATGCCATTTGTGGCTGCTGGGAGCTGCCGGCACCCGGCACGTCACTAATTCGGTATTCAGTCCACGAGAGACACAGACATTCTTTCACTGGCGAGGTTCCTGGGTTCCTGTCAGGTGGGATATGCGGAGACTACTCGACAGACCACGGGCACTCAATCTCACCGGACTCGAGGTCTCCAGTTGGTATAAATTCTTCGTGAACAGAAGAACTTAGCACCAGTTCTCCACTTCGACAAACAACCAGCCTCCAGCCTCAACCAGCTCCTCCTCCTCTCCGATGGCTCAACAAATCGCTGCCGCTGCTGTCCCTCCTCTCACCACCTGGGATGATCTCCAGGCGCTCGGGTGGGACAAGGCCGCCGTCTACACCGCCGTCAGCGCCCTCCGCCCGGACACGATGACCAGCGACGACCAGCTGCACCTGAACGACAGCTTCACGACCACTATGAAGCCTCCGTCTGTCGATCTCCCTGCTTTTCTGTTTCTTTCGAGCTGAGCGGTTCTTTTCAGCATCTCGTCGCACAACACGACCATGGCGGCCAAGGGAACGCTGGACCCGTCTCGCACCGAGATCACCAAGGCGATCGGCAAGAAATTCAGCATCTTCGATTCGTCTGCCGCCGGTCATGAGCATTTCACCAAGGCGTGGAACAACATCCTCGACTTGTCGATCGACATCAGCCTCCCTGGTGAGCTCGCTGGCTTCCGAATCAACTCAGGTCACAACTCGTACTGACATCGCACTCCAGCGCTGATCAGCGTCAACAACCCGATCCAGTTCTCGAACATCGCCGGGAAAGTGAGCTTGGTCATCGCGGCGAACGCGACGGTGCCCACCACGAAGCAATATCTGTACCCGCAGAGCAAGGACTTTGACTTTGAGTGCGTTCTCATCAGCGCCGTGGACAGAAAACCTTGAGACTCAGTTGATTTCAGCATTGCGGCCAACGAGCGCGTGAAGATCGTCGGCACGCCCCTTTTCGTGACCACTACTGAGGTTTACAAGCTCGTGCGTCCTTCTGAAAAGGCGCTGGGTGATCGCTGATCCAAAATTCCACAGAACTACGGGTTGATGAGTGACAGTCAATTGGGCAGTGAGTAGTCTCACTCCTTATTTGTATGATGATAGTTGCTGATGAGCATCCAGCCGAGGGTGACAAGTACGCTCATCCCCCCACAATCGACCGTGCTTGAGTTAACCATTCTCTTTCCAGCTTCCAAGGACTCGTCAACATCGTGAGCGATCCGTCACTCGTCTGAGGCGACTTCACTGAGCTGATATTTTCCGCAGCCGTACGTCATCAACCAGGTCCTCCTGAGCGAGGGCAAGAAGTACGGCCCCACCGGCACGATGGAGCTCACCGTCGTCTACAAGACCACGACGCTCAAGATCGACTTCATCCGCGACACGACCGTCGTTCTCGGAGACTGGGACGAAGTCGTCAACGGGCAGAGCATCGCGTTTAGCGACGAGATCGACCTGGACAGCACCGACGACTTCCTTTGAGGAGGAGTGTCTTATGGCGGATCAATGTTCTCGCCGATTATGCTATCTATTTCTGCTCTGCTTCGTTGTATCTATTCTCTAACTGGAAGTCAATCAATATCTACTTCCAGAGAGTGAACCGTGGGAAATGTGGGTTGACATCGCGCCACCTGCATGGTCCAACCGTCCTTCTCCTTTCGGCATTCCGTCGGATGAAAGGCTGCTATCATTCAACCTCCTCGACCAACCATGCAAGATCGTGCCTCCTCACAGCGAATCCTACTCGGTTTTAAGTGTGAATGAGCCAGCTACTGGTAGGCAGAAGCCCATTAGGAGAAAGCGATCACTTTGATAAAGAATAATTCAGAATACCGGGATGTATCTAGCAAGACGATCCGTTAGATGCTCTTCCGCTGTCGTCGTGGTGTCTAGTGCCCTAGACGCTTCACTATTGAGCTGAGAACCGCTGAATGTGAGGGAAGCATGCATAGGATTGGGTGTTGTGTTGCTCGATAGTCTGAAGAAGCGACTCGGAATGATTTGCGACGCATTCCGGACAAGGCCAGGGCCTGTGATGGATGCTACATAAAATATCCTATTCAAATTCAAACTTTTGAGGTCCTGGATAGGCTCCCAAAGATCGCATTGCATCCATTATCTCAAGAAATATATCTCAAGAGGTGAGAAAGAAAAACACATGATATATCAACACTCGCAGATTGTCATTGATGCGGCCTAACATTTGATCCGAACAACCTGTATAAATGCCCTCCCCATTCCTGTCCACTTCCCCAGAGCTTGGCCGCTCATTGTCAAACAGCGTCTGAAATCAAATCCCTTATGAATATCTTCACCAAGAGAAACAAGATCGGTACTCAAGATCGCAACTCCGTTTGCGTGGCCTGATTCAATGGCTCTTGGTGTGCGAAGGCTGACGCGTCCAGAATATATATCATTACGCGTCCCCAATATCTATCATGACGCGTCGTCGCTTTAAGAGGACCTATCTCATCGCAAAACACGCGTTCCTCTCCTTCATATCACTCGAATGCTCCACTCCTTCGCCCAGCGGTTCGCGACGACGGGCCCGCTGAGCGAACTCCAGCACCGGTCGCAGGATCTAGCTGATGACACCGGGAATCTCTCCGACGCGGCTTGGGGATCCCAGGCTGGGTTCGGCAACATCGCGCAGGGCGCACCGACCTTCTCGCTCCCAGCCGTCCCGGACGTGAGTGCCGCTCGACTGTGAACGTCCTTTCGCGATCGATAGACATTCTGCCCCCGATGCAGCCGACGTCCTTCCTCCGCCTGTACACGGACGACCAAGCGGATCCGAGCTGCAGGATCAAGATCCAGCACGGTACGACGACGCTGGCGTTCCGGTACCAGGGCGGCGTCATCGTTGCTGTCGATTCTCGCGCCACGGCCGGCAGCTACATAGGTCGATACCTCTCTCTCGCCGAGTCGACTGTAATGCGCGCTCATCTGGACACAGCGTCTGGCACCGTCAAGAAGGTCATCGAGATCAACCCTTATTTGTTGGGCACCATGGCCGGAACCGCAGGTGTGTGTTGCGTTGACCATCGTGATTGGCCGATCTCTGATGGGGCTGGGATGTTTCCAGCGGATTGCATGTACTGGGAGACGTACCTCGGGATCCACTGCCGGCTGCACGAGCTGCGCGAGGGCCAGCGTATTTCCGTCGCCGCCGCGAGCAAGTACCTGAGCAACCTGGTATTCAGCTACAAGGGCATGGGCCTGAGCATGGTAAAGGCATATCCTCTTCTTCCGGCATCCTCTCATACCCACCCACACCAGGGCACGATGATCTGCGGCTGGGACAAGACGGGGCCATCGATCTTCTACGTCGACGCAGACGGCACGCGACTGCAGGGCGACCTGTTTTCCGTCGGCTCCGGCAGCACCTTTGCGTACGGTGTGCTGGACCAGGGATTTCATGCGGGGCTAAGTGACGAGGAGGCGTACGATCTCGCGCGCAGGAGCATCTACGCCGCGGGACACCGGGACGCGTACTCGGGCAACAGCTGCAACCTGTACCATATCAAGGAAAACGGATGGGTGCATGTAGGTGCGTCCATCCGGGCCAATGCCGCGGTGACTGCTGATGATGAGCCGCAGGAACTTATGATCTGTCGGAGCTCCACTTCGAGGGACCACACGACCAGCCTGGTAGAAAAGGTTATGCGTACGACATTCGTGTCCAAGGACACAGTTCATCCGATCGATCCACGGTCGAAGGAAGAGGGTCTCAGAACTATCAATAGCTTCTTCATTACAAATGACATTGGATCACTGCTCCCTGATCACTAGACCGCCACCACTCGGCTGTGTCGGCCTCCTGTCCGTCCTCTAGCAAGTTGAGTTTACCAAAGAAGCGCTCGGGCATCGGAGGGACCGGGACGAAGTCCAAAGCCCACTTGCTCTCTTCCACAGGATAAGTCTCGACCGCGTCCATCCGGCTCATCGCCGCTATGGACTCTCCCGGTGAGTCGAACGATAGCGTACTGACCGCCTCGGACATGTTCGGCACAATATTCGGTCGTTCGTCGAGGGCAAACGTAAGCGGAGACCGACTTTTAAGCAGATCCAGTCTGGATAGTGGTACCCGACTGCTGCGGACATCAATGGGGGACAAGACTTGATGATTCGGGCTAGTAGGCGTCGTTTTGTACGGTAGAGTGCAGGCTGCGTCACGGTTGGCTTTCAGCGCGTCTTACACAGGAAACTTGGTGAACTTGAGTCGCTCGTGGACTTGATACTCGGGTTTTGCGCGAGGTGGCGAGCTCTTGCAGATTCTTGTAGTTGCAGAAGGCGAGGAGAAGTTCCAGGGGTCTGCTTGATGCACAAGACTAGCAGCAGGTTCATCTTCACCTTGAAGGGCGGAAGATGGCTTCGGCGAGAGAGGGGTCGATGATAGAAGAGCAGCGCCAGGATCTTGCAAAGCATCGGAAGAACGTCGGTAGCCGTGCGCCTCGAGTATATCGTCTCGTAAGCTGAGCGGCTCGAGCGCCATGTTCGTCTCGTTCTCCTCTTCCAGTCCGAGCATCACACCGATAGCTCTCCATGGATCTCTGTAGCTGTACAGATTATCTTGCAGTCGCTCAACAGATTCGGGCCCGTGGTCGTTGAGGCCATAGGTGCAGGAAGTTAGCAGGACGCAGGGTCTGAGAAGAGCGACAGGTTCCGTTGGGGTCGCTTCCAGAGGAGACGAAGCCATCTTGACGAGAGGTGGACTACTTGCTGGCGACTGAGGAACGCCGGGCGTCGAGAGAGATAGATCGCTCGAACTCGATTCCGAGAGCCCAGCACGCTGTTTCAGTGTCGATTCGGTAGCACTCCGCTGGGACCGCACATCCTGGACGCTCGTAGTTGGATCCTTGCACCGCGCGATACCCTAAGGAAACACTCACCCAGCCACAGGGACCGATTTCATTTTTGTCCGCGTCGTCATCGGAAAACTCGACAGGCTGTGCAGAGATCGATCGACATCGGCGGGGCGAGAGGCAGGGAATCTCGTTGGCACGCACGATGAAGTCCTCCTCGGGTGGCTCTTCGTCATGCTCCGGAAGTGACACATTCACTTCGTAGGTGTGAGGCACTCTCGGCCCATCTGGCGCACTTGAGAACATGTCGATACAGGGCTCTGGCGCTTCCTGGTCGCCATCGCCCCAGTGTCCAGATGCGTCTGAAGAGCGCTTTGGGAGGCCAATCAGGGACGTGAAATTGGCATTGGTCTCTGCCACTCACTCGGCGCTTCACCTGCCCTCCTCTCGCCGCAGTGCCCAGACCACCATCCTGTGTACGGGTCGGAGGCGCCGGAGAGGCCTTGCGGATGCGCTTCCCGGGCTGGTGGCGCTCCTGGATCCGTGTTGGCGAGTCCAGCAGCCGGTGCGGCTTCTGCTGCGCGAGACCCGCGAGGTCGGGGATCGACAGGATCCGGGTTATGGCCGCTCGCATGGCCGTTGCTGCGCCCGGTCAGGGAGCAATGCAGCGTGCAGACTAGTGACGCACGTTCGGATGTGTCGAGCGCGGTGATCAGCCGGGAGCTTGACGCCGCGGAGTGCGCGCTGCTCGATATGCGGGACCGTTCGCGTCCTCCGGTGCGTATATGCGCGTCTCGAGGAGGGAGACGCTGAGATGTCTCTGCAGACCCAAGCATACTACCCGTTTCTCGATTTGCGCGCGCTTGCCGTGCGTGAGAGAGCGCGATGTCCTCGATTGTCGCGCGGGGGCCGTACGTCGGGGCGCTGACCGCACCGGTTCCGCCTCCGACCCCTTTGGCAAGGAACCGCTGCCGGCTGAAATGCTTCTTCTGAGTCCGGGCGGTCGTGTCGTTCGTGCGCGCTCGGGCGGCATTTCTGGATTGCGGGGATTATGTGTGGAGAATGGAGATCAGAACTTTGTGCGGCGCACCTCTTGCCTCCCATGTAGTTGGTCCCGACCATGATCTGGTTAATTTTTAGCGGTCAAAAATTCGCGAATGGACACCTCATACTCGGAGTCGGTTGGGACCAGGCACTGGACAACCACCCGCGGTAAGCAAGAAAGCCATCACGTGCATCGCGGTCATGTGATACAGTCGTTCTCTCAACTTATTGCCATTTGAAAATATGATGTCTTCGACAGAAAAAGAAAAAAATGTTTCACATGTGTGAGGCCTGTTCGTGAGGTTAGGGTTGGCTTACAGCCATAGATCGCGCTTCTTAGTTCTTGCTGCACACACGTATGGTTGGCCGCAAGCTCGACAGCGCCAAGACTATCGGTGTGCGTCTTATTCATCGTGGACAGCACTCCAGACGTGAAGTGGCTGAAATCTGTGGTTTCTCAACGCGCACTCTCACACGCATTGTGACCCAATTTCGTCGGACAGGAGATCCAGATGCATCATTTACCACTGGTCGACAACGCGGGCGCCGTCCACTGCTGCACAAGAACGACATTGATTACCTCATTCACACCTCTGAGTATCAGCCTGGGAAGTTCCTGGATGAATACCAGGACTTGCTTGCACGCCTTCGACACTGTCCAGTCCACATCACAACGATCCACTATGCTTTCCGCCGTGCCGGAGTCAACGTGAAGCGCATTCAGCGTATGGCCTCGGAAAGGGATCCAGTCTTGGAAGGAGATTTCCTTGCCAGGATAGCGGAGTACCCGGCCAACTATCTTGTGGCAGTGGATGAGATGTCGAAGGACGATAGAACGTATGCAAGGCTTCACGGTCGTGCCCCCATTGGAGAACGAGCAGAAATGTATCAGCCTTTTGTGCGGAAGCGACGATACACGGTGATTGGAGGTATGGCTTTAGACCAAGGCATCATTGCCGCGCGCGTCATCGAAGGGTCTTCTGACCACGACACGTTCTATGACTTCCTCGAGAAGGACCTGGTATGTTCCTGCTTTATGTGCTCACTAAATCTCATGTGCTGATTTGACGACAAGCTCCCGGTGATGAATCCATATCCGGGCCCAAATAGTGTCCTCATTCTTGACAACGCAAGAATTCATCATTCGGAAGACATCCAAGAACTTGTCGAAGCTCATGGTATGTTTGTCCTGGTCCATGTGTATTGTATCCTCATCTTCTGACAGGCTGCTGTATCGAGTACTTGCCACCATACTCTCCTCATCTAAATCCTATTGAGCAGGCCTGGTCCGCTATGAAGGCCTATCTCCGACGCATTAGTCTCACACATTTCTCTGCTGCACAATCATACTTCGAATTGTATCACGCATGCACTGTTATCACCCCAGAAATGACCTGGGGATTCTTCCGTCACTCTGGACTTCTGTAATCACTTCCATGTAATCTTGTACTTGCTACTTGGTTATTGGATACGACTTGATTATTGGATACTACTTGGTTATTGAACCGTACAATTAGAGGACACTACAGTTATTGTTGTGGTACTAGGATACAAATTGTGGTCGAGACAGAGACTAAGTATGAATCATGCAGTAAGGAAAGCAACACAAGCAGGGATATCTACAAGACAAAGAGGACTAGGGACGCACGCTCATCCATCGGCTGACAACTTGCCCTTCTCCCACTCTGACTGCGCATAGCGGAGTTGCGCTCGGAGACCAAGGGGCAGATACCGATCAAGATCAGTGTTCGTGAGATGAGCAATGATGTGTGGGCCATCGATACCAATGTCACGCAAGCCTTCGAAGATGGCAGGCGGGAGGCGGAAAGCTTTACAGAATGCATCAAATGTCATGCGTTTTGGCTTGGCAGGCGAGATAGGTCGAATTAGGGCGGGGGAGGCAAGCGCTGGGGAAACACGGGATGCATTGGGGGTTTGTCCATTCGAAACAAGAGGCTGGAGGAGACTGGCAAAAGCGGCAAAGTCATTATTGATTGTAACAGAAGGAGACGATTTGTTGGCTGCTGAGTTCAAGCGACGGGAGGCCATAAGAGAAATGTCGTCATTTGGGGTGTCGGATATGCCTGGCTCTGGTCCGAGGGGCCAGAAGGCCTTCTCAACTTCATGGGGAGGCGGGTTCTCCGGGGTAACACCATCCATCTTGCTGACCTGTAGGTGTCATAAGTACAGAACAAGTACAATTGAGCTGCTCACAATAGCCGAGCCCCATATGCGAAGAAGAAGCGGGGTAACCAGAACGTGCTTGCAGATCCCGTTCTTGGTGAAACAGATGCGGTTTGGGCAACGTCGGTCATTGCAGCGGTTAGCCACTTGGATCTCTGCCATAGCCATGCCAAGAGCTTCCTCTTCTGGCGAGAGTTGGCGCTAGAGGATGAAGCTGTAGTTAGACATCAAAATGGATGTATGCGCAATCCACGCACCTTCCTCTTCTTCACAGGGCCCTCCTCATCCTGCTGCGCTGGCACGTTGTTCTCATTTGGGGCCTAGTGACATAAATCAATAAGACTCTGCGACTAGCAGAAACAGAACACACCTCCATAACTGCAGACTCTGCAATACTCATCTTGACGTTGCTCTTTCCCTTCTCCTCCATTCCAGCAATGCACTTCTCCAAGTTTGACTGAGATAGCAAAGGAACAGCCTTGAGGGTGGTGCCAGGAACAGTCATCGTCACAGTGAAAGCAGTAGTACGAAGTTTGGATGCAACAACTTTGTACTTGAATTCGTCAGTGCATTGAGCAGTAGCAAATGCACCCTCGAGTAGCTCAGAGAGACAAGAGGCTTCATGAAAGTAGAAGGAGAGCTTCGTCTCCATTGTGCTCTTGGCGTTCTTGCGACGCTTTTCACGCACTTGTCGAATGAAGATGAGATCGCTACAAACTCCGAGCCCCATATTGTGTTTGGACGCTGGGATTATCAGGAAGTTTCAACGAGAGCACTTTCATGCACACGCACCTTCCCGTTCGGGCTGCTGCTCTCCATCCTCCCCACTCGATCCGCCGTTGTCAGAGCCAACCCTGCTGTCGTCCCTCAATTGAGCCCAATCCTCGTATGGCCGTCCTCCAACCTCTTGGAAGTCATTGTCCAGAAGGAGTTCATCTTCATCTCCTTCTTCCTCTCCTTCTTCCTCTTCGTAGTAGTAGCCATCGTTGTACGGGGCCATAGATGTAACAGAGGGTCGAAGAACGAGACACGGTCTGTGGCTGTAAGCCAACCCTAACCTCACGAACAGGCCTCACACATGTGAAATATTTTTTCTTTTTCGGTTGAAGACATCATATTTTCAAATTGCAATAACTTAAACTTCTCAGCGACGGAACTTGACTCTGATTGCCACGCACAAAGAAGACCACATTCTCCAGTGCTTTCATATAATCAAGATGCCTTGAACGAGTCGAGACTCATTCGCACTATCTTCGATCAAGGGCTCGGTCTAGCAGCCCGAGCAGTTCTGAAATGAAACCCTCCTTCAGGCAATGGTATGGTCACATTGAGCACTCCACGCGTATCTTTGGGTCCGCTATATAGTGCATCCCTCATACCTTCTTCCTCGATCTAAACCAGCATCCGGGTCGAGATCATGCTACTCTTGCTCCTGGCCGCAACGCTGCACACCCTCGTCGATGCATCCCCACTCGCGTCAGACGCACTGGTGGTGAGGCTCTCGACAGGCTCCGTCCGTGGCGTCTCCACCGCGAATGGCACCGAGAAATGGCTCGGCATCCCCTTCGCTCAACCGCCTACTGGGACACTGCGGTTCAAGGCCCCCGTTCCGGCGCAGCGCTTCGTGGGCGTGCGAGATGCGTCCCGGTTCGGCAATGCGTGCCCGCAGCCTGCGTCTCCGGGCCTCGGGGCTGACGTCGCCGAGGACTGCCTCTTCTTGAATGTGGGTTGATCTGCTTCCCATTTTCGAAGCCAGGGTCTATCTAAGAGGTTCAGGTTTGGAGACCGGCGGGAACGGTGACTGATGCTGAGCTCCCTGTGCTTTTCTGGATCCATGGGGGTGCTTTCATGATTGGATGCGTCAGATCGACACCCTACCAAGATTCGAGATCGTTCACCTGCACCCACCGGCCAGGGCGGCTTCTTCGCCACAATACGATCCGACTCGTATGATCTTTTCCTCGCAGTGCTTTCAAGTCAGCTGAACTACGAGCAGAGATGCTGCAACAGAGTGTGGTTGATAAAAAGCCTATCATATTCGTTTCGGCGTTCGCTCCGCTTGCCTCAAGTGAACAGGCAGCAATCGCTGACCTAGTTGTCTAGGAACTACCGTGTCAACACTTTTGGTTTTGTGCGTTTTCCGTTGGTTGTTTTTTGCAACAGCTTGTAATAGCTATGCCACAGCTCGCTAGTGCGAATGTGGCTCCGGAAGATCTCAACGCAGGGTTGCTCGATCAACGCGAAGCATTGAGGTTCGTCAGAGAGAATATCAGAGCGTTTGGTGGGGATCCAAATAAAGTGAGCGAAGAGTTTTGTTTCCATTTGTGATGGTCTCATTTTCCTGAACCAAGGTCACGATCTGGGGTCAGGTCGGTGGTATCCATCCAGTGCTGAGACTCGACTTTCGTTTGAACGTGATTACTAGTCTGCTGGAGCCGGCTCGGTTGAAGCGCATTTCCTCTATCCTGCGGAGCAATCTTTGTTTAGAGCCGGCATCGCAGATTCTTCGACGGGGCCGTTGCGAGTTCTCCCATCATCTATCTCTTCTTCTTGGATCTCAATGTTTTTTTATACAGTAAAAACTCGCCCGATGTGCAAACATACGATAAACCTGGGAAATCTTTCCCTCGTCTCTTGGCGTCGACGGGATGCACAGCAGGATCGAGCGCGATGGAGTGCTTGCAGAAAGTTCTATTCGAGGTATTTTTGACGGTCACCTCATCCTCTGTGACGAAGACTCATTCGATCTTCCCCGTTGAAATTCCAGACTCTGATGAATATGAGTAACTCGATGCTTTCTGCGACACTGAACCAACAACTGTGGGAGCCCGCAGTCGGACCGAGAGGCAGTATGGTCCCAGAACGTGCATCGCTTCGCATAGCTCGGGGCGACTTTTTGCATCTCCCATATCTCAGTGGGACAAACGTTTGTGGCGATCAAATTCCTTCTGCTACTGAATCCCATATTCTACCTCCAGCTCAACGAAGGAACGCTCATCAGCGCGGCAGTCCAGGGTCTCGGACTTTCTGGTGCGGCCGAAAACGAGGCATTCAGGCAGTTCATCGGCCATCTGGTCATCGACAACAGCACGCTGACTCCAGATGTGTACGACAAATTCTTGGCAAATTGGCCCGCCAATGACAGATCTCTCGGCGCCCCATTCAACACCGGCGACTCGCTGTTCGATCGCGCCGAGAGCTGGTACACGGATAACACCTTTCTGGCGCCAAGACGCCATTTCTCCCGCCATGCTGCTGCCCTGCAGCCTGTGTTTGCGTATCATTTTCGGCAGTTTATCCCCGGGACGGATCCTCGTTTGGGCGGTGCGTGATCAAGTACCCTGGGCGGCCGGAGGTGCAAAACTGAACAAAAAACCAGTTTTCCATGCCTCTGAGCTGCAACTGTTGTTCGGGCCGACGCCAGATCCTTCCCTGGTCCCGCTGGCGAATCAGATGATGGATTTCTACATCAATTTCGTGCACGATCTGAACCCAGGACGTGAGTGTGTGTATTGGCCTTGAGACCACGGCGGCTTCCATTGTCGTTCTCTAGCGAAATGGCCACGATACAAGCCCACCAGCCACGGCCAAGTGATGCAACTCATCAGTGGGAACATCACCATGATTCCAGACAGTGGGTTCAACGATGTTCTGTGGCTCGATTTGATTGATATACCCCGGACAGCCTGGGATATCGCCAAGACCGACCTCCTCAGCTCGCAGCAGATTTCGGACGAGTACGAGAAGTAGAGCTGGCGCAGTTTCAATTTCTGTCTTTTTTCTGGACTCTGTCGATCCAATACTCAAATGGACCAAATGGACCTTTTTCTCAATTACGTGTGCGCTCCTAGCCATCGCCTGAGCATAGGCGGGACTGGCGGTAACGGAACCTAACTCCCTAAACAAGGCACTGCGATTTTCGCGGCTCGCTGGACCGCCTTTCGAGCTTGAGTTTGAGCAGCGCGGCATGCACGAGTTCCGCCCAGTGTAGCAGTCACACGTAAGACGGATTCGAAAATCGATTTAATCAGTTTGTGGGGGGGTAGAAAATGCGATGAATGAATGACAATGCGGATGTATATACAGATGGGCTCTACGGGGCGCTGATATTACAACAACTATAGTACGGTATAAGATTACAGACACAATGTTTGAAGGTCCCTGGTGCAATCCAGCTTCAATCAGACGACGCAGGCCCTTCTTTTGGTGCCGCGCACGGCAGCCTTTACAACGCGGAGCCACTCGACCCCCTTTTCGAGATCGTCCTGGGCGCCAGCGACGCCCGCATCGATCTTGCGCAGCAGCAGCCGGCGCACGAGCCGCGTGTCGTCGTCGTCCTGCTCAGACAGCGTCGCCGCCAGCGACACGCAGGACGACCGCGCCGAATACAGCGACGACAGCGACGCGATGCTCGACTTGGCGGACAGCAGCGCCGGCCGCACGAACAGGTCGTCCTCCGCCGAGTGGTGCTTCGATTCGGCTACGAAGGCTTGTCGTTTCTGTGAAGAGATTGTTCAGCCAAGCACAGCGACAGTCGTCACTGAACATCCACACACCTTGACAGCTCTGTCCACCGCCCGTTCCGTCCGTGCCGTACACCGCTCCACGACATCAATGAAGTGCTCCGCAGAGCTGATGCACTCCCGGATTCGCTCCAAATCCCGATTCGCGGCCTGAAGCGTCCCATACGAAGTCCGCAGCAGCCCATTGCTCCACTCCTCGGCAGACACGTCCACATCCACCGTGACAATCCGGCGCACGGAGTGGCAGTCCGAGTCCTGGTCCTCCATGATCACCTCCAATGGGGATCGTGGCGACGGAGGCATCGTCGCAGCCGTAATCGCTTCGGCGAACAGCTTCCGTTTCATCCACGCTTTGAGCTTCATCGGTCCCGTCGTCCTTTTAGCCGGCTCCGACGTGATTTCCGGGAGGGCGGGGAACGGGACGGGCAGGGCCTGATCCTCTGTTAGCGGCGATTGGGGGGCACAATCCACCGCTGTGTTTTGCGAGTCCTCGGAACCGCGATCGCCCCGTCTGCGAGGAGGGATGGGCACTAAGCCCTTGCTCAGAATCTCCCGCCCGATGTCCTGAGCAAGACCGTCGACAAAGCGCTGCACCTTTCCTGCGTTCTCCCGCAGTGCACTGACGTCCTTCCGGGCCTCGGCCGCCATCGTCCGATAGTGAGAGCACACGACGGCCGTCAGATCACCCGCTTCCCGGAGGAGATTCTCCATCAACCCGATGTGGAATGGCGATGGATTCTGTTTCTCCATGGGCGATGTCAACCGCAGATTGGCAAGAAGCTGTTCGGAGGATGCGGATATGTCGATGTTGTCGAGCACGGACGCATCTTCTGTCTCCTCGACGTCGGTTGCGAAGGACGACAGCGATACCGCAGACGGAGATGCGCGAATGGTGTACGTCGATAGAGCTGAAGGCGATCGCAGACTCTCGAGCTCGGTGCCAAACGCATGCCGAAACTCGGGCCTGCACACTTCCAACGCGGTCAAACTGAAAGACAATGAGTCCGGGAAAACACAGTAAGCGGATAAACGCCACAAACCCGCGTGAGTTGCGCATATCCCGCACTGTCTTCGATGCATCGCACTCCAACAGCAGTGCCAGCACCTCGATACAGGAGCCATGCTCAGCCGCCAAGTGGATGCATGTTTCGTCGTCTCCGTCCCGAGCAGCAAGCGGCACACGCAAGTCTTGGAGGAGCAGACAGACGAATTGGGCCAGTGCCGAGCTCCACTGCGCTCGCAGATGAACGCTGGGCGGGCTTCTCGATGCCTGCGCAAAGCAGTGCAGCGGTGTCCACTGCTCGTGCGCTGTGAAAAGCGGGACTGCGCCAGCGCAGTAGAGAGCATTGAAGACGAGCGCTGACGGCTGCTCGGCAGCCGCACAATGGTGGATGGCGCTCCATCCATCCGAGTCCGGGAGATTTACAAGTACAGGTGTTGTGTGGGAATCCGTATGCGACGATACGGACGGATACAGAATGGAATGCAGTGTGGGGACATCAGAGGACGTAACAGCGTGAATGAGAGTGTCGGTGATCCGGGTAATGGATCCAAAGGATGACAGCGCCGGAGGTTCGAGAATGCGCGATGTAGGAAGAGCGGAGCGGAGTAACTGTTTTGGCAAGGAGCTGGATGACTGGACAAGCACACGTCAATTTCCACGACATTGGCGCAAATACCAGCCACACGCACCCGCAGTCGCATCCGCCGTAACGTCGACTCACACAACCACACGATCTGGGGGAATCGAAGTGCAAATTGTACGGCCGTCCTGTGGTGGGCATCACCCAGGTCCGGAAAGGCACCGTGGCGAAGCTGATGCAGGGCGTCAGAACACAGTACCGTTCGCACGCGCACACACCGCAACTCACGAGCATCTGCACCACTTCCACTCGGCCATCTCTCGCGGCATCTGGATCACGAACCCGTCAGCCACGGATGGGAGCAGGAAGACGTGAACCGGCGTACACATAAGCGGCGTAGCGCCATGCACGTCCGTTGCGTCGACCGCGACGGACTCGGAGCTCTCCTCGAGCAGAATGCGCACGGCATCGGCCTGGTTCAGCCACGCGGCCATCCCCAGCGGCGTGACACCGCGATAAGCACTCTGCGGCGCGTTCAAGGTCACGAGGGAGATGTGGGCGTCGAGCAGGAGCGTTCGCAATATGCCCAGACGGCCACAATGGGAGCCAGACGCGTTCGACGCGTCGGCCTGCTGCCAGCTGCGATAAAACAAGTCAGAAATCGCGCTCGCGACGCGCCGCGGGCTGTGCACGCACTTGTCGCCCGCGATGGCGCACATGAGCGCCGTTCGGTTCATCGAGTCGCGTGCATTGACGTCGGCACCTGCGCGCAGCGCGCGACGGGCGCTCGTTTCATCGCCTGTGAGCGCAGCGCGGTGCAGGCGGGAGGACTCTGGAGAAGAGCTAGTTGGGTCGCGTCGTGTCATGGGAGTTTGCGTAAGGACGGGAGGAGGATAGGCGGAACAATGAGTGAGGAAAAGATACGCGCGGAGGGCGTTGAGCAAGGGAGGCGGCAAGAGATGGAGGAGGAGGGGAGGGGAGACCGTTACAAAATTTCTCGTGCGAACGCATCCATATGTATACCCTCGGAAGGAGAAGGATGCAACGAGGCTCAAGCGATCATGATGTGTCTAGATGGACAGAATTTCGAAATGCCGATGGAGCTGAGCGAGCCGGGCGCAAGCTCGGGGCAGAAGGCGGGGAATGTTCGATTAAGCGATGATTGGACGGGGACAAGCCGAGACCGGGAAAATGGCCTCGAGGCGCGGCAGCGCTCGGCAAATGATGTATTGATGTGATGTATGTGATTGCGACTGTAAGCGGGCCTCGAGGCCAAGAGATCCGTACTTGGGCCCGCCCCGGAGGCGGTCCTCCGCCGTGACCAAATCAGGAAAGCTCAAGGGCTGGGTAAGTTCTCACGTCCAAAAGCTTCTTCGTGGTTACTTGGGATGCCGGGGCCCAGGACGCCATGTTGACCTGAACTGTATCATAAGCTACCTCAAGTTCATTTGAGTAAGGCGCTGATGGCAGTGCGACAGCGCGAAGCTCGGGTCCTCCGCTGGATGACCTTCCGTGCAAGCGCTCTGGGCCATTTGGCACTTTTCCATTTGATTGCGAGCACAAGGGGATGTGGAAGGGACCCACGGTTAATACGGGCAAGGATAACGTAATGTGATCTGGCAGTGTGAAGGGTCGGCAAGCTACAGTTGGAATTTCTCGTTGACGCCCGCTGGTAGGATCACAAATAAGTAGTGTGCACTGGTGAAATCGCTTGCGGGCGCTCGCTCCCCAGCTTACGGAAAGCACCCCGAATAGCCATTCTCGAAGGCCGCTCGGGGCTGCAGCAAGATTGTGCGTGTGCATCATATGACATCAGTTGTGACTGGGTGAGAGTGGCGGGTTTCATGCTGTAGCCGAGACGTGAGTCGTGGAAGTGAGCAGTGTGTGGTGTTGGGCCGCGCATGACATGTAGATGGACTTTATTCGTTGTGCCTGGTCGAGGCATCCCTCGAGCAGACGATGATGATCCACGAGTTCTCGACAAGTGTCAGGCGGATCCAACCAGGCAGAGATTGAGTCTGTATGACCATCGAACGTCCACGGAGAATGTGCCCGGAAAGCTGACCCTTGTAGCAATGGAGATATGGGAGACACGTGTTGCAAGCGTGCAAATACATAGCAGATGCCAAAATTCTGGCTTCGACTGGAAGGGTTGGATGCGTATCGGATTCGGACCCACAGATAAACAGCCAACTGGCGGAGGTAGGTGCCGACACTGCGGTTCGATCCCTGGATGGAGGGACGAGAAAACGGCTCGTAATCAGGGGAACGAAGAACGGATGCACTTCTCGGACTGCGAGGCTCGTGGCCGAGAAGTACATGTAAGACAGCCCCTACTACAGTAGATACATACATACTATTTAGTGGTGCTGACAAGCTGATGTTTGCCTGAGGGTGTTACCGAGTGATGTCACGCCGGACCGGCTAGCTCCGCCATCATTGCTGTCCATGACGCACATTTCACGTGATAAGCGTGACCATGGCGCGTCTGACGTCAAAGCGCGTCACTTGCCCCAAGCCATGACGCGAGGGATGAGTTCAGTGGCCACTCCAGGCTAGTCTGAGACCTATATAAGGCCTTCTAACGGCCTCTAATCTCCATTCAACCCACCCACAACAACAACAACTCAACTACCTTTTACGTTTTTAACGACTTTCTCATTAACATGTCTGGATTCACCAACGGAACTTCTGAGCCCAAGTTTGTTCAGTCCCGTTTTACTTGTTATAATTTTCCTGATTCCTTTTCCAGCAAGACCACTGGCCAGTACCACAGCGTCAAGGGCACGGTCGTCGAGACCATCGGAAACGTGACCGGTGCCACTTCATGGCAGCAGTCTGGCAAGGTGAATAATCTGGCCAAGCTTATTTTCCTCCTTGGCTGACTCAATTCCGTAGGAGGAGCACATGGCCGGCGAGACCGAGTACAATGCCGCACAAGCCAAGGGCTACGTCGAGGGCACCGCTGACCGCCTGTCCGGCAAGAAAGACGCCGTCGTCGGTGCTGTCCTCGGCGACAAGACCCAGGAAGCACAGGGCAACCTCCAGCACGACAAGGGCAAACTCCAGCAGGAGGTGAACAAGTTTGATTGAGCAGTGGAGCGGATCGACTACAAACAACATTAATGTAATCACTTATATCATGTGCTTGTAATACCACTCGCGTCTTGGCTTACACTGCTTGTACCCCGGGATTTCCTTTTCGGATCGTGAGACTTGAGGCTGTGCATGGCTCAGGATGCGCTTCTCCCTCTTGGCACTTGTCATCGCAGCATTGCCTCCACATTCTCGAGGTCAACCAAGCCAGGGGAGGATGTTCTTAAGGATCACGCACTCTCCGGTGCGAGTACAAAACTCCGATCTTGGGTATTTCACCACCCCAAGCGACTTTGCCTGCCAGGAACGTGCGTGCGCAGCAGTAACTGTCTCGGCTGTGATCGCATCGAACAAACGATCGGGAGAAATCACTCAGACACAAATCTTCGCCTCTTGGCCCAGAACATCTACCTCCCACCCATGTCTTCACCGGACGATCCAATATACATCTTCAAGAAACCATCGGACGGGCTACCCCAGGACGGCCCCTTCCTTCCTCTCCTTACCACTGTTTTTACTGTGCGTCCCTGCGTTCACCGGATGTCATTGGGCGGCGCTCACATCCTTCACACGCATCCAGTCCATTCTCGAGGTCTTCCTCCTCTGTCTTGCAGGATATGTGTTAGCTTGGAAGGGTATTCTGGACAAGAAAACACAAAAGGTGCGTCGTCGGGCCGAGTTCGGTGGTGCCGCACCACGTTCATGCTTATCGGGCTTCACCAGCAACTGAATCGGCTCAATGTTTCACTGTTCACCCCCTCCCTGCTCTTCTCCAAAGTCGCATTCTTCCTGTCTCCCGGTTCGTCCCTGTCCACGTGTTTACCCGCGCGCGCGCACAACTCAAGTTGCATGTACAGCGAAATTGCGCGAGCTATGGATCATCCCCATCTTTTTCGTGCTCGTGACGGCGGTTTCGATGACGGTCTCGTCTCTGCTGGGCTGGATGTTCCTCCGCAAGCGGTCACAAAGGTAAGGGTTGCTGTCTCTCGATCCTGGAGCAGACTTCGGTCCTCGTGCGAGCCACCCTGGAGCGGCGTTAATTGTTGGGCCGACCGAGCCTTGGCGCTCCTGTCTTTCCTGGCTTTCCTCGCCTTCACGATCTGGTTGGCTTATTTCATTATAGAAACTTCGGCATGGCCGCGGCCATGTTTATGAACTCAAATTCGCTGCCTATAGCCCTCATGCAGAGTCTCGTGGTGACCGTGCCGGGACTCAAATGGGGATCCGAGGACAACAAGAACGCTATGTTGGGGCGGGCCCTTACGTATCTCGTCCTGTACAGCACGCTGGGCATGATTCTCCGATGGAGCTACGGAGTGAGGCTTCTTGCGCAGGCAGATGTCGAGAGCGAGGAGACGTCACCTGACGAGGAAGAGACTTCTGCACTCTTGGGCCATCAGGACGAGGAGGACGACCTGCCGCCTGTCCCCCGGATCCACGTGCAGAATCCCCAACTTGCGCGCCCGGGTCAGCAGCGCCGCCAATCGCGTTTCTACAATTCGTTCCCCAACTCACCAAATCAGTCCCGGATGCGGCTGCCTGATATCGACTCGTCGTCTTCGACATCGACGATCGTGTCGAGCCCCGATGACTCAGAATCGGACAGCGAGGCAGAGCCGCTCCCCGCGCCGCAGGAGGCGGGCGAGACATTGGTCCTGCCCACACATACACGCAACCGGAAACCCCCCGGCCATATCCGCCGGATATCGGTCATGTCCTCGCACTCCACAAACCACGTCACCGGCTGGCGGCGAGTCCGACGACATCTATATAGGGTGTGGGTCGGCGTCAAGGAGTTCATGACTGTGCCCCTATGGGCCGCTCTGGCGTCGCTTTTCGTCGCGTGCGTCCAGCCGCTACAGCATGTCCTCGAAGACCACATGCAGCCTGTCAAGGGCGCGCTGACAAGCGCCGGAAACTGCAGTATCCCTGTCACGCTGATCGTCCTGGGCGCGTACTTCTACCCCGCGCCACCGGCGTCCCCCGCGGCGGGCAGCAATGCGCTCACGTCCTCGGCGAGCACGAACTCGTTGCTTGAGAGTGTGCGCGAGATCTTCGGCAAGCAGCGCGCGGCGGCGGCGCAGCAGTCTGCGCGAGCCGTGACGCGTCCCGGCGAGACGAGGACAGTCATCATCGCTGTCGTGTCGCGCATGATTCTTACCCCCCTGCTGCTCCTGCCCCTGATGGCGCTGTCGTCCAAATTCAATCTACATGCGGTCTTTGACGAGTATGTGTCCTACCATTCTCTCACGCACATTAATCGTTGACTGATTCTTCGCAGTCCCGTTTTCGTCGTGGCCAATGTCTTGCTCATTTCCTCTCCCCCGGCTCTCACACTTGCCCAGGCACGTCTCGCACTGCCCCCTGCCTCGTGCCCATAGCACTAACCCGATGTGCAGATCACCCAAGCCGCATCAGGCGACGCGTTCGAGCGCCTCATCAGCCGGACGATCTTCTGGGCTTACTGTGTTGTCACCCCGCCAGCTACGATCGTATTTGTGCTCATCGGCTTGATGCTTTCCAAGTTATAGAATCGTAATTCGCGCTTCATTCTTTGAACAGTTTACATTACATATATACGGCACGGGATGTATTTCTTAGGTCAATATACGGCAGGATGGATGGATGGTTCATGTTCGCGATGTGCATACACGCCTCATCTAGCGATGGACTACTAGAATCCGTCATATTTCTTGGTTATCAAATAACCGTCACATCGATATAAATACAAATGGGTTCTGGGCCCTTGTGAGAGTAAAGTATTGGATGATGATGCGCGCGCAGTGAGATACATATAGGGGAGGATAGTCAGTCAGCTCACGGTCCATGGTCCATGGGCGGACTCTATGGCCGAGACAAGAACGCCGTGGGACCCAACTGGGCCTCGACCTGCTTGAAGTTGGCAAGCGCAAGATCGTGATTCCAGCCGTTCTTCGCTAGACAGTCCTGAGAGGTCTGGACATTCAGATTCGTCTGGCCCGACAGCTGTAGCACCATGCTTCGTTGCGGCTCCGGCTGAAAGAGCACGTCAATCCAAAATTTCCTTGCCGACAGCCCGATGATGACTTACAATGTTGTTGAGCAGCGTCTGCTGGTCGGCTGGAAGCGATCTCAGCGTTCGCGGTGGGTTTGTGTCCCGAGTGGCTTGAACTAGCATTGGGCCCGCAGCCCAGGCATCCGAGTTTGACAGTGCGCGGATTGTCAACTGGTCGGCAACAATCGCGACATCCCAACCAGCACGTTTAGCACTGAAAAGGACGCATGAGAAAAGAAGAGACACAAACGGAAGAGAACATACGCAGAACCCTCCTCCGATGGAACCAGCATGAATGTGCGGTCAAAAGAGCGCAGCCCTGCAGAGGGTGCTGGAAAAGCAACGATCAGTTACGCTGAAAAAAGCCAGCAGTCTCCAAAACACACCTTCCATGAATTGACCATGTACAACGACCAATAACCCGACCCCAGCCAGAAACGCGTCGATGCAAAAGTTCTCGGGGGCTCCGGTGATGTCGTGCTTCGTAACAGGCAACTTGATCAGAGCAGTGACGATGTCCACGGGGCCAGTGTGCAGGGTGGTGGTGATCTTGTTATTCGCCAACCTGGTCAAGTTGCGCGAATCCGACTGCACATGCCATGGTGCCCACTGCAAGCTTTTTTGGTTCGGCAAGGTCGCGTGCAGACCTTCGATACGCGCTCTGGCTGGGATGGAGGTGTTTGCCGAATACGAGAACGTCGCTGTGGGCAGGTACACGTCGGCGAGTCGGGGACGGTCGGTGTCTAGCAACGGGAAGAACCGGGAGAGGAAGTTGGTCACGAGCGTCGAATCCACTCCATCAATGAAGGAACCGCCCATAGGCACAGGGAAGGTCGTGGATGACGGAGCCGGAACACTCGTGTTTGTTGTTGTGGAAGCAACGTCGAAGGCGATCTTCGCAATGGGCTCCTGGTCGAGCAGCTCGAGATTGGGGAATCGCCGAGCGATTTCGCTGATGTGGAGGTCAAATAAAGACTAGAGCACTTTGGTGTCCATGCGCACTTTCGGAACCGAGCAGCATTTCCCGACTGGTACTCCTGATCACGAACCGGATTGTTGGTCAAGATGAGCTCTCGCAAATGCTCCATCTTGCTCCTCCGAGAAGCTATGCAATCGAGTTCTCGGATAGTCCGGATATTGTTGTTGTGCAAGGACAGATTCACGATTTTAGGCAGGTACTTCTCCAAGGACGCAAGGTGAGCGCCTGTCAACCCATTGTTGGAGAGTGACAGGGTCTGCACTTCCTGCTAGAAGTAAATCAGCTCTTGTGCTGTTGAATAGAAAAGACTTTGACGCACAGCTCCTTTGAACTGCCTTGCAGCGATCTTGAATATGACTGCGGCCTCCTTGTCCGTGATGAAAGCGCCAATCGTCTTCAAGCCATGTTTCCGGACCAAGTCGTCGTCGACAATGGACTGTGGATATAATGAGACCACTGCTAAGGGACCATAAGAGGCTGCGTACATCGAGATTCAGACACCGGGTTTGAGGGTCATAGCGCTTCTTCACGATCTCCATCCAGCGATCTACCGGTCGAACCTTGCTAGCGGCCGTTCGAGCGACGATGACGGGTTGAGCTTGCTGGCCCGCTCTGGTATTCCGATCGCCAGAGACGGCATTACCGCGCGGCCGTCCTGTCGTCCGACCTCCGCGCGAGAGGGCGTCCGAAAGGTTGGAGTCGACTTGCATGCGGGTCGAGAGCTACGGATAACGGCGGCGTTGTGTGAGCGGTCGGATTCAATGGGTGGGAGAAAACGAAGGGGATGGGTTTCAAGTGGTTCGGCAGGGCGACACCTGACCACCAGAATGAGCAGCAAAGGAAAGATGTATTTACCATTCGTGAGGCACCAGGCGTCTTGGAGCTTGAGGCACCGTAGTACGGGTTCCGGGTTCGGCGGGCGTGCTTGTCGGCGCCTTTGCGACCCATCGGCTTCCCAGACACATCGCGCATAGTGGTGTCGCCGTCTATCATCCCCGCGCCGCGCAAAGCTGATGTAGCGAGTCTACCGCCTGGAGCCGGAGCGAATCGACCGCTAGGCGCAGGTGTAGGACTCGAGAGCATTAGTTTGTGGTGATTGGGTGATAGTGGATGAGGGTGGCTATTGTTGTGGTGGTTGTGGTGAAGGCGGGCGCGTGGCTGTGCCCTTGCTTTCTTCTTTTGACATCCGCTTCCGGATCCATCACCCGAGACTGACTCGCTCGCCCATCGTACACTACTACTTTCTTTTTTGGTCACTATGTTCTGCCTGTGACATTTCTACTACTTTTGGCTCACTTATGACCGGCCCCAATGACCGATACCTGCTCTCTACTGCTCGTCAGTAGAGTGCGGACTTACTAAGGCTTCTGCGTGCCCTTGCTGAAGTCGTCTCCATCGCCCTGTTCATGCACCACTCTGCCTAATTGTGTGCTGTTCTTCCAACCAGGGAACTGCATTCTTATTTCCCCTTCCTTCGCGCTGTATTCGTCAGATTCATCCTTCGTTTTCCCCATTCTCCCGATAAAACCTCCAGTGGCCAATCTTCTTATTACCGCCATCTGCATGAAAGCCGGGCTACTTCTGGCGGTATCACTCAATCAGCGGCTCGTCTCAAACTACTTCTTCTCAGACCTTCTCTGCCGTCCTTTGAGTTTGCACCATCGCAAATGCTCACCGGGTTTCCTTGGCTGACCTTTGAAGCTCGAGGCGGCCTTTCAGTGGGTGGATGCCTCTCAGGACTTCAGCTCTGGCGGGCCCAGACCACCTGAGGACTTTTTGAGTGTCTGCATCGACCTCATCATGGTTCTCCTGCGGACCACGAAGCGCAAGCAAGCTAAGACGCTCGAGGGATTCGGAACAGGTACTCCAATGCACAACATGAGACCAACTGTCAAGTACTTCGATGGTATTCTTTCACTTTTCAA